TGTTCCTGATATATTCAGATGTGTAAAATCCACAAATATGGAGCCATGAACTTCATCTCTGTGGCTGGTTTCTTCTCCTGACCTTGAAGAGGACATGGGGACAACAGAAATAAATATTTTCTTTTCTCCAAGGAAAAAAGACTAAGCAATTCAGGCCACACAATTTTGTTTTGTGTAGCAAACTCTTAAGGGTGTTTAATCAGCTTATTCATCCGTATTCTTCCTTCCTAACAATCACCTTAAAAGAGCAATCTAATAACAAAGAATACACACCATTTAACTAGTGAATTTTTGCTTACCTACCACAATATGGTTAGCATTAACTCACAATTTTGTATTTCTTCCCAGCTGTGGGATGGTATTCACTAAAATTTTCATCTCCTCAGGCCTGTATATTTGTATGTTCATAAAATTCCTGGCGTGCATCTTCTGTTTAGTGGTGCAAATAGCAATGAAAGCAACAGTAGCTTGTTCAAAGAAGGCTTATTGCACATGCTTTGGTTTTTCTTTATTTGAAAGGCTCTGTGATTTCACAGATTAAAAAAAATTAAAGGTCACTTCTTCCTGCAGCTTCCTCCAAAATAGCCTGTGGAAAAATGCAGCACAAAGCCCTAGCTCAAAGCTCTTCACTAAGCCAGGCAAAATGGAAAACCTGTAAACCTGTGAGACCCGTACCCTATCACAAAACGGGTAAGACAAATAATGAAAATGGAACTAAAAATACATTAGGTGTGACAAAATGGAACTTCTTCAGTGTGACTATGAGAGACTGGGCCTGCAAACAGTTAAGGAAAAAGTCTTTTTTGCATTTCACCTTCCTCCTAGGCTCCTGTAATCCATGCCAGCATACTTCTAGCATTACTTTGTTAGGCAGTAAGGTGAGAATGTGACAGTAAAACAGATGACCGGACATCCCATACTAGTTGCACTTAATAGCAAAGTATTTTGTTTCAAAGATCTGTTATATCAAGCCAGCTCTAGGTACTGCAGAAGAGACTGCTAGCACAGATCATAAATAAAATTATTCTATCTCTATGAAATGCAAAGCAGTGAAGACAGAACCTGCCTACACTAACAATTTTAATGGCATTATTCAGTCAGCAAAATAACTTGAATTATAGACTTTCTCTTAAATGTGTGTTTGTCTTGTAGGTTTTCTAGAAAAGGCATCAGTGTCAACAGTCCAATTTTTACAGGTGTTTACTTAGGCCATCTAAGCAGGTTCATCTTTCAGTTCCAAGATGCAGCACATAGGCACACTTCACATTTCGTGGCCATCAGAGCAACGTGCTGCAAACCAGCAGAAATCCATCAATTTTGATGCACAAACATTAGGTAACTCTGCTAATTTATGCTGCCTCTCTTGGCCCAGTAGGAAAAGCCTTGCTCTGCAGTGCTGTGACATTGGGCTGTTTCTCTGTGGAGGTGGTGGCTGAATTACAATAAATGTAGAGGCAATCAGGAGCAGAAGAGTCTAGCAGAAGTTGGACCCAGTTCTCAGAGTAACACCCTCCTTGACTTTGGAGTTGGGATCACATTAACCAAATCAGAGAGGGCACTTCACAAAGGACTTGTTTTTCTAACATGCTCTGTGAACTGTCTTGTATATTCAGGTGCACATTTCCCTTCTCAGCTGCTTGTGCAACAAAGAACCTGGGTGCTTCCAAAGGCTGTCAGACAAGGAACATTATCATCACGACACCTGGTGCCTCCAACACTTTGATTCCTGATCAAAAAAAGTCTGCATGCCATTCTCACCAGCCTTGGAGATGGCCATGGGCTGAACTAGAACATAGTTTTTCCCTTCCAGAGCCATGTATTAAGATCTACTTGTGACAGCAATATAGGTTGCATATAATTAGGGAAAAAATACTGCTATTAGGAAGCAAAGGAGATTAATTTTAAGTACTTGCGTGCAAATTCTAACATTTGTAAGAAATTAAATTAGTTGTGAAATATGAACTCTTGCATCTAGTCACAAACTATATGAGTGAGGAAGAGGATGCAAAACAGATCTTCCCAAGTCTTACAGTCACCAAGGTTGTTATGTCTCCTCCTTTGCCACCAGTGCATGATGAAAAAAATGAAATGTCATGATGGAGGCAAAAACCTAACAAGGTGTAACTAATTTAATCCTGTGAGCTAACAAACATTGCAACAGTATTTACAATACAAATTAAAAAGTGGTAGTAAAATGAGGTGCAGCTAACTTGCAAGCAAATAATCTTGCTGAAGTAGAAACTCTTTATCCTGTTCTGAACAATTACTAACATGATGCCATCATGAAAATGATTAATGCCACAATATGGATTGAGTACTAATGAACTTGACCAAGGTATTTTTCATATTAGGAAAAATTGAAACAACATGTCATTTGAAACAACAAATTTCAGGGACTATTTTTAGATTAGTATTTGATTTGAAGATATAAGAGAAGTACATAAATGGTATCAAGAGCAGACACACTTAAGGGAATTAATTGAACTGTACATTTGCACCCAGACACTATTAGTTCCAGGTGCTGTTAGGCAAAATTAAGAAATGAAAAAGCAAATGCATTTTTTTCTGAATGAAAAAAAGATGAAGAATAGGAAGAATCTTGTACCCTGTGAAAAAATATTGATGATCAAGATTCTAAAATATTTAAATGAACGGCAGAAAAATCTGAAGAATTACAACGCCACTATTTGAAGTCAAGGAAGAAGAAAGAAGCTCATCAAAGAAGCTGAAAAGCCTTTGACATGAGAAGATGCTACTTCTGCTGAGTTTTCAGAAGATGTGATTAGAGCATGCCAGTGGCCAAGAATGCAGACAATAATACTCCCTAGCAGGTGCCAGAAAGTTCAGCCTCCTAAGGGCAGAGAAATCTGGACTCTGTGAAGAGCTGCAAGGACTAAAATTTGCTGTATAAACAGCAGCAGGCACAAATGACTAATTTGCTTTTGTGTTCAGAAATAAACTACACCTAAAATTTTCCGTGTTGAAACATGTTTTAATTGATGCAAACAGCAGAAGTATTTCTTGCTGGTCAAACATCAATTTATTTTTACGTGAAAGTGTAGCATGATTTTAGAACATTAACTATACTAACTCTTTCTCTGCAATGAACAGTTTAGCCAAGATGCAATGATTTATTAATCAATTACTTCATGTCAATTACAGTAGCCACTAACATTTAATTAGGAGTTTAGATAAAACTGCCAGAAGAGAGGATTAGAAAAAAATGTGTGTGTGTTGTGGGAGAGGGGGGGCATTCCTGGAACACAGCCTGTACTTGCTGAAGCCATCCAGAAGCCCATATGGTGATATCCACCTCTTCAGAGCCACAAGGACAATGGATGGCAGGTATCAACAGAGGAAGAGGAGAATGGAACAAAACCCAGAAAACTGAGCAGAAGAGAGAGACAGGTCTTGAGCTGCTAATCTTCCACATCTTCCACATCCAGATCTGGACCGAGCCTGAAACAACTCTGCAGAAAACACATACTTTGCAAATAGATCTGGTACCTCTGTTCTACGTAAGAACTAAGAGGTATTTTAATTCCATTACAAATAAAACAATTAGACCTTTGTTAAATGACTAAACTTGACTGCCAGTGGAGTTAGAGTCCCATTAAAATCCCAACATATTGGGTGAGGCGCTTATGCTGATTCCAGACACTCTACCCAGAAAGGGTGAGTGAAAGAGCTGCACGAGTTTGAAGAAACATTATTACTAATTAGACTGCTTCAGATAATTGTAGGAGAATGTGGCTCTGCTTTAGCAACAGCAAAGTACAAGATCACATTTCTTCCTTCTAAAGGTGAACTTCAAAATATTTTGAGAGACAGTAAAGATTTTCATGTACGGTGTTAGAGCCCTACTCATACCTACTCGTACAAGAAAAATTAAGATTGTTGACTGTTACGGGAGAAAGAACTTGAAATTTACTAAAACTGTCAGTTTCATGTGTTTTAGGTTTATCAGATATTTTTAAACTGTCAGTTTCTTGTGTTTGATGTCTATTAGAAATTCACCGAAGCCGGCAGTTTTCTGTTTGGTAACTGCCAGATGTATTGAGAGCAACACCGACCCGTGTACCCTCACAGCTGACTGCTCTTCTCCCAGCTGGGAATGTACGATCCAAATGTTATAACCAGACACTGCAGAAAGGCACAGAAAAGACTACAATATGATCTAGGAGAAATTACTGACCAAACGGTGATGGACACTGGTCATTAAGCGAGAAAGACAAGTCTGTTAAATGATTTTGTCATGAGGGTGGCACAGGTGGTCCAGAGGTGTTTGCCTCGGGGCCGTCCACTCCCTCACGGCTCCGTCCTGGCCGCCCTCATCCCCCGTGCCCAAGGTCCGGCCTCCGCAGCCGCTTCCCGGGCTGGTGACGGGACGGAGCCCCCATCGCACCCCGTGCCGTCCCCTCAGCTCGAAGGACGGGGAGCTCCTGAGGCCAGCGGGGACGCGGTGCCCCGTGCAGGGCCTTCTCTCCCGTCCTCATCCCGGCCCGACAGAGGTGTCCAGGTAGCGGTGCCCCGCAGCTGGGCGAGACGCACCTCACCTCACCTCGCCTCGCCCTGCCCGGGAGTGCACACGAGGCGCATCATTTGAAACACACGCATTCACCTTTCCTTCCCCCCCAGCGGCCAAGGCAGCGCGGGGCCGAGCCCGCTCTGCCCCAGGGCCCGCCGCAGCCTCCGCGGGACCCGGCGCTCACTCACCTCCGCCGCGGCGCGGCCCGGCCAGAGCAGGGCGAGCAGCAGCACCGGCGCCAGGCGGCCGGGGCAGCCCCCGCCGGCCATCCCCGCCTCGGCGCTGCCTGCACGGGTCTCGGGCCGCTTCCTCTCTGCCCCCCTCCCGCCCTCCCGTGGGTTTTGGCCTGAGGGTTCCTCCGCACCCGCCTCGGCGCTCCCGGGTCGCGGCCCCGCCCCGGCCACCCCTCTCCTCCACCCCCTCATCTCCCCCCGCGTGTCCTGCCTTGGGCAGCGCTGGCAGCCGCCGCCCGCCCGCCTGTCCGTCCGTCCGTCCTCAGCGGTCATGGAGTGAGCGAGGCGTCGGGGGCTTTCCCGCCTGGGAGCTGAGGTGAGCGCCGCGGACGGGCAGCCCCGGGCGGAGCACCTGGCGCTCCTCGGGACGGGGCTGCGCAGCGCGCTGAGGGGCAGCCCCGTCCCGGGACAGCGGGAGGTGTCCCGGGTTGCCGGCTGGCTCCGTCCCCCCCGCGCCGCCGTGAGGGCGCAGGTGGCGGGCCCGCCCGGACCGCGGGGCTCGCGGCGGGAGCGGGGCCGGGGCCAGCCCGGCACCGCCCGAACGAGGCACGGGCTGCGCTCGCACGGAGCGGGGTCGGCTCTGGCTCCCGGCGGGGAGGAGGGCACGCTGAAAGCGGGCGAGAGCGAGGCGGTACCGGGAAAGGCGGCGGCGGCAGCCGGGGCCCCCAGCGCCATCCCGCCGCTGCCGGGGCGCTCCCGGGCACGGACGGGAGTTCCTTCAGCAACGCTTTCCGCTCCCTCGAGTGGTTTCTTTATGAGACAGAGGAAATTCCCAGAAGGGACAAAATGCTGCCCCACCGCATAAATGGAAAGCAGCGAGAAATGTTTCCATGTAATATGATAAAGAGCTTTTTCGAACGGAATTGTGATTTGTAAAGTGTCGGCAATGTGTAAAGTTTGTCAGATTTATGTTACTGACAGAAGTGCTGCATGCTCAAGGTAACCTTTCACCAAACAGAGTGCTGTTTTGAGAAGGTGCAAACTTAGAAAGCGTGCTGGCAGTGCCCAGCCACAGCAGCCTTATCTTGTCTGTAGTGTTCATGGATGCTATACAGGAAATCCCATATTACAGGTTTTATTTGCACTAGAAGTGATGCAGCAAAAGCAACAATATAATAGATGTATATAAATTTAGGAGTATTAATGATACAAAGCTAAAGGCTTTTGTGAGCAGAAAGCCAGCCACAGAGCTTTGTAAAACAGCTTCTCTGACAGGCACAAGAGTAGAGCTGGATCTGTGCTCAGTAGACCATACTCTGCCTCTTATGAAATCTGCTGTGAAAGCCGGTTAGCAGAAGCTGCTTTTCCAAAAAAGTTGGGTAGTGCCAGTAAGAACATGCTTCAGGAGACGGTGAGCGTTTCCTTCAGTACTAAAGATCTGGTACACAGCAACATGGTAAAACAACTTGACTCTAAAATATCCAACATCTGTGACAGCAAGCTGGTATAGACACCAAGGTATGGAGAGAAAAGGAAAGAATTCCCCTGGTTTCAGGCCAGATTGATGGTGACCATGTAGAAGAAAATGTATCCATTACTGGACTTTAACATGAGAAGTACTGGTGTTAGAGAGAAGGTCATAGACACTTATTTATACAAGAGCAAAAACAAAAGGTTCGTAGCTTGTCTATGAGACAATGTGGTCAGAGCAAGTGAGACTACAGTGGAAGAGAGTGATCAGTCCTCTCAAATTATGGCAATTTCAATGCAAAATGCCCCAGCATGGATCTCACTGCAAAGATAGTACTCAAAAGGAGAACTGTTGAATACTAAGCCAATGAGTTATTGGAAGAAACAAAAGAAAGCAGGCAGACCACTGTTAGGGGCAGTGAAAGAACTCATGCAGAATACTGAGTGAATGAAGCACTGCTATGATAAAGAGATATTGAGTCGGTTTTCAAATGATGAAAATCCTGCATGGAAATTAAAATTAAAAAAAAGTCAGCAAGCTCAAAGCAAAAATGTGAAAGTGCTAACAAGGGAGATATATCAAAAAGGCAAAATATTTTAAAAGAATCCTCTTCACTTGCAGAACCACCTCCTTCACTGACCTTGAGCAGCTAAGTGGCTCAGCTGAATGGGAGTTTTGTGTATTTATAGTTAAGAAATAGCAAGTAATGTTGCACTCTGAGATTGTCACATAGAAGCATGCATGCCTTTATGTGAGTTTCTAGGACAGATCACAGATCTATGACCCCAAAGGAGCACTGAGCTGCTACAAAGGTAAGATCAGGCACTGGGTTGTCTCCCCTGCTCACCGTGGCCACCAATGGCAGCGTGCATCCACAGAAAGCCTGTGGAAACTTGATGCACGCTGTGTTGCTGATACTGCTGTAATCCATGATATCATCTGAGGGCTACAAACTCAGACAATCTTGTATGTCTAAACAGCTGTCCAGCTCACCATCAGTTGTGCCAAAATATATACCTGCAGCTGCCTGTAGAGCTACTTTACAAAAATCCAACAAAAGCGCCAGTACCTGAACACTGGAGATCAACCTTAATTCTAGAAAGCAATTGAAAGCTGCATCTAATTAAAGTTTGCATTTTTCTACAGTAACTGATACTTAATTATTTTAACTTTGGTTTTGTTTCCTTGGTTCTCTATGGTAAAGAAAGGATAATATTATTTTCAGGAATATTTTTGCGGGAAACATTAAAGTTGTATGAATTTAGTATAAAGTGCAAAGTTTTATAGAACAATGTAAATGAAAAAATAGGACTTACTGGAAAGGATGGAGAGAGTACCTAATATGTCCATCACGAATGAGGCAGAAGTCCTATGGAAAACAGCATATAAGTTCACAGACTTCAAATGACTGTCCTAACTATAGGCATGAAAGAACCACATTCAAACTGATCTGAATCCTTGACTGTGTAACTTGTGTGGTATTGTTGCACATGATGTTGCTTCCTTTGGATGTAATGAAAATACAGTTAGGACTGCTCTAATTCTTTTTACCTCAGTAACTGTAGCTGTGTGTCTGCCTCCAACTATGCCTCGTGTCCCCTGTTCTTTAGCAGAGTTACTGAGAATGAAATTGTCTTGCTTCTTGATTCCTATCTAGAAAGTAAACATCTAGATTATGTTATAGTGTCAGCTTGTCCCCTTCTGTTTTCTGAGGCTGAGGTGAGGTTTGGTGATCTCATGTGAAACCTATTCCTTTGGTGGTGGTGAGTGTGTTATCCTGTGAATATTTTATTGAGGTAACTGTTGTGATTGCTTCAAAAACTTAAAAAATGAGATCAATTTGACCCATCAATCTAAACAAAACCTTGTATTCTTTCTGTTATTGTATTAGCTACTGAACAATTCAACTTGTTCAGAAAATGATGAGGTTTAGATAGCCATGACAAAATAACAAGCAGAGGGTTGCAAGTCTTCCACTCATGCATTAAGTATTATTTCAAACTGTGTCAATGGGTTGGATCAAAATGGATTTTAATTTGAAAATAAAAGTTTCGCTGCTAATACAAAGCAAATGTACCAAATATAATTTTCTTTTTAATTTTCTTCTGAATTTTCAGAAGCTGTTTGGATAATTAAATAATGAGATGAGTAGTGGGCAAAAGGAGCACATTTCTGCAAAGTCTCAACACTTTATGGCTTGGATTTTCCATTTGAGGCAATCAGTCCCTGCAATATTTTATTGCCTCTCAATTTTCCTTATATTGTTTTTATTACTAATGTAAAAAATCAGTGAGGTAGGAATGCTGTTGGAATATTATTTTTTTTTTTTATTAGGGATGCTGTTATTTTTTTCTTTTCTTACAGATGGGGAACTGGGGCACAGCAAGACTGTAGAATTTGACAGATGAATGGAGTACTGTACAATACATGTAAAGAGTGATCTTGCAGCATGGACTGGCTGCCTTTAGGCTATTTATTCATCAGTCAGCGCACAGCAGCTTCCAAAGTCTCCTCTTAGTAGTGTGGGATTTGGATATACTGTGCGTACACACAGGAGTCAATATTATTTATAGATTAGTTCTGGTTAGAAAAATGCCACACTACAAATAATAGAAAGCAAAAGAGTAATGTTTCAGGGACTGTACCCTCACATGTTTAACAAACACATGGCTGCTGCCTGAACAGCATCAGAGAGCAGCCAGTTTGCTGCACTTCACATCCTCACTCCCTGCTCAGGAACTGAGTGTCTTTGCCTACTCAGGAGATTTCTCCAAAGGAAGCAAACCCCTGTCAATTCCCTCTAGTCAGTGTTCAGTTTCCTCAACATTATTTCCCACATTTGGAACTCTAGACTGCTAAAAAGCAGAAGCCTGTGATAATCTGTGCTAACCTGGGAGAAGCCCAGCCCTTAAACCCTCAGTTTGAAATAATTATTTCCCACATTTGGAACTCTAGAGTAATAAAAAAACAAAAGCCTGTGATAATCTGTGCTAACCTGGGAGAAGCCCAGCCCTTAAACCCTCAGTTTGAAATAACCAGTGTGACTCATTTGCCAGACATGCTTTATTGCAAAGGATTGCAGCTTCTTTTTTATTTGGGGCATAAGGGAGTTTGCACATGACCTGGCTCTGTCTCTGAATTTGTGAAGCTCGAGTTTCCGAAAAGGTTGGAGCAGCAAATAAAACTGTGGGACCTAAGTCATAGGTCAGGGATGCACTATGTATGCAAATTATATATTACTTATGCAATTTATGTATGCAAAATTTGACTGTGTGGGACTGTGGAGGCCACTGGTCAGTCCTGCTTCCTAAGTCCTGGCAAAAGCTGTAGAAAAAATGTTCTAAAGATAAAGCTGAAAAACTCTAGGTGATGTCCACTGATTGTCATCTGTCCATGCATGTGGGCAGAACTCTTAGCTGAAATGCATGTTTTATTCTGCATTCAGAGTGGTCTTCCTTTGCTCACATGCTGGCACAGACTGGTCCAGCCCAGTTTGCAAAAGATGCTGCTGCTCAGTTTGGTCTTAAAACTATAATAAATACTTTCTTGAGGTTTTTTAAAGTTCATTAGGTTTTTTTACTATTCATGGGTGTTGCATCTTTTGTCTTAATGCCTTTAATTGAAATGGTGGCTATGAAAACTTTTTAAGAAATAATGATATAAGATTCTCTTTGTTCATTATTTCAAACACAGAACGAGGACTATCTTTACTAGGCTGAAATCTTGTACCCCTTTTCATGTGAATCTGCAGCTTCATCATAGTCCCCTTGAAATAATTGGATTGCTGATAAAATAAAATGTGGCCTGAATAGGAAGAATATAATGTAATGCCAACACAAAGCTGTGCACTGTAACACATACAAATGGTTAAGACTTATTTTTGGTTTTCCAGTAATTATTCAGGTGTACATTGGATGTATATTTTAATAGAAACAGGTTCAGAGGGGAAAACAACACCAGTATGGAATAGTGTTTGTAGAGCATCCACAAACAGAAGGAAAGAGAAGACCTGCCATTTAAAGAAAAAAGAAGTGCTGCATATACAAATCCTCCATCAGCAGGAATGGCATTAACAAAGGATTCATTTGAACGGATTAAATGGCTTATCACAGCTGCCTGGTGAGTTTTACAGATCACTACATTTTTTAACCAGATTCACTGAGATATACTCTTAGCTATTAATTTAACAGTAGTAAGAAATGCCTAGATATTTGCAAAGTTGAAGTAATTTTGAAATGGGCTTCACTGTATCCTGTAGAATAGTACACAGCAGTCTGTATGCTATGGCTGTACCTAATTTATCTTTTCATATAACTAGTAGACACCATAGTTCTTAGTAACAATAATATTAGCATTAATAGTAATTTAAAAGAATGCTTATTTTCTGTATTGCTGCAAAAATTTTAGGCTAACTTTTTATTTTAGCTTTTTTTTTTTTTTTTTTTGTAAACTTTACAAGCCATCACTAGCAATGGTTGGCATGGAACTGGGCTTCCCCACCAGCTGCTCTGGAATCATGTGGCTATTCTGAATGTGGCTTTCCTCTCTACTTTCTCATGCCCTCTTTCTCTGAGCAAAAGAAAACAGCACCAGCTAACTGATTTCAGGGTAGATGCAGATCATTCCCATCCTACTCAGTCTTCACCTCATGGTGTCCATGGAGAAATCTGTTTGGAATGGGTCCCCTCTGCCCCTTTGTAATTGTGGGATTGGAAAAAGGTTAGAAGGGGGAGTTAGAATGACTTTTACACAGTCTTGTTCACGCCTATCTGTTTGTCCTCAGTCTCACAGATCTAAAAAGACAAATATTTACAGCATGGGAAGCCATTTCTTGATGGTGTGCACCCCTTATGGAAACACTATGTAGTCACCCCAAACAGGGTTTAATCGTGTGTACACCTGATCACTTCTCACTTTCTGCAGACTACATTTTTGTGAAGGTTTGATGTTGTGAGTATAGTTTTAATTCAGTTTTCTTCTTTTAAATCAGGTGGCTGCTGATTGTTTTTTCAACTCAAGGAATTGATGGGGTAAGTGACATTGACATTTACTTTAGGCAGGTGAGGGATAGAATGGTAGAGTTTAAACAAGTAGCACCACATGCACCAAGATGATCAATAGTTCTGTGGGAAAACTGTAACATTCCTTTCCAGATTTCTGTGATTCTGACTTTCCTTTCTGCTACTCAGCTTATCTAATTTGCAATTTTATGCTCTGGATTTTCCTAGATTCTAATTCTGGCTTCTTGAGGTGCTTTTGGAAAGCTGGATGTAGAAAACCCTCCCTTGTTCATTGAGTGTATCTCCTTCCTCATAAGGTCTCTTTAATGGTTCTGCATTATGGCACAAGTCAATTCTAGCTTTGCATTCTGCTCTGTGTGTTAACCCAGATCTTACACTGGTTTCTGTGGACAGTCCCATCTCTCTGAAGCCAAATTTTCACATATAATATAATTTCAATATCTACTTTATTATCCTGTCTGTACTGGCCTTCATATTACCCTTATGTTTGCAATGTCCGTGCCTTCTTTCAAGTCCATCCTCTTTGTATTCTTTCAAATATTTACCAGCTCTTTTTTTTTTTTTTTTGTAGAGTTTATTTTTTATCCCCAAACTCATCCCTTTTTATTTGAGCTGTTGAAGATGGAAATATTTTTTAAAAATAAATGTTCAATCAGAAGAAAGGATAATAGTTCTGTTATTGGAAGCTTGTATTCTATTGACATTCCAGGAGAGGCAAGATTCTAACAACTATGTGAGAGACTAGTGCAGAGTAGATTAGTAATTTCATGGGAAATGCAGTGTGTGAAAGACAAGTAATGTGTGAGAGAGACCATCATACCCTCTAGCTCTGAGGTTTGGGAATTCCAGGTATTCTAAAAATGGTATAGACAGAAAGAACAGATTTTTTCCTCCTTATCTAATATTTGTCAGAGTTTTCTCCTTGAAACATTGAAGTATGAGCCTATAGTGTTCTGTTGGGTATTAAAATCAGTAGCAAAACAATCTTGACCTTGATAATAATGAAAACCAACACTGAGAAAATATTTGTTTTATCACCATTTTCTTGTTTATCTACAATATTCTCAAATATTTTACCTCCTTGTTAAAATTATTTTTAAAATATATTTGATAATTTACACAGTTTTACTCAAAAAAATGTTATTTAGTAGACATTCCAACTTAGTTTATAAGTGCATATGATGTGTGTTTATTATTACATTTGGAGAAATAGAAAAGAACAGTGAAATCACGTTCATTTACCACACACAAGATCTACTGAATTTACATTTTGTTGTGTTCTCATTTCTCCTTGAATAATATTTTTTCTCATTGCAATTTAATGAAAAAAATAGTAATTTCTTTGCTATTAAAAGGACAATAACATAAATTTTTAATACAAGAATTAAGTAAATTAATAATAGGCAATGCATAATTACACCATGCATATACTTAGTTTCATTTAATAGACAAGAATTAAATTCAAGCTTGTATCTCTGAGTGAACTTCTTGCTCCTTCACCTTGTTTTGCCTTTTATAATTTCATTGTAGTTGAACAATCTCCTAAAATAATGTGATGGATTACAAATTTTACATTATTGCAAATTAAATTCTGGTTCTGTTAAGATTTATTTCAGATGCAGCTGGTTTTCTAAGTTACATTTGGCTGTAATATTTAGTGTTGTCTAACATAACTTGTAGTTAAGGTCTTCCACCTTCTACAGCAACAAGTAATAAGCTTTTACTTATTGCTTCTACCTTGCCAGCATGTTTATGTTGGTGAGAGATCTTTTTCCTTGAAAATCATCTAACTAGTTAATATGTCCAGCTGACAATACTTGATGATGTAATTGTTGTCTGTTGTGCATTGATAAATGCATAACCTTTCAATTTTTAGGGAGGATATGCATATATTGATCCATGTGGGGGACAGGATTGTTCAGTCTGTCGCTGCTTTCCAGAAAAAGGATCAAGGGTAAGTTGTGATTAGAGCTAATGATAATTACTGTTGCAAGTACTGTACATTGTGCACATTGATGTTCCTGAAAATCAACATGGTTGATAAATCAATAAATCAATATTCAGACATAAACACATCTGATAAACTAATATAATTCTATCACTGGTATCAAGTACAGCTGTCACTGAAGAAACCGAAGATTGTAAAGAATTCTGTTTCTAACTGGGTTTGTACTAATCATGGTACCTTTCTTGTATTAAGGATTCTTTTAAATCTGTCTAGGAATTAGACAGATGTGATTCCTAATACAAGTATAGAAACCTATACTTGTCTTCTACTAAGAGGCTGGTCCAAGGTCCAAATGTCCATGTCATTCTCTAGTTTTATGAGAACTTAGTTATTTCTTGTTTGGGTTGGGTGACTAAAAATGTTTGCAGACTTTTTATCTTATTCACTTAAGATACTAACTTTAAAAAAACCCCTGAATTTTCTTTGTCTTATGAATAATTCTAAAACAGCTCTAAGGCATTTTCACATTACATGCTAAAATCAGTAACTGTGCATGTTGCTAATTGTTAATTGAAATATGTCCAGTGATGACCACTTTATCTTGGCTGTTCTTTCTCAGAATACATCTCTATATAGAGATAGCCAATAATTTAAACATTATGTGAGGAAAAAAAACTTTTATATATATACAAAATATATATATATATATATATATATATATATATATATACACACACACACATATGTCTATGTATGTACTGATTGGTGGTCAACTAAAATATTGTCAGTGATGAAAATTGTTTTCTACCAAAGTACTTACGTTTAAGTTTAGGTTTAGGAAGGCTGAATGTAGTGGATCAATTTTGGAAGTGCCACATGCCCCATTTCTTTGTGTACAACCAAGAGTTGCCAGAACAGCAAGACACTCCTTTTTCTTCCTGTGCTTCTGCAGTTAGCTGTGCACTTTGCTGTGTCATGATCACTGCCCTGGTGTCCTTGGATCCTATCCTAATCCTGCAGGATTATGTCTATGTGAAAGTCCCCCATGCTGTAGGATTTTCATAATAGAGGCCTAGGATGAGTATATCTCTGTAACAGTGTGCTAACAAAAGGGCATCCCAGGAAAAGTATTTTGACTGGTACCTCTGCAGTGTCTCTCAGTGCTACTGAACAGACTGTTCTGGATACCAAAAACCTGATCTGAAATGCCATTTTAAAACAACTAACTTTCAAACTAGGGGGAATTTCCCTGATTTGGGTTCTCACTCAGTTGCTTGGAAGTTCTGAATTACATGCCCATAATCAGCCAATAATAAATACCTCCTACAGGTGTTCTAGCTCTTTCCTGGGCTGTCCTCATCACACATAAACTGTACTATGATTCATGCATTTGCAGGTATTTTTCTAAATAATTCCAAGGAACTGGGCCTAAGTGCCAAATAGAAGTGTAATAAACATTTCTAAATTAATTTAATGTTGTTATGCAACTGTAAGTCTGAGAATTGTCCCATTTGCTGAAAAAGCTCTGAAATAAGAATGTACATGTGCCCTGATGGATAATGGATAAAGCATCTCCAATGTAATATTAATTTATATTTCATGCAGTCATTTATATTAACCAATATACTAGAAACAGAAGTACTCTTCAGACCCTACATGAAACATGGCTTTACTAAACACTACCTCACATACATTACTGCACATATTTTCTATACTAATGTATGGTGATGAATAATTTTCCATAGTATTATTTAATCTTTTCTTTCATACTTCAGTTCTTGTGATTTTTAAATTTTGCTGTGTTCTGCTTTTACACTCTGACACACTAACTTTGCTATCTGAGCTTTTGTGGAGACGACCCATTACAAAATAAAAGACTGCTTTATCTTATTGTTAGCTTTCTAGAATGAAAACCATCTGCTTTGTCTGCTTTTCTGTCTGAATCCTGCTCTGGGGCTGGTTCCTCAGAGTTTTGCATCTTCCTCAATCCTGTCTTGAAATGGTAAGAAATAAATGGTTATTAAAAGCCTCTGGCATTGTACAGTACACAAGCTTAAGTATTCAGAACTTTTGGTAGTAAGACTTTGCCTTCTATTTGCCCATTTGAAAATGTTTTAAATTTCAACATCAAAAGCCCTCTTTATTGTAAGTGGACAAGATAATGATAATTAACGTTTAGCTAGAGAAAAGCTGACCATGGGAATAAGAAAATGAAACTGCCATGGCCATTCTTGAATGTATTTATAGTGGGCAAGTTGAAACAAAAGGAGAAGCAAGTAGCTGAACTTTCACTGCATATTTAAATAAAACCATTATAGCTATGCATCAGTTGCTCTGTTGGGTTTTAGAAGAGCTTGTGTACCTGTCATTTTTAATTCTCTGAACTATATATCACTTTGTACAAGAAATAGATTTGCACTCCTATTCATTAGCAAGAAACCACTGAAAAAAATTTTTAGTCACTAGTGCTAGTAGTATATCATTACAATTGTTTACATGACAATGAAGTTTTGACTTCTGTTCACTTGGGATTGCAGTCTTGTTGGAATTAGTCTTAAATGATACTGTTTATCTTTTAATCTTACGTCACAACTCAGAAGGACTCTCTTCCATAGGACACCATTAACATGTGCTGCTAAGTCTCTTTGTCCATACTGTGTGCTATTATACCTAGACATTTCCAAATTGTAGAACAGCTAAATGAGGCAAAACATCATTAATGAAAGTATATATATTAATGAAAGTGTTCTACCTGACTTCTTAGATTCTTTTTCCCCTCTTCCTTTTTGGTAGGCCATAAAGTCTGTGATTTCAATTTTCATTAGAGATATAGTAAAACATTTCCACCATTTCATCCTCTTTTTCTGAATTGGAAAGTTGTTTCCTAGAAAACTCCTGCAGTGTTGTATCACCAGCTTCCAAAAATGCTGGCTGCTCTAATAGAATTTAGACAACTAAAAAAATGTTTGCAGTTAGCACTGACCGATTGTAAACCTGTCCTGTGCTGACCCGGAGTTTGATCCTATTCAATTCCGTTGGCTTTGTTTTTAGTTAAGTAGATTTGGGAAGCAAGCATCTATTCATGAGCCAACCTGATCTGGCTTCTATGGGGTCATGTGAAATGCCTGGATCAAAGTGAATAATAAATATAACTCAGCAGGACCAATGTTCGTTCTTTTGCAGATGAAGCAAGAGGTTTATTTTTATCCTAGTGTAGGGGAGAATGCAGCAAACAGAAATCTAAAAGGAGGGTTTTACACTTTCTGACACTCCAGATGTAAGGAGTAAGCATTCACAAGAGATGCTGAGTCACTTGGGTGTCACAGGTAAGTTAGGAAGTCAGCTGGTATCAGTCGCTGCAGGGCAAGAATGCACTGCCTTGGGGTAAGAATGAGCAAAGTTACCTATGAGTAAGTCAACGTTCTGGCACTGCTTCTCTTGTAACATCTCCCCAGTAGATCTTGAGAGTTGCCAAATTTCCTTAGTAGGTTCCATGGGTTATTGGAGTTCAATTTACAGCACAGTGTAAACATATTTAAAATGCACTAACTCAGAAAATTGTGCAAATTCTGTCTGTTTTGGGAAGTAAGACGCATTTATTAAAACACATTTCTTTTGCATGTCGGCATGCAGTGGCAGTCTGTCATTCACATGGAATAACCAGTACTTGTATTTGAACTTTCAAGTAGCACACTGAGGAAATAAATATGTAAAATCCTTCTGCTTGGTCTCAAATCCACTATCAGAGATGTTTGTACACTTCTATCTGAGGAAATCTAGGTTTCTCCCATTATTTGCCTCCTACTTGTTTAATTTTTTCCCAGTACATTAGCTGTAAGTTTTAAAGCAGAAGATTCCTGAGACCAGTTACACATTTCACCTACATTCACTGAGAACCATATTATGTTTTTCTATAAAACAGACCCAGAGAAATGAGACCCCTAAATCTATCTGAAGCAGACCACACTTTTTTTTTTTTTTTCTTTTGTTTTGTTTTGTAACTGATCAGAGGAATAGGCAGTTCTCTGACTGCAGAAGTCAGGATTTGAACTGGTAGGGAATGGATCCTGCTTACCAGAATGTGGAATGGACACAGAACCATAGAAACAGAACCACTCCAGTCTGTAAGGAGAATCACACCAATCACTGCAAGGTCTCTTTGAGGTTGTTCATCATACACAATGCCCAGCTACAGCATCTGTAAATTAGCATTTCTCATATTAGACATTTTTCAAATTTTCAGAAGTTTTGACCTTGTTAGTTATCCCTCCTTTTGTTCTTGAGCATCTTTCGTTTCTTAATACTTTTGGTTCCCCTGTCCTACCATACTGATTGACAAGCTTTTCTACATCAAGCAAGATAAAACTGTACAAAACCATTCTTTTTTACAGATTTGAATCAACCAAAAATTGTCAACAGTGACTTCAAAAAAATAGTACAGAGCAAAACTCAATTTAATTTTATTAGCTAAGCTCATGTTAATTATTTGTGGTCTATTTCTATAGTATCTATGATCTATTTGTAGCTCTCTGCTTTCAGCCATTAGCAGTTAAGAGTTTCAGTGCTCAATTATGATTTGTTGAGTTTGTTTAACACAATAGTGACACCCACTGGCTTTTTGGATAGTTTTTGTTTTCCTTTTCATAGTCCCACAGGGTTAAAACCTAAGTATACATTGTGAAAGATGTTTTCAGCACTTCACTGTGATTTGTCATTTGTTCTGTGAAGTATCACTGTGAATACTAAACTGCATCATCAGGGGTTTTTTTCTTGTAGTATATTACATAACTGAAAAATATAAAAAAGTTGCCAAATATGATAAGTTGGCAAATTTTCCAAGAGTTTAGAGCATGGTTCAGATGTTCTTTAAAAGAAAGACAGACGATATACAAGGGTCTGTAGTGACAGAACAAGAGGTAGTGGCTTCAGGCTGAAAGAGAATTTAGATTTGATATGAGGAAGAAATTATTTACTGTAAGGGTAATTAGGCCTAGCACAGGTTGCCCAGGGAATTGTGGATGCCTCATCCTTGGAAGTGTCCAAGGCCAGGTTTTGAGTGACCTGGTCTAGTAGAAGGTCATCCTAACCATAGCAGGGTGTTTGGACCTACTTGATCTTTAAGATCCCTTCTATCTCAAACCATTCTCTGATTCTATGAAAAGTCAAACTGTAACTATTATTATTGCATTTTCTTGGCTAAAATCTGCTAATTTGGTGAAAAAAAATTATCTAATGTATTAAGGACAATAGACTGGATTTAATGCCAAATTGTGTGATTTCTCAGATTTATCTCATCTTAATCAAGTTTATATTTAGAAGAGGGTTTGTTCTGGTTTTTTTTTGAGCCTTGACTCACAGTGAAAATTAGTTTGGTTCTAGCCTTACACAGTGAGGAGTAAAATCTTCCCAGAACGGACACCCCTCCAAACCCTGGAAGATGTGGCTTTGCTGCGTAATTGAGCAGCTCTTCCAAAGGGGGAGAGGACATGGGTGGGGCTTAGAGCAGCAGCAGATGCCCCCATCTCACTAAGCAAATTACAAAATAAAACATCTCTCCAAATGCCTTTGCAAGCACTCCTTTCTTGCCCACAGACTGCTTTCCTTTCCTTCTTGCTCTGTCCTGCTCCTGGTGAAATGAAAAAGACTGGTTACAAGCCAGAGTCCAGTGCACAGTGCAAAGGGCTGCTGTATTGTTTGCCTACAGTCTGTGTGAGCATTTTCACTTTTGTTCTAATGAACAGAAGGTAAGTGCATTTCACAAATCACTGGTACATCTCCATAGCCTGTGACATAGGGTACTGTCTTCACTGAAGGTGATAACTGGGCTTCTTTTGACTTTTTTGATAACAAGAAGCAAGACAATTCACTTGAGTAGCATGACGTTTTTATTCCAACTAAGACTCCTTTAAAACATTGTGCTTGAGACAGCTAAGTGCTCAAGGCACTCTTAAAATCAGCTGCCCTTCAGTCTCCTGCATTAAAAAAAAATCCAGTTAACCTTGGCCATTGCCTTTTCCAAAGAGCATTAAATGTTTTGTTGCATGATTCTGAAGTACTTGCAGTCTTAGTCTTAGGAAGCTAAAGTTAATTAAAAAAAAATACAGCCTTGTTTTGTTTAAAGTCAATTTCTTACTGCAGGTCAAGCCCAGGATATGCTAAAATAACAGACCATAGTCTTGGCATGGTAGCTCCTGACCTAGACAATTAACAAGGCACTGAAAACCTAGAGGAATTTATTGGCATCAGATGGCAGAGCGGGCATAATATTCTGTTCATTTTATCTGAGCTAATTTGTCATTTCCACATGAGCATGACTACCTTCATCCTCTTTATTTTTACAGCTGTCCTGAGACTGTAATGCTGTGGTAGTCACATTGGATGGGCACAAATAATAGATGTGATAATAGATGTTATGGCATGGTATCAGTTTGGTCTTAACAAAGCTCCAGTCATTATCAGTCTTTGAGCTGAAAGAAAGAGAGAGAATCCATCAGCTTCACATGGCATGCTAAAGTTGTATCAGCTGCCAAACCCATTGTGAATTCTGAATTCAGTGACTCTGTTCTATGACTTCACTACCTTCAACTGAAGACCATGAAGTCAATTAAATTCACAGTGTAGCAGCAAATGAAGACATTTTACCAACCTAAAGGACTACATGTCCTGGAAGTTTTTATTTTATTTTTTAATTATAATAACTACCATAGGATGCCTACAGTGTTTCAGCTTTTTTTCTGAGTGCAATAAAAATCATGTTTCTTAACTGTCCAAAGTATATAGCATGTTTTGAAAGTTTTCTCTTTCAACTCTTGAATGCAGAGCATATGCACTATTAATTAAAAATACTGAAGTTGGTGCAGTTACCTGTTGTCAACAAAATGCATTAAAAGACAAATGCATTAAAAATTAGTGTAAAACATCTTATGCTTTTTTTTTCCTGTTGATGAATGATGCATTTTGCAAGGTAACTGATAGTTTAGAGAACTAAAAAGCCATACCACTTCCAGTAAAGTTAATGGTTCAAAGAATTGTATTTTATTAAATTAGTGTGATTCATTACACTTGTACTCAAAATGATGCTTTAATTAAAATGGTTGTCCAATTATTTTTTCAATCAAGTATTTAAAGGGCATAATAGCTACCTTAGAAGTACTTCAATTAATAAATTCATTCTAACATAGAATGAGCAAGGCTCTGCGAGTAGCTAGGCTGCAACTGCTCATGCAAGCAAACACTCAACACCCAGAATCCCAACTGTCCATTCACTGTTAACAAGGATGCAGAATCATCAGCTTCTAATACCAGTAGCACTTAATTTGCATAATATTTTACATTACTGAAATTCTGGTATCACAAAAATTGTAACTGTTAGAGAAGACAACATGCTGAGTCTGCCCTGGAATTTTTGCCAGTGGCTTCTCTGGAAGCAGGATCAAGGCTGAAGTGAGAGCAGCGAGTAAAGATAAATGGAACATGACTCGTATGAGGATTCTTTTTTTCAGATGGTCCTTATTTCTAAGTGTAGGATTTCTTTTCCCAGCCTCTGGACTAAGTTCCTGTTCATAGTTCAAGGGCCAATGGTCATCTAGCCCTGCTTCCACTGTGGCAAGAACCTAGAGTATGTTCCTGTTCAAACGTGTAGTAAATTACCTTCTCTGTTTTATTTGACTGAATGATGCATGTCATACATTTTTTCACTTCTTTTCACTGTCAAATCACACGGATTTTAAAAAGACAATTAGAAAATAAATAAAAAGTAAAAGAAGCTTAAGTCCCTGATTGTAATTCACAAGATTTTGTCCAGACAGATTCAGCCTGTTGAAATGTTTACAATGAGAAGCAAGCATTCAGTTCTTTTGCTTCCTGAAGCTACATATTTTCTTACAATCATCTTTCATTTCCATCTTTTTTTCTTCCTTCAATCCATTCATAAAAGTAAAGATATAATCTGTTATTTCCGTGAATAATGAAATATCTTTTACTGCCCTCCAGTGGTCCTAATGCCATATGGTTTTCTCAGCAATGTGTGGGGTTCCATTTTGCTCTCTTTTAAAATACTGGATTATAATAAATTATAATAATTAATTCTATACTATAACAAATTATTGATTGATTATACATACTGTGTGACTAATAGAATTAATTATAATAACTTAGCATAACTTATGTATGAAGTCTGCAAAGCAAAACATTCTTCAGTTTGGAAACAACAAGTTATAGGTAAACAAGGATAATTATATAAAATTAAAAAGATATGTAAGAGAAATAAAGTCTTGGAAATACATAGATTTTTGTAGGGTGGAAGTGTAGACAGCTCACATGTGAAGCCTGATTAGAAAGCTTGCTTCATTCAGCACTTTGAATCTATGATTGCATAGTTATTGAGCAGCACAGAAGAAAAACTGCAACACATCTGAAACAACTCCACACCAGTGTTATAGACTAAACAGTCCTGTTGGCATGGGAGTTAATTTTACTATAGGAGAATGTATATTACCTTGGAAAAGTTAACAGAAATCTATGGAGATTGTATGGTAATGAAGGTACAAGTACTCCATTTAGAGCTATTTATAGAAGTTACATTCTTTTACCTCCCAACCCATTTTAACACAATCTATTAAAACTGATGCTTTCTGTAAATATGTTAGCTAATAACTATTATTTTTTTTCTCCAGGAAAATTCACTAATTTTACATGAGGCATTAAGATATGAGAGTGATTATGAAAAATGTGAGCTAGAAAAACTTAATTGGCACACCATGACTTGAAAGAGGGAACTTGCTTGATTTGTTCTAATTTTGTATACAAAGTCACTTTGTATAAAATGAGTTCTCATTTTTCTGTGGGAAAACACAATGCTCATTGGAGTCCTAGGCTTGCGAGAGATGATACTTAAATTGGTGGAGCCAGGAAGTCTTGCAGGTTATCCCAAGCATCTCAGAGAGTGGTCTTGGAGACCTGATGAAGGTGAAAAGAAGTGATCACCTTCAGCATGCTGTTAAACTTGAAGGTTGTGTTCCTACAGCACCGAATTCAGTTTTGCAGGCTGTCCAGCAGCTGTTTTGAATTGTGAATATTTATACATTGTAAGCCTCGTTTTATGCACAGGGTCATCTCTGAATTGCTGTGGGGGTTACAGCAATAGTCATTCACTTCTTTGGACTCTTTTCAGGGTCAGCCTGGTGAGCTGGGAGCTCAAGGTCCGATTGGGTCCTTGGGATCTACAGGACCAGCTGGTCTGCCAGGGGAGAAAGGACAGAGAGGTGAGAATGGGAAGCCTGGGCCAGCTGGAGAAAAAGGTGATAAGGTAGGAAACACCACAGACAGCTCTTTTAGGTGTATACAGTGTGTAATGTTAAATGTTGATAAGTGAAACAGAACCTGAATGACCAAAAAGCACTTGCCAAACTATACACTTGCTCACACAAAATTCTCACAGAAGTTAATTACAGATAATCAATTCTTGAAAAAATATTTCAGGAGATTTTTTTGCTGTGGATCACAAAATTAGAATTTTTTGTGTCAGAAGACACAAAATATGATGAACAGACAGACTCTGATTGTCATGTACCACACATCCTCCTTAACCTCAAAGAATGTGTAGAAATGTGGAGCTGGAGGGAACAGTATGGTGCTTTTAAAAATGCTGCACTATAAAGAATTTTATTACCACTTAGAGAGTATAAATTGAAGTTCAGATTCATATCTTTCATACCTGTACAATCCCTGGCCCTTGGTACTTCATATTAGTTGTAATAGTCTAATTTGACTGATCTCAGAGTGAAATCACTAATGTCAGTATCTAGCACACCTCAAATGTAAATGCTGTAACAAAAATTGTACTGCTGGTTTTATCAAACCAGGAGCAGGATTGTGAAATTATGTACAGAAATATTTTATAAGTTACAGGCAACTTCCCACTCTGTCAATTTATAATCTTCGGAGGATGAATGGCTATGAAGTATTAGATGTTTGTCCTGTACTGTACCACCTGGTACACAGGTAACTGTTGGCATTAGTCTTCTGCTAGGCCCACAGAAGTTTTTTTCAGATACTTAATTTCTGAAAATTATGGCTTTTGATTCATATTTCAAACAAGACTGGTTTTTTGTTTCTTTCTATATAGTACCACATATTCTTGTTTTTCATTTTTTTTAAGTAATGACCTCCTCAACTTTGTTTTCTCATATCACCTCTTTTTAGGGCCCAACTGGAGTTCCAGGATTTCCTGGTTTAGATGGTGTTCCTGTACGTATTAAACAACTATTTCTTTATAAAAATTACAGGTCCCATAAATTCATAGCAAGTCCTCTAACAGAATAATATACTGACTAAGTTGTTTGGCTTTAAACTTGTTGATATAATTTCTCTTAGAGAGTTACATGTTTTGAAAAAATGTAAAATAACTAGGTTAACTTCAGCTGTGTTTCCTATTGATAACAAAGACCACCAAATCCCAAAGAGGTAAGTAGAGAATTTTCATGCAGGAGTGGGGCAGTGAAGGCAGAGACTACCACTAGGCTTAAAAGCAGAGTATTTCTTCTCTCAGGATCTATAGCACACCATAGTCTGCTTGGTTCATTCTTAACATCTCTGAAAATACATCACACAGTGCACTGGTTTTTATTCAAACATTCTGATTTTTGCTTATAGTCCTTTTGCAGGAAGAAACCCAACCACTTAGTCCCGTAATTTTAACCTGAATAGGGACTGAATAAGCAAAGTGGGTCCTAAATATGTCTTTATAAGGATGTGACAATGTATTTTTATTAATGTCTTCTTCAACATGAAAATTGGTGAAATAGTATCTTAGAAAATGCGATAATGTATTTTTATTAATTGGTGAAATAGTATCTTAGAAAATGCATTTTTCAAAATACTCTGCTAGAATTGAATTCCTGTGATGCTACCAGTTTCATGTGGCTCAAAGAAAGTTAAAATGTTGAATTTTGAAAGTAAAAACAGAACTAAAAGCCGAGTGGGTGTTGTAGCATCTGCTTGTCAGCTGTCCACATTTGACAGTGGGACTGTTGCCAAAATACCTGGGTAATGGTATTTTGGTCACAAGCCCAAAACTTGGCACAGAAAAAGGAAGTGTTCCCAAGAAATGTATATTCTTTTTGCAAATAATGTTAATTTAAAAACAGTGTCCACAAATTAGACTGAAGCATTTACAGAGCCTGGATAATGGAGAGGTCACAAGCCCAAAATTAGGCACAGAAAGTGTTCCTGAGAAATGTATATTCTTTTTGCAAAGAATGTTAATTTAAAAACAGTGTCCACAAATTAGACTGAAGCATTTACAGACAAGAAGGTAGAATTGACAAAAGTGTTTCAGGTAAATGACCAGGGTACTCTCTTGACAATTTTTCAGACTTCCCCTACAAAAATTTTTTTTTTTGTCAAAATTTATATTTTGTCAATACAAAACTCTTTAATTCTGTGAAAAATAGGGTTTTTTTTCTCCAACAGGAAGATCATTCCAAGAAAAATCTCATTGTTTCATTGCCCAGTTTCCTAATCCTTATCTGGACACTGGTTAGTTATTACTAGGTTAGAAAAACCACAATCTCTGTAATTACTGTGTGCCTGGGTCAAGCTATGTCCTCTTTTTACTTGTTTTATCCTAACAATTAAAAAACATGAGGCTGCTTGAAATTAATTTTTTTTTTTTTTAAATCGCCAGTGCACCCACTAGAATTATTTACTCATTTTCTGCTGTGAGATATGGATTAGGAGGAGGGCAACACAGGCTCAAAACTTTTAAGGGTATAAAGAAAACTTTTATTAACAGAAATAAAAGAAAAATAATAAGAAAATTGGAATAAAACCTTCAGAACACTTCTCCTCACACACCCTCTTTTCTTTCCCACTGACAACATAAAGAGACAAAACCTGGGACTTTCAGTCAGTTTACCACCTCTAAAAATAGTCTTTCTTCAGTTCTCTAAGGGAGAGGAGTCTCTCTTGCCATGCCATGGAGACTTCTCCACAAGAAACAGTTCTCTCATGGCCTCAATGTCACAGTGCATCAGCCGCCCAAGAAAGGAAGAATCTGTTTGTGTCAAATTCCCTGCCATGCCTTGCAGCTTTCCCACAGCTGCTTCCATGGGCCATGTCCACTTACTGGGGTGCTATTTTAAGGATGAGCTGTTCTAGCATAAAAACAAGAGTTCTTTTTCATCCATCTCTGGGAACAGATGTTTTCTTCTTCCATTCCTGGAAGGCAAGGTTTCTCATCTCTCTCATTTCTCTCTGTTCAAACTTCTCATTGTATCACAGCTACAGCAACATCTGTTTATTTCAACTATGCCGTTTCTGCTCACAGCTGTAGCTAGGATGCTACATCACCCCATTGCATTCCATGAATTACAGAGAAAAAACAAAGTCTGATATATCAAATATATCTTCACCATAGCATCACAAAAGAATTTCAGCCCAAGACTAAGGCATCTCCTCAATCCCCTCCCATCTCAAATTGGACTTCCTCTTCAGTGATCTCAGCATCCCATGTTGTTTTCTCTACGTGTCCTCACCTTTCCTTTTTCTGATTTTGTTTGTTCTCAAGCTGTATCAATTGAAACAGTCTTATAGAGTCCTGCAGCGCTGAAAGGTTGGTCTCCTCCAGGCTCTGCATCGGGGAAATCGCTCGCCATGCCTCCCTGTTGGTTATGTGCTCCCCATCGACACCGTGCGAGTTGCGCTGGCTGCCAGTGCTACCCCATGCCTTTTCTTCATGAGGGGCACCGAACAAGAAAAGCTGCTGCCACTGCCTTTGTCCTGTCCACAGGATGGCTGGCTAAAAGCAGCTAAGCAAACAAAGTTCTTCACAAACTGTGCAGAGATAGTTGCCCCAGCCACCCCATCCACTCCTGGCCTTGGGGCTGCCCCCCGTGCTGACCGCGGGGCTGCATGGTTGCTCCCGGTGCCAATATAGCCCCTGCAGCCACCCCAGCCACTCCTGGCCTTGGGGCCGCCCCCGTGCTGAGCGCGGGGCTGCATGGTTGCTCCCGGTGCCAATATAGCCCCTGGCCGGCATGGCCCAGCGGTGCCACCGGAAAAAGGATCAGCGACTCTGCCACGAAGGGGCTCGGCAGCCTGCTCCCCACCCCTCAGGGGGCAGAAATCTCAGCCAAGCCGCACCATGCTGCGGGCTGAGCCAACCTGGCTGCGTGGGCCAGCCTGGCCGGTTAGCTTTTCAAAGGCTGGCAGCCAAGAGAGTTTTCCCAGGCTTTGCTCGTTTTTAAATGTGTTTTCCCACAACTCTTTTAGGTGATTTAACCAGGTGTCAATCTTCATAACTAGCCAGCTGACTGGCTCTGCCAGGTCCCCATAGGGAACCACCCCCACAGCCCATGGACTGCCCCCAACTGAAACCAGACTTTGTTAAAACCAGGACAACAGCCACAAGAAAGAATATTGCTAGAGAGCTAGAGTCTGTATTCTCTGAGAGGACAGAACATTCCTTTTTCACTCAAGTGAAAACACAGTCTGGTCCACTTGACCTGTGTTAGTATAACCGTGTTATATTTGCTATGTATCAAAAAACCCAAATAAACAAAAGACTTACCTAATTTGTTCGACACCACAAAAAATCTATTCAAAATAGAAGACATTTCTCATGCAGAAGAATATGAAACCAACACCACCGTGAGAGGTCATCTCATTCACAACTGAGATAGATTTGTTTCTGAACTGTTCTGTTAATGTAAAAAGTAATTTTCCATTAATCATGGTGTATTTCTCATAAATATTAAACTGTCTTTCAGGGCCTCCCAGGAAGGGAAGGACCCAGAGGCAAGCATGGTTTGGATGGCTGCAATGGCTCGAGGGGAGACCCAGGATTTCCAGGAGAAAACGGTTATATGGGACCAAGAGGTCCTTATGTATGTGAAAGGCATTCCCACTGTGCATGTGCATTTCTCCTCCAGGCTTACAGCTCTTAAAATGACTCTTAGACTGTGGCATCAGCTTTACAGTGCTGCACAGGGAATTACCAGGAATTCTTACTCAGGTTAATGGGAGTGAAACACTGCCTTAACAGATTAAGCTTGAAAGTGAAATAAGCTTCTATATCCTTGAAGTACATATGGCTGCCTTGAGAGTTAAATTCTGTCTTGTTTCCCCAGAATTGCCACTCCAGCTGAAAAGGAGTAGCTTGAAACCACCTTACTATTATTAGTACTTGAAATTTCTTAAAAGCATTACTAGTAGGGACATACATGGGATGACTTAGAAATAAGTGGAAGGTTCAACAAGGCTAAATCCTGTTCTACTCTAAGATTTGGTACCCCTTTTTTACACATATGTGCTCTGTGCACTCCTAGTCTTGCCTGGACATGTAACTGTATATGCCGAGATCGTTCCACAGTTAAAATGTTTGAAATTAGCCCTTTAATATTTGGTTACTTTTTCTGGTAAAATGGAATGCACTTTAAAATTGTTTAAGTAGCTGTGTTAGCAGTACTTGACTACTGAAGATAAAAAGATTCTTGTCATTAAGGGAAATAAATTACTGTAGCTCCAAAGAAATTTTGCTGAACAGTTCTAGTCACCAGTCTTTGACTTATTGTGGAAACAAGTTTTAGTTCTGAATGAATAAGAGCTGATTAGTTGGTCTAACAGCTTCCCTGAATTTTTTTAAGTAACCCAATAAAAACAACTGCACTTTACATTAAAAATAAAATGTGTTTAGTGAGAGCTAAATAAAATGCTGAATTCAGCCATTAGAAAAATGTGGAGAGGGTGCAAGAGTGTAATGATGTTACCAAAGATAAAAATTAGAATAAAATACAATTTCATGCTATGAAAGACACAACATTATAAACTTACTAATAACCTCATTTGTAATACCTCTGCAAGTAACTTGTTACTTCTGCTGAAACTCTAATTTCACCTCTATTTTCTTATGTATTATGGCCTTCAAAATAGAGTTTACTTTTTGTAATTAGACAAGTGACAGAAAGGAAAAATGGAACATGGGACACCATAAATCCTACCAATTTTGGGAGCGTGCTCTTTGGAAGGCCTATATTTGCAACCTACAAGAACAGGGAGACACAATATGCATGTAGCCTTGGATGGCATACTAAAATTCCACTGCAAATTCATTTAGCTACTCAGAAAAACAACACAGAGTAACCCTATTTGCTTGTGTGCAAGAATGCTCTTCCAACCTCTCTATGCAGATGGCCTATTTTTAAATAGATTTGTTGCACCAGGTGCTAAATTGACTGTACATTACAGCCAACATTTTTATCTAATTCTTATTTATACCATTGTCCTGCATAATTTTATTTAACACCATGTACATATACATCGGCTTTACTTCATTGACCTTGTTGGAAAATAAAGTAATTTCTATCTGTAATAATATAGAGGATAACAAACTGAATCTAACAAAAATGTTTTATTATACAAGATACCACGTGTAAAATAACTAAAGACAAGAACAACTTTTGTTTTGTTTAATGTGTTCCCTAGTAGCTGTCGTTTACCTGTAATCTGTATCCAATGTACTGTAGCTATACCAGATGCAGACAGCTGTAATTCTTCCTTTTATTGTACCATTCCAGGGAGAAATACCTTCCCTGTTTCATTCTGACTGCAGGATTTGGACAGCCAGTTTATGTTTATAAGTGGCTGACAGTGTCCCATTTTATTCAACTCAGTAGTCAGGTAGTTAACTTAGTTAAATTATATCCACTGTATTTGGATTTCAAATGGAAAAACTTCAGAAATAGGATATTTATATGTTACATTCTTCAGATATGTGCATATCATGCTCTTAACAGTAAATTGAGCATTGCAGTTAAATTTTGCAAAATAAATAGTCTGTTCATGCTAACTCAGATTGAGTTTTTGAGGGTGCTACAATTAGCAAGGTTTTATAAATGACCCCACAGCAAATAGCATGGGAACTTAGTTCTTAAAATCTAGGGCTCTTAGGTATCAGATTTTTTTAATAAACTGAAACAGGTTTCCTAACAGATGGAAATATTGAATACTATGCATCTAATACAGTCCATACTTTGATTTTTTTTTTTTAGCTGCATCCAGTATCACTTTAAATTCTTCTGAATCACACAATGAACTTTCATGGAAGACAGTGTGCTAGTACTTAAAGCCACTGCCTCCCTGAAAGAAAAAAAAGGCATATTGATATTATGGACAAGATTTGTGAAGATTGTAGAATATTGAAGGACAAGGTGCTAAGGAGCATCTTAACAGAGCAGGAATCCAGAAGCTGTGGGAACCTGGTTTGCTCAACTCCACAGAAGGTTTTGTTAGATAAAATGATTATTCATGATCCTAGTGGATTACCTTGTGATATAGGGGCACCAGAAAGTCACAGCCTGAGAAGTTATCATTCATTCTCCATGGAAATGTAGGATATCAGTAAGTGGATCATGTTTTAAAAGATTCTTTTTCTTTAAAGGGAATTCCAGGGCAAAAAGGAGAAAAAGGAAATTCAGTGTATATTTTACATTTTGGAAAAGGACTTCCAGTAAGTATCTGATTGTGGAAAAAATCATCTATTTGTAGGAAAACATGTATGGTAAATGTAATTGTTGCATTACTCCTCACTAGTTATAAAACTTAATGGGGAAAAAAAGAAAATAAATTAAAAACACATATACAACTCTAACAGCTGTTCATGATCAAACAGCTAGTTTATGATCTTAATATCTGTAAAGTCAGAAAATATCCACAAGAAAGCTTGAACTGGTTCATTTGCTAAATTATTGTCATTACAGGGAGAGAGAGGTGATCCTGGACCCCCTGGCATGCCTGTAAGTACAGTCAGTGGGTTCTATAACTGCTTTTTGTCTTGAAGATCTTCACTTTTTTCTCCTTAATATGGTAAGAAGTATTGGGGTTTCTCTCTGCCTGCCTTAAAGAGCAAAATTCCCGAATAAACATCAAGAGAAGCATCATTGAGAAACAACAAGTCTGTATAGTCTGTTCCCATGGCTAGTTCATGTTGGCTGAGAGGGAGCAGAAACAGACCATCCTCACCTGCATTAGCTGTGTGTGGAGCAGCTGTTGCCCTGGTATTCACAGAATATTTTCTCTGGGAAATTCAAGAAGTGAAATCTTCTTCTACAATATCTGATGGGTCTCCCAAGAAGAAGTAGCACTCTATGATATTCCAGCTATAAGAACATGGAAGAAGAAGAGAGAGTTTAATTTGTTGCTGAATCACATTGTTGATGTTTTTGGGTTCCTCTTGTTATACCCTTCAAAAAGGCATTCATTGATGAATTGTATCAAGTCCCTTCACCATAGCACAATTGCTGACAAAGTGAACTCTCCATGCATTAACAACATAGAACTGTGCCTTGTCCAGTATTGCCCAGAGGCTGCTGCTGGGCTGCTCTAGTCAAGGGAGATTTCAGGCATGGTGTAAGCTTTGGGCTATGGGTGGAATCCAGTGGCCAGTAGGCTGAATCTAAGGTGTTTTAGAGGGGCTGGGTTTGTGTAGAAAAGGACAAGTTATTTCTGTGTTCACAAAAAGACCTTTTTCAATCTTTTCCAGGGACCTAGGGGGTCAAGAGGTACAACAGGCCCATCTGGATACCCAGGCCATCCAGGCTTGCCTGTAAGATCCCCACAGTTATACAGCCTTGCCTTAGGATATGCATTCATTCTTGTCTACCCATTTTAGAACTTGCTTTAATGTGAATCAAAGCCTAAAAGTAATTTTTGAGGCAGGTAATAAGATAGATTTTTGCTTTACCTTATGAGTTTGGAAGATGAGGAATATGTTGTTCCTTCCCATGCCTGCATGAACGTCTGTGGTCATGGAGAAATTCTCCTAGTGCTCTCTCCTTAATCCCTTTTCCCAAGAGCACCTGTGGGAGAGAGGAAAGGGGGAAACCAGAGGTCAGCCCTCCTGAAAGCAGTGACCAAGTGACGTAAATTGCACTTTGGAATAGGTACACCCCAAGAGAAAATTCTGCCTCTAGGTCCTATGAGCAAGACGAAAAAATTTTCAAAACCTGTCTCTAAATCAGACATATTCACTTGTCTTCATTCTCTTTTAAAGGGTGTTCCAGGTTACCCTGGTTTGCCAGGTGAACAGGTGGGTAATAACTTCTGAAGCTGTTAGTGAAATAATAATTTATACAAGTATTTGAAATGTTCCTTTTGTTTATTTGTTATCAAGCTTTTCAAATCTTCAAAAACTTTCAAAATAGTTACTTGATAAAACTCTAATGTTAATATTTTCTGATCATGCTGAAACTGTGTACATTCTTTATCAATTAGGGAAATCCAGGGATTGGAGTGGATGGACAAAAGGGGGAGCCGGTAAGAAAACAAATAATATTAAATATATTATTGCTGCAAAGTTAGAAGAATAATAGAGTCTTGTTTAGTTCCCTGGAACCCATTAATTTGTGGCTTTGTGTCCTGCTAATCATGTTAGAACAGAAGAAGTGATTGAATCAATTAATTCTGAGCAGAAGGAATTCCTTCATGAGCTGCATTCTGGAATCAAGCACATTCTGAAGATTTTGAAAAGCGACAGTCAGTGTTACTTAGCATTTACACACATTCTGAACAGACTCTGCCTAGGTAATCACACCAGTATTTGTGATTACTTAGTGATAGGGGCTGGACCAGACTAGTCCCTGAAACTCATCTCTTGCTAAGTGCAGAACAGATGTCAAGGAAAGGGTGTAAGAAGCACATAATAATAGTTCTTTACCAGTCTCCACCTATATTAGCATATTCAGGATATATAGAGCCAATGTGGAATATTTGATATTCCTTCTATGAATTGCTGCAATCAGTTCTTAAAATTTGTGCAAGTGTCTAACATACACAACTTTCCACAGCAAATCAATAATTTTATTTCACATTCACAAAGTCTTGTGCTCAAAGGCTTTGGTCTAGAACATGAGAGACTGTATATACCCATAAGAGATATGACAGTCCTGTAACTACTATTTCCACAGCAGATTTGGAGCAGGAGCCAGGCATTCTCATTTATTTCCTTAGCTGTAACATCATTTTTAATGAGTCAGGAGACTAGGAGATTAGACTGCCAACCTTACTCATCTGCGCAGATGGTAAAGAGGCTTACAGATCTCAGTGCAAACCTTTATCTGCAGGTAATTAGTACATTTTCAGTGAGTGCAGAAATCTGTAGTGCTATGGTACAACAGGAAAACAAGCTGAGTGTCACTGAAATGCTGCATGGAACATCTCTGCTGTTGCTTTGGCTTCCACAGGGTGACATTGGACTGCCTGGGCCACCTGGGTCACCGCTGTTAGTTGGACCTCCTGGAGCTCAGCTGTTCAAAGGACAAAAGGTGTTAATTTGTCATCATATTTAACAGTATTCAACTTGGCAAGTACAATCCTGTGATGTAATTTTTGCAAGGGTGGCATAAGACATACCTATCTTTCTGTAAGAAACCACCAGCTGCAGCAAAATCCTGTGTTCAGCATCCTTCCTACAAGCTTTCAGAGGGGACACACCACGTATACTTTAGCTCATGTTCTGGAGGGAAGACTGTCTTGATGCAGAAAGGAGATACTGCCCTTGCTTTAGTGCTCTTCAGTTTTTGTCATTAGCAAATTCGGTTACTTTGCTATTGAATCTCTTTCTGGCTCTTCACTAATACTTAAAATTTTGCCTATCACTGGCAACTGTACTCCAATCTACAGTTTTGAACTAACCCTAACCCTTCTAAGGGGCTCTTTTTAATAGAAAAATTGTGTGATTTTGTTGTCAATTTTTATTGCAAGTTTTATCACAGGATAATGGAATCATTTGGGTTGGAAGAGTCCCTAAAAGATCAGGTAGTCCCAATCCTTCTGCCATGGGCAGGGCTGCCTTCCACTAGACCAGGTTGCTCAAAGCCTCATGCAAACTGACCTTGAACTTTTCTAAGAATGGGGCATCCACAACTTTCCTGAACAACTTGTACTTCCTCATTCAAGATCACACCATAGCTACAGCTGAGTGGCTTGGAACATTAGAATGTTTGTAACCCATGTTTTTTAAAACAAAAACTGTGTTACAGAGCCTTCTATTGTACAGAGCACTCTGCACCCTCAAGTCTGATTTTATCAAATACACAAATGAAAAGATGAAGTTGGCATTGCCAGCTCCTTGCAGCCTCAACTCAGGGAGCCAGTAGATTTCACATGTTGGACCTTGGGCTTTGATCATGCAAACAGCTGCTATACAGGTGTATGAAGAGAGGGAAAGGACCAAAAGAACCTCCATAAACTTCCCAGCTTCCTGGGAAGTGGAACATTTGCTGCTCTACAACACAACACAATCATGGCCATGTAAGCAGCTATTCAAACTGGGGCTGTGCTCAAAAGTGTAGATTTCATGCTTGTGAGTACTTGCATCAAACCAAGAAGAGCAGCAATTTAAAAAAAGAACTACTGTCATGCATATTTGTAGGAACAAAGCCCTGACTTGCAGATCCTTGGATGTGAAAAGATACATATATCTCCCTCCACAGTCATTATGCTGGTTTGACAGCATTAACAGAAATAAAGATAAGTACATAAATGTTTTTCTTACTTTTCTTGTGTCTAGGACACCTAAAGAAATACACCCAGTGCTTAAAAACATACCGTTTAACACTTCTAATTCAGAGTAGGACTTTAAAAACATTAAGCAGCACATAGACATATCCTGCATATTAATATACACAAAAACTTTCCTTTTATTTGTAGGGCCAAAAAGGATTACCTGGGGTAACAGGATACAGAGGGCCACGTGGACCCAAAGTAAGTAATGGGACTTTTTTTTCCCATGGTGCTGGCAAAGTCCTTGTGTGGTTATTATGTTAAACTTCTAAAGCACAGCATTTTTGGCTGTGAAATTTAATCACTGCCTAAATCAGTGTGAAAGCAAAAATATTTCAAAACCCTTTGGAAAATCTTTCTGAGTGTTTTATACATACCTATTGAGTGTTGCCTGGTAGCAAAAAGTCAGTGTTGTTGCCAGCTGGGCTGTTGACATAATGGATTGGAATTGTGAAGAAACAAGTACAGATTATTTTTCCTCAAGAAGAGAAACAGAAATGATATGAATGTGTTCTTCTGTGGGGCATCATGTATATTTACCACAGAAGGTTGAGGACAGACTTTAACTCTGTGAAGAAAATACAAGTACATATTCTTTTTCCTCAGGAAGAGAAACAGAAATTATATGAATGTGTTCTTAGTAGGGCATCATGTATATTTACCACAGAAGGTTGAGGACAGACTTTAACTTTACATTGTGGATGCCCCCAAGGGTAGAGAAGGCAAAGTCACCTGTTTGGAGAGACAGTTGCTTTTTACTGGCTATTCTGTATTTTCTTTTCTTTCTGTCAACATGATCAATTTAAACATGGAGGTGCCAGAAGGTGAAAATCCATAGGCAGGAAGCTGTCAGATCTCAGAAAAAAAAGAGGAAATTGGAGACAAAAGAATGACTCTAGTTTATGTTAAAAACTTATTTAGCTTTGTAGCAGAAGAAAAAAAATGAGAAGCACGAACATCACATTTCTGAGTTGTAAGTCTGGCACTTTTTCAGAAGTTCATTTTCCATCATAAAAAGACCACTGTTACTTGGCACTGGAAAAGAGAACAAAGCTAATCTTTTTCTATCATATTTACATTGAAACATATGGGCTTTATATGCACGCTCCAGTACTAGTTGTCTATGTAATGATAATACATACACTTGTTAGGCATAAGCAGGAAGAGAGAAACCAACTGAAGCAGCTCAAATGATGCCCAAAACTTTAGAAAAAATATTTACAAATTCAACTGCTGAAATAATATGAAACTTAGAGAAGAGACCAGAGCAGGTTCCTCAAATAACTGGAGTTACTTAGGCACTGCTGGTGATGCTGTGTGAAGTCAGCCCCAGTGACTGAGCCTCACAAGTGAAACAAGATCCATCTATGTAATGCATACATCATTTAGTAAACATGCACAAAAATTAAAATGTATGGCACACTTCACTGAGCATCTTTGTTAAAAAAAATATTTTGACTGCTCTAGGGTGTACTTGGGAGAGGAGAAAAGGGTGAAAAAGGCCTCCCTGGATTCCCTGGCTTACAGGTAAGAAAGCTGCACAATAAATTATATCACAAATTTACTACAATTAGGCAGTTTAAGTTTGCAATTTCAAGAAAGACTTTAAAGATTTTTTTTTAACTAATCTGTCATGCTTCCTGTATAGAATATTTAGGAGACTTGCCCTGGGACTTACCCTGTCTCACAATTAAACATGAGCTTTCTTTGCTTGGAAAGAAAGTGAATCTGTAGGGTTATCCTCTAAATATTTGGACCAGCACAAAGCTGCTCTGGAACAGCACAGTACTTACACAGTAATTTTAATGTTCTCCATACGTGCTGATAGCAGTTTTTTACAGCAACTTTACTTGTGCTGGATTTGCCTAACAGTGCTGAAGTGGAGCAGCATTCCACTACTGTGCTTGATGCAATATGGTAAAAAAAGTTAAGGGGAAATTTGACTGACTTGCTTTGGTCTATAGTTCTAATTCTTGTCCATTTCTCACAGAAATTATTTGCAAAAGCTTTGCAATGTTTTTGTAAGATATCCCAAGTATGTAATGTTAACTATCAGCAGTTCTGAAAAGGTTTAATTTTAAATAAGTTTTTACTGTTTTACCTTACAGTCTACTTGTTTTTATTAGGGTCATCCTGGTTCTTACGGACCTGCAGGCTTTCCTGGAATGAAGGTATGAAGGCAGAAAGTATAAGCAGCTCTCTGAACAGTGGGATCAATGAGATTTTGTTTTCTGTGGATTTGTGCAGATTTGGAATTTCCACATACTTCACAGATCAGATTGCATTCTTTCTTTTCTATTCTGCTACCTGTTGCCACAGAAGCTGCATGAACTCTGTGTCTTTGAATTTCTGCCACTCTGAAATTTGGCTGAAATATCCTAATGGAATCTGAAGTCGTAAGGAGGAGGAAAAGTCAGTGGGACACACATACAGCATAATAGAAAAGTTATGCAGCATGTTAACTTTCTTTTTTATGGTGACATTATTTGTGTAATTTTGTGGTGCATGCATGTTTTGTTCATGTTTCTGGCTTGAGAAATTCCAGTGATGCTAAATTTTACTTATGAACTTACAACATCTTACTGGAATAAAGAACAATAGATGTATGTATATAGATCTATATCTTGCCCAACTCTAGTTAAGGTAGTGATCATGCTGTTCATAAATCACATTAATGTATAAATATTTGCTTCTAGAGTTATGTTCCAGGTGACTGTTTTATCTGCAAAAATACTTTTCACTTTGTTTTTCACTCTTGCCTACCTAAAGAGTTTGAGTACTGGCTGGATGAGTATATTAGAAAATCATTTAAAAAAATGATGCGCAGCTACTTTCCATGCAGTAGTTTAAGAGAATCATTCAGCAAGCAGCCAACCAATTTCAGCTGTATTAAGCAGACAGTCTGTCAGAGACTGCTGGTATGTATTCCAGCTAATTCTTTGCCCCAGCTTTGCTGAATCTGCTGAGCACTGTCTGAATAACCTGGCAATATATGCTATGACTTTTCCAACACAGGAGAGTCTGTGAAACACCACCTCCTGTACAAACCCAGTGAATTCTCTGTGGACAAAATTACAACATGACAGTACTGTATGACTTGGTTTTGCTCAATTAATTATGTCTTAACAGATTAATCAATTTGTATTTATGTGATCCTTTCCAGGGTGAAACAGGATTTGCTGGTTTTCCTGGACAACCTGGCTATCCAGGCATACAGGTAAAAAAAATGACCGCATGTTCACACCCCACTCCCCTCTGTGCCAATATTTCTCCCAAATGTACCCACTTATCAGGCCATTTCCCTTTATACAAAATTTATGTAAAGGTTTACTGTTTTCATGATAGTTATAGTTATTCATCACCATGGTAGAAAATAGCAATGTAAGAAAACATTCATAGCTGGTGCATGTGGGAGTGGGAATTATATTCTATTTATTCTATTTTTATAGTGGATATTCTATTTTTTTAATCCCAATAGTTACCTGTAAGTATACAAGGATAGCTTCCTAATCCATGAATTGTTGTTCTCTGCAAGGTATTTACAGTTGAGCTGCATTCCCCAGGGAGGTATGGGAGGTAAAGGAAGCTGCTATTTAGTTAATAGTATGTTCCTATAAACAAGGATGAAAACTGGCCCCAAATGAGGTGGCAAAACTCCATTCAGATGGGCCTGTTTGCATGATTTACCAAAATCTCTTGGCATGTGTTCAATCCGTTCATTTAAGTAACTGTTCCAAGATGTTTACTGGAATGGTAAGGAAGTGGACTCCTTCACACCATCTGTGCTTAAACATTTCCTACTTTGGCTCACTTAGATGACACTAAATGCCTTTTGTTTTACAATACCTGCTGCTTTCCATTAGGGATTAGAAGTGTAGGTGTCACATCCCAGTGCTAAGCAGTAAAACAGGAAAATACTTAAAATGTGGAAGAGATGCTTAGAACAATTTCAGAGGACCCAGGTGTCAGTCTAGTGACATTTCAGGACAAAGCTGATGGAGTTTTCTTCTGCAGGCTGCAGAACCAATGAAATTCTGACTACTGGATCATATTGTAATTCTGAGTAACAGCAAACACTTGAATGAAGGGAACTGTTATATTTCCTGTGGAACCTACAATGCTAAAGCACATTTGGAAGAAAAAAGCAGTTCTGGACCCTAGAGGGAGCAAAGCAGCAGTGATCTAGCCAGGGGGAAAGGCCTAAGGAATCGTGGGGTAGGGTCCAAGTGGTCAGCAGTGTATGGGCAAGAGGAGAAGTGAAATGCTGCAATGCAGAAGGTGGGTGACAGAATCAGCAGGAGAGACACCAAGGTTGAAAAAACTCATCAAAGTTATTATTGCAATACAGAGGAGAAAAACATTACTGTAGAAATTGTGACACTAATGAACTTGGCTTCAATATTCTGGAAGACAAAGTCAAGGAATGTTTATTTCCCTCTGAAATAATTTTTTTAAAAACTGCATATAAACCAGTAAATTTTCTTCAAGAGATTTGCACAAAAATCATCTACCTCTGTTATAAACTAAAGATTGGAACATGCTCTGCATAATCTGTGGTAACACAAAGAAGTAAACTGTGGTTGATGCAAACTTATCATAAGTAGTATACAGCTAAAGACACAGTAGAAAGCACACAAATATAAAGCAACAGACAGTTTTTCAAAGCATGTTTGCAAATGAAAAATGGCAAACAAAGTAAATAAGTAAAAGTACAATAAAAACATCTGGCTTAGTCACAGACTTACTTTCAAAGTTAGGACTGCCAGGTGAATGCTACACCAGCTTCTTCAGCCACGATTTTAATTATGTGGTCATACCCAGGGGAAAAAATTGCCCACAGATATTACTTTTCATCCTCTTTGGCTGTTATCAACTTCACAACACAGTGATATCATTTAGGCACTAATTAAACTGAAATATTTAATATCAGATTTAAACAGAAAATTCATTGCAGTCCAATACTGCCAAAATCTAGAATCAAATCTTAAGTGTTTTGTTCTTAAAAAGTTCTCACCCAGATGTACATATTGTTTTAATTTGGGGCCTCATTAACAAACTTGAGACAAGTCACATTATAGACAGAGTAGTGCATTCCTCAGACTCCATCTGAGTAGCCATCAGTTAACACTGCAAACAGTAAACAAAAAACATGATTAATTGTTGGCAGGTTATGCTAGGGGAATGGTTGAAGTCCTGCAGTAATGAATCAGAAAGATGAAATTACAATTGCTAGTGCCCACAGCAAAAGAAATCAAATCAAGTATAGACACAACTTTAAAAAAAAAGGGTAATACTACAGATATGCAGAATCCTGAGTGATTGCACAGATGCTGTAGTTTTGATTGGGAAGTCATTGGGGAAATCTGAGTATTCCTGAAAGGGACAGACCTATCCAGACTGCATCAACTGTTTAGCTGCCCTCAGTAGCTGTTGCTTAGGATCCACTAAAAATCACATGCACTGAAGAAACAAGAATATGATTGTAACTTCTCCTGGGAATAGCCTGTCCTTGTGTAGATTTTTCTGAAACAAACATGTTCATACATGAAACAAACATGTTCATAGAAAATCTAAAATTGCACAGAAAATGCATTCAGATTTAAGGTGTAGAGACTCAGAAAAAAACCCCAATTGCATTGAAAGTAGATTTCATCTTTAAAAAATGGTAACTATTTCTAAAAGCAAAGAGTGGACTTCAAGGAATTGTTGCCATAGCTTTTGATGCCTAAGCCTGGGTGCTGGCAACATGATTTTTATAAAAAAAATAAACTGTTGGAAAGTTGATTCTTCTGAAGTTTTTAGGGGAAGAGAAAACAGTATCAGTCAACAAAATAATCTAAAGAGATCTATGCCATTGTGTAGGAGTGTACCAATGGTGAAAGCACAGCAACAGCAGCTGCCGGCCAGAGAGGTCATTAGCCCTAACAGCCTAAAACCAGATTTTCAGAGACCACAAGTGGAATTTATTACTTGAGATACCAAGAACAGACATGTTTGACATTGGCTCATTACTCTTCAGTTCTTTCTTTTGTTCTGGTTGCGTCATTTTAAAATCAGCATGAAAATTGTATAAGACTTGGGCCAAATACATCTATTATACAAATCTTTATCATCATTAAATTAATTTTAAAGCTCAAAATGCTTTCTAAATTTATCAGAGGAGGAAAACCACTAGTTTTACTTTTTCTTTCCTGCCACACAGAAGGCTCTTCTGTGTCATTAGGAAAGACAAATTTATCTTCCTGTTTCAAAGAAACAAAGATGACACAAGGATATTTTTTCATTTTGCAAGATACAGTCAAAAGAAACAGGCCAGAGATCAAGAGGGCAGCAGTCAGTGACAGAACTGTCTAACTACTGTAGAGATAGCATTTAAAAAAAAAAAAAAAAAGCCAAGAAAGGGGCACAGAGACCTTGTTTTCACTTGTGTAAGGATGAATATCCAGTTCTCCTTGTCTGTGTCCTAAAAGGCCCTGGAGTCCAGTCTGGGAATGCAGCCTCACTACGCAGTTCCCACACTGACATTCTTGTTTTCTTAGGTCCCATTTGTGCAAAAGGAGAGCTGATTTCTAATCTACAAAGCAAAAGGTCTAATACAATTTGCCACATAAAAGACTTCCCTAAAGTCCACTTCACTTGCAATTCTCAGTAGCAAAATCCAAGTTAATTTGGAAAACCTCCAAGCAGAAGTGATTTTCCTCACCATTAGCAAGCACTTTCATGTTTCCCTAATGCAGATGTTTTAAACTTCTTGTAAGAGCTTTGAGTATGTCTTACCATTGATAATAGCTGTTAGACAGTGAAACTGTTTTTCTTTATGCTTATCTGTCATAGAAGTAATTTCCTAATCCTGATACAGAATTTCTGTAATTTTTAATTACAGATTGGTTGTTAAATCAAAATATCTCAATTAAATGGATACTGATTTACTGTAGTTGAGTCATATTTACAATGAATGAATGAAATCAAATACAGCAGTCACATGTTCTAAAGAGTTAAATAGATATGTTTGATGTGTATATTACTGTGCAGCCACTGGTATCCTGAAAGATAATGATTATTTTAAATCTTTTTGCTTGGTTTTAAATGCTGCAAAGTGTCAAAATCAAGTTTCCTGGGCAGTGTGTGTCACATCCTTACATATCTCTCCACTGTTTAAATACTTAGTTACATTCTAGTACACCATATATTTGTATATACATAAAAAAATTATTGTTGGACTCTTACAGGGGGATCCAGGAGAAAAAGGGCCCCCAGGTCCTCCTGGAGCTGTTGGAACTCCACCACTTCCTATAAAAGGTTATATCTATTTTTGACTAGTCTTTGTGCTGTATAAACTGCAGCACCTGCTTTGCTAAGGTGTGTGAAAGTGGTCATTAAGGGTGCAGGGGACAGAATCCTAAAACACTCCCAGTGCCACAGGCTGTGTTTGTGGGTTTGGCCACATTTTTGTGTTTGTTTGTCTTGCTGATCCTCCTGGAACTATGTTAAACATACAAATGTCACATTGAATGTTTGTTTGTGTGAAAGATCTTTGTACATACAGTCACAACTAGATCTGAAGGACTCTCTTGTTCTTGGACCTAAGCATAGCTACAAAAAATCGATGAAAAATAAGCCTGTGCTGGTTAATGGACAGCAGATAAGAACACCTGCCTTGCCATTGTCATTTAGGAGTTTTCAGTATTGCCACAACACACAGATTTTAGGCTACAATCAAGCTTCCTGTTTGCAGGAGGAAAATCCTGGGACTAGTACTCCCAACAGAATACCTGTCAATTTATTACTTTCCTCCCTAAACCTCAGGCTGGGTTTTAATGTCCCAGCTCCCTTTATACCCATTTTACTCATCTAATGGGTGAAAAGATGTGTAGAAGTTCTTATTTCATAGCAGGAAGCAGTGGGGAGCAGCCAGGTCTGCTGCCTGCAAGATTGTGCTTTTGCATCTAATACCTGGAGAGTTTGTCTTGTGAGAATATTTCAACAGAGAGCTCATCATAAATTGTATTTCTACAATGCAGCACTACAAATTTCTTGTGATCACAGAAGTAAGTTACAACAAAACCCCAGTTCAGCAGAACCTCCCCTTTAGATAGGGGCCTTGTCCTAAAATAAATTAAATTTTTTCCACAGACTTCCATGGTTTCCAGTCCATACAACAAACAACCCCATACTTAATATCTCAAGTAACATTCATTCATATGCATGGTGTGTGAGTGGATACAATCTTCAGAGAAAGAGCCCTTTAGAACAATAGAGAACAGAACTACTGCCAATATGTTATTTTCCAATTTAATGAAGCTGTTTGCATCTGATTCAGGTTTTATCAATATGTACTTGCAACTTTAAATATTATTTGTAGCAATTTTGAAAATAGACTTTTAAAAATCTGAATAATTTCAACTAAGGTGATCCTGAAATGAACTCCCTGTGTGTACTGCCAAAGAACATAACATGAAATCCATTATTTATTTTAAATGCTGATGTGTTTATTTTGGGCAAACATTTCTCTCAGCATTTTGTAATACACAGCACAAAGATACTTCTACAAAGTGATCAAGAGTTAAAAATGTGCTTGTGATATGGACTGGAATCCATAGAAAAGTAACCAAATCCTCCCACATTAAAATTAAATTGTTACACATTTTAAAATGTTTCATGAGTTATTTTACTCTTGTGTAGTTTCCAAATTATAATTTTGGTTGCAGCTTAATTTAGATTTAAGCTGTCAATTCTATAAGGTGTTCAACTCACATGTTTCTGTAATTTTCTGTAGGTCCACGAGGAGATCCTGGATTTCCAGGTCCTGTTGGTGAAATGGGGTCAGTTGGACCAATTGGTCCTTCAGGCCTTCTAGGAAGACCAGGATATGATGGAACAAGTAAGAGAAGTAGAGGATAAATGTGAACTATGCACCAGAAGGAAAGAAAGCATCTGAAGGAAAACTGTTCTTTGCTCTTGCTTGATCCAAGTCACCAACTGTAAAGACTGTTCAGTAAAAATATAAACTCAGCACTTAATAGCCAGAAAAAGAAACAAAATTATCCAAGCAAAACATTAGGAATGACTAGAAAAGGAACAGAAGACAAAGGAGAATACTACCATGGTAGACCCATGGTATAACTGTGTCTGGAGTGCTGTGCTTAAAATTTCTGCTTTCCATCTCAAAAATATATAAAGGCTTGTGCTGAGGATGGCTTTGCTCTGTATGAGGAGCTGGAGTAACTGGGATGTCTGGAAAAGAGATAACGGAGACAAGGACGAAAAGAAGCATTTGAAAAGGAACCTCTTCTCTTGTGGATCCTGAAAAACCTAAGGATTCAAGCATTAGTTTTATAGAAGCTATGTTTCAGGGCAGTTCTGAATTTTCTGGAGTTTCCTCCTTGATATCTCACATTAATATTGTGTGGGCTATTTACCTTTCTTTTTTTTTCAGGTCTTCCTGGCCTACCAGGAGTAAGTGGGGCACCAGGACCTCAAGGTTTTCAAGGGGACCCTGGTTTGCCTGGAACAGGTGAATTAATCCCAGGAAGACCGGGATTTCCTGGACCACCAGGCCTACCAGGGCAGCCAGGAAGACAAGGCTTACCTGGACTACCCAGTAGGTTTAATAGCAATGCATATAACAGGAATAGAATTCTGCAGATTCATAGATCCATTGCTTTTGTTGGTGCTACAAATACAGAGAAGTGAAAAATGCATTTTGACAGCTATTTCAATGTTTTCATGGGATGCTGAAACCATATTTTTCCTATTAGCTTTTGATCAGCGAGATTTCAAGATTTTCATAGTTTTCTGGGTGATTTAAACCCACAAAAGTAACACACATATTAAAATTAAAATTTAAAATGGTTCATTAGACCAAAGTGCTTTGCTCTAATAGACCAGTTTTTAACTGTTTAACTTAAAAATACTGAGGAGGAAACCCAAATCTGCATCCTTTAGAAAAGAAAAAGCAGAGTTCTAAGTAGAAAAAAATAGCAGTGGCAATGAGAAGCAATGTCTCAACATCAACTCTAGCCATACTGTCTGTTGCAGTATAATCTATAAGCAACAATTTGTAAAGCATTTAATAAGATCTCTAACTTTTTATGTGAGAATAACAAGAGAAGGGAGAGGAGGACACATGACCTAAGCTGGGGAAACAATAAACCTGACATACTGGCTGGAAAATTTGTTTTTTCAAAGGTGTAATCTGTACTGACAGAGGGATCCCTGGAGAACCTGGACCAAAAGGTCAGATTGGCCTTCCAGGAAGAAAAGGGGCAAAAGGAGAGAAGGGTAAGTTGGCCTGGATAACAACAATTTGAGCATGAAACCTTTGCCAGGAGTGTCAAATCTAAATGTGCAAGAAGTTCATGGTAACTTGGAAGTTTAGGCCCATCAAAGTACAGAGTTACTGCTGGCATTGGTGCTTCTGAGTTAGCAGAGTCCTGTTAGTGCAGAGTTACTCAGCACTTTAAAGGGAGGCTGATAATCCTCTCCAGGTGAGATAACATGAGATAAAATGGTCTAGATGTGGCGCACTACTCACACAGAAAAGAAAAAGGACAGCACTATTTTTTGTGTATGAATTTTTCAGCTGTTTCAATGTACTTTTGACACTTTCATGTAGGAAGTCAAGGCCTCTGCTCATGTAGTGCTGGTCCTCCTGGTCCCCGTGGTGTGCAAGGACCTCCAGGTACTCCAGGAAGGAAAGGACAAATGGGATACCCTGGAAGACACGGAGAAAAGGGCGACCCAGGCTTATCTGGTGCGCTGGGATCACCAGGACTCCCTGTGAGTACTTTTCATGAGCTTCAGCAAACAACATCAAGCTACCTCTCAACTCAGGAGGCATTTAAGCAGAATGGTGGAGAAAGTGCCCTGGAAAACTATCTGGAACTTTTATCTGCTTTAGCTTATTATAGTCCAGTGAAACAAGCTTTTACTTTTGGGAGTAGACTTACTTTCTTTAATGCACTTCATACAGTTTATCTTAGTCCCCAGAGTGAGCAGTAATTCAAAACACCCCTTAATCTAACTGCTTTAGGAATACAGTATATGGTAATTTATTTGTCTTCTTGTGATTTTGATCTATTTCTTCTGGTCTGACATATGGAATGTACATCCAGGATGCTGCATGCCATAATAATGCCAAATAGAAGGATTTTTGAATACACTTTCTTGTGTGTGAGAGGTTTTTCTTTGAAAATATAGGTAGGTATGCCTTGCTTTATAACCGTTGCATTATGGTTGGGTTTTTGGGTTGTTTTGAGGGGCATGTTTAGAGGGGGTTTTTGTGCCTTTTTTTGTTGTCCTTGGTCAGTTTTTGGTTTATTTTTTTGAGATGTGGGCTTGTTTTAATAGCAGAACTGTTTGCTCACATAAGGAATTGCTTAAAAGTTTCCAGAACGTGTTCTTTCAAAAGGAAAAAAAGCAAACAAATCCACTGTGAGTCTGAGAGAAGGAGGTGGAAGGGCTCTCATTCAAGTTGCAATAGTTTCATTAGAAGATTTACATTTGCTCTCTTTTTTTTTTTTTTTTAAAACCCTATAACCTGAGTGGTGCATGTGAGATTCTGATGTTTTTGTTACTTTTCAGAGTATGTTTTAGCCCTTGTGGCTCTGAAGTAAGGCTTGAAGCCTTGTCCTGAGCTTTGCTGTTCCTAGGTTACTTAACTGAGAAACAAGGACAAATTAATCACTTTGGAAGGAAATAATTCACTTCAGTACAGAAGATCTGGTCTAATGGACTATTTTTCTGCTCTCTTTTCTTCCCAAATATTTCATTTTCTTTTCAGACACTAATAACTCATCACTGCCTACTTGAAGATCTAGACATTGTAACAAGTAGTCATTTCTAGTTTCAGATAACACATTTTTTAGAAGTCTGCTGCCTGATTTAAAATCACATTATAAACTGGTTTTGCTCCACCTATTTTTAAGGGAAAGATTTTGAGTAACAGAGGAAGCTGCCTAAATAATACCCCAGTTTTTGTACCTTAGTGGCCTTTTACTTCTGTGTAAATTTCACATGGTTGTCTTGATCCATGTATACTGTTGCAAGACCTTGACCAATGGTGATGTGAAAATTACACCCTGAATGGACAGCTGAAAGCAAAAATCAGCATAAACATATAGAAAAGTATTTATTTTCCCCTCTAAACCTGTTATTCATCTAAGACTATAATGTACCTAACTAGACTAAATTTTTTATTGTGGCTTTGTGAGTTTTCATTCAGAGAAAAATACATCACTTATTTGTGCTGTGTTCACTTCTGGGAGGGCAGCCTCATCCAGCAGTGACCACCCTCCAGAGATTCCCTTCCTCAGCAGGTGGTGGGTTGAAGTCTGCAGTGGGAAGAGTTAATGAATCATTTGTCTCTTGATATTCTTACATTTGCAGTCCCACATCTGTGCAGCTGTGGGCCCAGTGCTCTGGCATTACAATTTCTTTCAGTTGTTGTAGTGGTTTTGGTATTTGAGATTTCCCAGGTTTGTTCATTTTTAACATGTGTGTTCACAGAGGCATGTTCAGCTTTCTAGTGTTTTAGCGAAGTGTCAATATTCAAAATGAGTCACTGGTTGGTGTTATTAGGCATGGAACAAGCTCTCAGCAGCTCCTCTCAGAAAAATCATTTCCGTGGGTGGCTTCTTCCCTCGTCACCAAACATCAATTAATGCAAAACCAGCACGGTTGTGCATCTGTGCAGGTGGCAGAGTCAGCCTGAAAAGACTACGTGCCATTCACACTCTTCTTTTTGACCATCACAAGAGACCAGTGTCCTTTTGGTTACTTTAACTGGTCTTTTTTGGGGAAACCATGCAAGAAGTAGATATCTCATTTTCCTTTCAATTCCCACTTTGATTCCTTGCTGGACATAACTGACAACTCTTTTCTTTGTCAATAAGGGGACTCCTGGTTCTGCTGGACAGCATGGGGAAAAAGGAGAGAAGGGTGAGCCAGGAAGAGTTAGAATAAAAGGTAAACACACATTTTACCATTAAGTTTTTTGTTTTCCTGTACAATGTCTAGACAATAATGTGAGGAAAAACATTAATTTACTCTTTACTAAATCCATTAGCTCAGTAAGTTACTGAAACCTAGAGGGCATATATATCCAAACTGCTCTCTTGGTACCACCTCTTCTTGCTAAACACCAGATCAACACAGTGTTTTGTGGTTTTTTTCTCTAGAGTCGTACCATAAAACAGTTTTAACAGCATGTTATTAATGCAAGCAAATGACTTGTCATGTCATGCATTTGATAATTGGGGTCTTCCAGAGGTCTGTACAGCAAAGACTAAGCAGAATACAAATACTGTGAAATCATGAAGAATTATTATTGAATAGAAGCCACCTCCAGAACTTTCATATACCAATATCATAGCTGTTATCTCAAATTAGGCCACCAACATCTTATTGGGAAAACCTCAGTCTCAATGACTATTCAGATTCCTCTCCTATTTCTAAAAATTACACTTGACCAGGCATTGAAGAGAAACAATAGGCCACCAGTTGCACAACTGGAATTCTTGTAATTAAATAGATCAAAACCTCTCCACAGTTATGGTTATGATTTGCAAAAGCAAAAGAAAAAGAGAACAATAAATTACAGCAATCTGATGGCAAAGCTTACTTAGAAAGGCTAAAATAGTTATTCACAGAAGACTGTCCTTCTTATTGTTTATGAAAAGTTAGCTTAGCTTTGGATGCCTGTGGGTTTTTTACAGATGTTGGAACTGGGGAAAACATTTGCTTTTATTTGCAAAGGATTTCTTGACACAGCAGAATGAATCTTTGTGTTAGAATAGTTTTACTGTCCTTGATGCAAAAGTTACTTTCTCATAAATATTGGTGCAAGAGAAATCCACAGGGGGAAAAAACCAAAAAACTTTGGGGAATATTGATGCAAATATTCTGTATCATAAGGCACTGCTATATCCTGACTTCACTGAAATCAAGAATAAATCTGTGACATGTTTCAATAGTCAAATATTTTAACTCTGTGTATAGCACAGACAAAAGCCACATTCCTGTGGTGCCTGTGAACATGTCTTTTACAGAGACCTAGTTGCTCCATCAGGTATCCAACTACAAACTGCCTTCCTCAGCCTAAAATGCCTCATTAAGGAATGTGAATTCAAGGACTGGGAATTATCATGGAGATAGAATCGATTGTTACCCAGCATTTCTTTAAGCAGAAAAACCTCCTCCCCCTAAAATTACTGCAAATATTATTTTTTTCCCCAAAAAATATTTTAAGGATTAAAAGGTGAAAGAGGACCTACTGGACTTCCAGGATTTCCAGGCCAAAGAGGTCCAGATGGCAGAGATGGGGAACTAGGATTGCCAGGGGAAAAAGGAGCTGAGGTATGTTTGACTTCCCCAGACTTTTTCCATTTCAATTAACATATTATCTTATGAAAGGTTCTGAAAGTTTTTATCCATTAAAAATTTCGTTTCTTGTAAATATTACTGTTTATTTGGTATTCCTGATTATAATCTCTGCATGTACTGTGTGCCAATATTACAGGGTTAGGAAACAAAAAATACACAATCCCCTTTGTTCCTACTGCCTTTGAATATTTAAAAATGCTAATGTCATCCATGTAGTCCTTCCATTGTGAAAGTGTTTTTCCAGATAATTCTCTAACATGCTTTTTCATAATCAAAGAGAGGAGAGAAATTAGCTCTTGTTACTTCTTACTGAGAATTTTTATTTCAGGGCGATTCTGGAGTAGCAATTCCGGGTGATAAAGGATTCCCTGGGCTCCCAGGACCTCCTGGGGTAAAAGGCCAGATGGGATTGCCTGGTTTGGGGCTTCCTGGCTCTCCAGGAGCCAGAGGTAGCCCTGGAGACTTTGGTGATATGGGTAATATTGGGCCACCTGGTCCAAAAGGCCAGAAAGGTAATTCTGAATGTTTGTGTTAAGAATGAAATAGCAAAATACATGTTTAGATGTTGGTAGCATCCATTATGGTTTAATAAGCATTATATTTTATATAAATGCATTCATCTATATGTATATCTATATGTATACATATAGTGCTATTCATTTAGAGTGAAAATAATATTAATATTAATTTATAGGAAAACACAATTTATATTTAAAGCTTGGCCTGATTTTTGGTTATAAAAATGCTTAGCAAAATAAGTCTACAGGATAGCTGTAGATAGAATTGAAATGAAAATATTATTTCTTTCTTGCAATAGAGAGTATTGTAAAAAAATTGCCATGACAATTAAAAAAAAACCTTTGTATTTAAAAATAAAACTGTATTACATCAATTTGAAATATTACCAATGTTCCATAGGAAGTATAAAGAAAAATATATTTTAAGATTCCCATCAAGACTTCATTAATATGGAAATAACATAACAATGTGCATAAACAGTCACTGCATGTTTGCACATGTGGTTGGGTAGTTCCCCAGAAATATTACAGTAAGTGTTCAGACTCCAGTTAATTTAAAGTCAAATAGGCCAGTTGCTTCTCCCTCTTGCTTCAGGTGAAACTGTCTGCATTACATCACCATATCCTGGAAACCCAGGTCCCCCGGGTTTTAAAGGTGTTCAAGGTATGTTTGTGCATAGGAGAATTTTTGATTTATACTGAAATGGAGTTCTAATTCACTAATTAAAGAAAAGAGGCTATCCTAAAAACTACACTATCCTAGTTTTTCCACAAAATACGTGTTTCAAAATGTAAAACTGCAAATACACAGGAATGTAGTCTCTAATAGAATCAAGGGCCAGAGAGCTGCAGTTTGCACCATCAGAAGGTGTGCAGACACCCTCCATGGAAATAATTAAATCAAGGTAGCTTCAAACTCTGTCCTGCCTCAATGAAAATGCATGAGAGAGTCTGTAAAATATGGCTGGAGTTGGGTAAGGCCTAGAGTATGTACATCCCCATACCAGGAGAAAGAGATGTCCAAGGCAAAGATATGCTGCAAGCCTGTAATTTCTAAAACTGTATTGCTCATGGCAACTTGCAATTGAGCTCTAAAATCTCAATACTTATCATCATTACTTCGACTTACTCAATTTAAATTCAAAGAACTTACCCAGGAACTGGCAAATTGTTGCTTGTGATCGTCTCCGAGACATTTGAAATATCCAAGCAAATTAGAAGAAATGGAGAGAGTGGATTTTCAAGCTGTGTAATATGGTGTTACACAGTTCCCTGACATCAGTGTTGTGGGTGGGAACAAAAATTTATGCAGACATGAGTGTACTGAGCTCACCTGCACCATTCCAGAAGCAGGACATAGTAAAGAAGAGTATAAGACCTTGAGCTGACACCTGTCATTCACTAGGTTAATACTGTTCATGGCCTGTAACAGTAAAATGTTGTAGGAAATACTTTTTTTTCTAATTGACACTGGTGATTTGCAGTCTGCTGTTAATGGAATAGGGAACATGTTCATTTAGAAAAACAGCAACCATGCACTTGTTTATGACTTGGGCAGTGGCTCTTGCCCAAAGTGTTAGAAGCAGATGAAATCAGCGTGTTTTCAAGGTATATGAACTAGCGTGGAATAAAGATAAAATCCTTAGATTACATATTTTAGTGCTCTGACAGCATTTTTATGTATTTCCTTTTTATTTCCAGGACAAAAGGGTTTAAAAGGACTCCCTGGGTATCCTGGACCAAATGGCTTTGATGGGCAAAAAGGCCATCGAGGAAGGCCAGGAGCAGGAATCCCTGGGCCAGAAGGTAAATTGTGCTTTCCCTAATTTGGGAGAGCTGCTGGGCAAGTTGTAATGCAGGGAAAGGTAGGGTAGGGTAAAGTAGAATTGAATTGAAATGAATAGTTCAGTGTCCAGATAGCACTGACTCAGACAAGAGTGACAGTACTCAAGAGAGATGCTGCCCCAAAGAACAACTCTGTCACTTCCCACAGGAATTACCTCCTTCAATCCTCATGTATAATTAGCTCTAAATAAGAAACATGAAGTTTAATTTATGATGTTATTTTTCTTTGCAAGGTGACAATTTAAATCTGGCTAAATTTGGACTACAATATTCCACATTTGGGGTGGGAGGGAACAAAACAAAAAACCCTGAACAACTCTTGACTTAAGCTCTATTTGAATTTTAAAATCATATCAACAGGCTTCCGAGGCACAGCTGGTGATCCTGGTGATGAAGGTGAAAGAGGAACTACAATTGATGGCAAAAACGGCCTTCCAGGTCCACGTGGCACAGATGGCCAGAAAGGTCTTCCAGGTGACACCACATATGGCCCTCCAGGAATCCCAGGCAACAGGGGACTGCCAGGACCCCCTGGCGCACAGGGAGCAAGGGGTAATCCAGGCATTCCTGGACTTCAAGGTACGGGCCAGTTTCTGTGAAACACTTCTGCATGTTCAAAGGACAATATGTGAGCAAAGGTGCTCCTGGTTCAGAGAAAACTTCCTCTCACTCAGATCCACAATGGTGACTGTAACAGTACTCCCTGTTTTTACGTTTACATTTTGCTGTTTGCTGCAGTGGTTGTCTCCACAGCACCACATCCTTTCCATCTCATAGAGGATATTGCTGTTTCCTTTTACAGGTGTTCCTTTTGCCTGGCCCTAAGCAGATGCACCCATCCTTCAGTGCAGGGAACACCTATGGAACTGAGCCAGTGCTGTGCACCTGGTGCAGGCCAGTGAGCTCCCATTCTGCTCCTACACCTCTGAAACTCTCTTCTGTACCTGTAGATGAGGGTTGAATTTGTATTTGCTCCTTAAAGAAAGAAATTTTCCACAAAAGCCAATTCTAAATTGCAGAAAAGCATCACTTTTCACAAACTGTGCAAAAACCTGAGGATAAATAAGATACTATAGTAACCTAACATGTACATTTCAAAATTAAAACTAGGACAGTGAGTAATGAAACTAACAATTTTTTTTTCCAGGACAACCTGGTACCCCAGGATTTCCAGGTGCCAAAGGTTTTAGAGGCCCAGAAGGTGATGTAGGAGCACCAGGCTGTCCAGGCTTCCCTGGCTCACCATGTGTCCCAGGCTTACCAGGACCACCCGGACTCAGAGGTGTCATGGGCCTGCCAGGACCTCAAGGTACACAACAGCCAGCAGGCTGCCTCACAGCTCTAAGCTTTGCACATATTTTCTGCCAGATTTCATCACTTGATTTTTGTGGCTGGCATAACAAATGTTGCCATGGGGGCTGCTCATTACTGGGGGTGTACATTATGTTTTGCACATTTCTTTAATCTCAAACAATGTAGACTGAGCATCTCAGGGGTATCCCAACTTCCCTTCCCATGCTGTTCCTTAACTGGCCAAATCACAGTGAGTTCACCATAAGAAATAAACAAAGAGTTGTCTTGTACCTGTTGGCATGAGTAACTTACCTGAGCTCTTGTCACTGCTGTGATGCTTTTATCTTCCTTATTCTTGAATGGAAGTGTTATTTAGGAAGAGCTAGGGGCACATCTATCAAAAGTATTTACAAATTAGTAGGGATTTTTCACAGTGCTCTTCTATTGTCTGTCACTAAAGAAATACAAGAAAACAAACATTCCAATTGATAAATCTAGGTAGGGCGAGAACTCCAACATAGTAAAAAAAAGGTTTCAACTTATTTTGCCATGTTTGATGATCTTCAAATTTATACCAAATCTATCACTTTCTACTTTTTATATGCAAATGTGGTACTTCTGCCTGCATTTACATACATAGATTAAAGCTGTCTTTCTCAGGCTTACCAGGCTTTAAAGGTCAGAGGGGAGACAGGGGCCTGGCTGGGCCCCCTGGAATGAAAGGTCTGAAAGGCTCTCCGGGCTCACAAGGTCTCCCAGGTCCTCCAGGCTCACGAGGTCCCCCAGGACTTCCAGGAAATAAAGGACCCATTGGCTTCCCAGGAGAAACAGGTATGTTGAATATCCTGCAGACCACCTCACCCATAAGTTCTCTTGTAGAGGGAGCCCTTTTTACTGATTTTAAAGTTAGCAAGTACTTTGTACCCACCTCCCTTTCCAGCTTCAAGGATAAGACTGCAGCAGGGTAGAGTCAATAACCATAGAACTATCCCTCTTTCTTTCTCATATAATAAAAACAAAGGGATGGATATAGTTTGATACATCTTGGTGCATCCTGGTGCTTTAGTTGTTTTACAGCGCTGACATATTTCTATGTATTATTTCCTGACTATTTGTACTAGGTTGTAATATGCTATAATAAGAGGAATATGTTTAGGGTTAGCAGAATCCCTTGGGTGGCAGTCCTATGGGGCAAATGAGTCCAGGAAGATTGAACATTCTTCAAGGAAATTTTTAAGGCATGGGAATAGGCCTTGTGCCAAAAGACGAGCCAGTGAGGAAAACGAGCAGCTGGGCTGAACAGAGCTTTAGCTGAACTTGGGAAAAAAGGGAGAGTGTATGAAATTTGGAAGAAGGGACAGGCAACTCAGGAGGACAAGGGTGTCTTGGGGTTATGGGGGGAGAAAATCAAAAGGCCCAAAGTGCAACAAGAACTCAATCTGGCTACTGCTGTAAAAGGCAATAAAAATGCTTCTATAAATACATTAGCAGCAAAAGGAGGAGTAAGGAGAATCTCCATCCTTTATTGGATGGGAGGGGGCAAAACATAGTGACAAAGGATGAGGAAAAGGCTGAGGTACTTAGTGCCTTCTTTGCCTCAGTCTTGAATGGAAGCCCAGCTGCTCTCTGGGTACCAGCCTCCAGAGCTGGAGGGCAGGGACAGGGAACAGAACAAAGCCCCCATAATCAGGTAGCCACATGCAAGATCTGGTGGTGTGCTGGGGATAACTGCTTTAGGAGTAAGAGTAGCCTAAATCTTCAGGGGCTGACTGCAGGTAGGGGGAGGCAATTTGTTTCAGTAGAAACAGGGTTTCAAGAGAAGTTTGACCTTGGCATGAAGCCATGCTCCAACTAATAGTTCTCTAGTTCTGCTGATTTCCTAAGAAGTCCTTCTAAACATTCTGGTTTTGCTTTATACTATTCCTCAGAATATGACAGCAGCAGTATAAGCAGACTTAACATGTAAATAAAGCATTTCATATTACCAGGAAGCAAAGGCATTCAAGGACCCCAGGGATTCCCAGGACTCCCAGGAATACAAGGCCCAATGGGAATCTTTGGTGTAAAAGGAGAAGAAGGAAAAATGGGTCTACCTGGGCCTAGTGGAGAATGTGGAGATATGGGAATAAAAGGTTTGTAAAAATCCACTTCACTCTCTAGTTATCTTGTTGATATGTTTAGTTTTGTTACTACTGTGTTAAAAATCTAATTTTTTAATAGGAAAGAGAGTAATCATCTGCAAGATGCAATCACAGGCAGCTCAAAATTGCTGTCTTTCATAATTTCACAATCTTTCCTAATTCTTCTGATTTAATATCACCTGGGTTATGACTGAACAAACAAGAAATCAAGGGAAGGACTGCAAATTCTGTCAGCAGTGAGCCTGCTGAGGAAACTGAGAACCACATTAGTATTTGAAGACTTTCTCTATTAGGAAAGTCACCACTCAAACTGGTTTTTCAGGCCATGTCACTCGTGGGGATATATTTACATGGCATATGTTCCTTCCAAGGTGAAAGGGGGCCTCCAGGAGACAGCGGCTGCGTTAACCTCCGTCTTGAGAAGGGACAAAGGGGGGACCCAGGCCTTCCTGGGGAGCATGGACTGAGAGGTGAAAGAGGTAAGTTCAGAAAAGCCCTGCATACACACACATTCCTCTGACATAAATCACTGGTGGTTTTCACAGTGTGGACTCAGGGCTGCAGTAACCACACTGTGTTACAGATTCCTAAACTGGCTGTGTAGTGTCTTTGGGTTATCACTAAGGCAATACACCAAGAATGAAAGTGTTGCCGTATTGAAAATTGTCTCAAACACTGGCTTGACTTGATTGGCCATTATCTTGTTCTGCAATCAACTTCAGGTGAAAAAGGCAATACTGGTTTCAGAGGCACACGAGGATTTCCAGGAAAGGATGGTGTTCCAGGACTACCAGGTGACCAAGGTGACACTGGAGTGATGGGGTTTCCAGGATCACGGGGTTTGCCTGGACCAAAGGGCCTTCAAGGAATTACAGGTTTTCAAGGAGAACCAGGTGACCAGGTAAACAGAGTGGTAGTGAAGTACCCTGGACTTCGCAGTTAACTCCTGCCTCTAAGAAATATGATGAAGGGTGCTTGTACTGTACTCACCCATTAGATGTTCCCTCTGAGCAGAGACAGCCGGTGTAGTAGGAACTCTAAGTTCCCCAACGAAACACCTCTGTGCCTTGGTTACATTTTAGCAGGAACTGTGGTGGGAGTTAGGAAAGGACCTCTCCTAGCTACCTGTTCTGATGTGTTTTGCCATGTGGTTGAAGTCCAGGCTCCACTACACTAAATAGGGGGCAAAAAACAGATGCACAGTCAACTCTTCACCATTATTCTTAAGAACAGATTGACAAACCACTTACCACAGAGATCATAACATAGCAGCAGCACAATTGTGCCGTTAATATGTAGCTGCTTCTTCATATCCTGCTGTGTGAAGTGACCAAGGCAACAGACAAGACAAAGCAAGTCATCTTTGCCCCAAGCAGAACCCAGGCAAGCAGTGTTGCTCAAGAACAAATACACAAAACCACACAAATATTTCATGCAAGGTATAATTCTTCATTTCTTGTATGCTGGAAAGGTAGACAGTGAGATTACATAAAGGAAGAGGCACAGTTATTTTCTTGGTAAAGGGACATACTTTTGCTTAGCTTGTTTAATTAAATTTATTTGCTGATTAAAGGTCATTATTCAAAAAGAAAAATAGGGAAATCTTCATTTTTGTTGTGACATTACAACATTTCTGATTAATGTTTATAGTAAATTTTGGGTAACATACAACAATATTGGATATATATTTTATGGTACCTTTTAAATCAAATTATTCAAGCCATCTGTGGGGAAGTTAAGCTGTTTGAGCCAAGAATGAGAATAAGCTCTAAAAGCACAAATTCAAAATTATTAGCAAGTCTAACCTACAGTTTCTTGTTGTTGTCCAGTGTTAGAGATGTAAGAAAGACAAGATTTTTTTGTTGAGCTTAAGATATAGTTTTGCTAAGAGAAAAAAATGCTCCTGCAGATCATTCCTGATATACATACCCTATGTCAAACATTTTTATTTTGTTTTTTAAAAAAAATCAGGGTGATCTTGGCTTACCGGGAAACCCTGGATATCCAGGACTGACTGGCTCCAAAGGATGTAAAGGTAATGAGTTTGTATAGACATGCTGTGAAAAGAGCAATATTGTTAGGATATATGTGGGATAGATGGTGAAGACTCACTACAAAATTATTTTTACTTCTGTCCTGTTTTCCCATAAAACATGGTTGTAATTAGAAACAAGCCTTACCTACCTGAAGGCAAAAGTTGCATTTCAGCATATTCTTTAACAGCTTGTTCCTTTAAAAGTAGGTATTGCTAATCTAAAAGATAAATTCATGTCAGATTTCATAGAACTTAAAATTTCCATCAAAACCACATAAAAATCCATGCTTATGGATATGGAAAATTTGTCAAATCACATAAGAGTGAATGCAATCAAACTGAACTGTCATAATTTACCTGCACCAAAGCAATTCTCATTTTGTGTTCTCTTAGCCCCTTCTGTAGCTGTTTATATCTATTAATGACTTTCTTGGTCTTACAAAAGTGTCCAGCTTTGGTTTGTGGATAGAAAGGATGTCTGTATAAAATGGAATTCATTGTACCTCAACAGGCAAGAGAGGTGACCCAACTCCTCTGCTTGGTACACACGGTCAGAAAGGACCTCTGGGAGATCCAGGATTGCCAGGTACCTCTCTTTGATTGAAGACAAAATTGGACTTAAAAATTAATTTTCTCTAACTTTTGTTAGAGGGAGCTCTGCTCCCTATGCATTTGAGCCACTCTGTAGCACTTTTTTTTCCTTTAAGGACTTCGTGGATTTCCAGGGCAGAAGGGTTTACCAGGTATCCAAGGACAGCCTGGAAGACCAGGCTCCAAGGGTGATCGTGGATATCCAGGGCCACCTGGATTACCAGGTAATGCCAAAGTTTAAAAAAAATAATGCCATGGAATAGCTCAAAAGATATATGGAACAGGAGAAGGCACTTGAAGCATCTCTGTGAGGAGATGGAGAAATCAGAGATCATATCAAGGGGGCAATTTAAAGTTATTTCTGTTCCTATAGCAGCAATTGTCTGCTCAGACTCAGACAGCAAGACCCATCAATTCTTCCTGCATCCCCAAACACTTGCAAGTGCTGAATAGCATGGGGGAAAAAAAAACAACAGTTTAACAGAATTATATATTCACAGGGGTTTCTTTCACTCTCAGGAGCTACAGGTCCTCAAGGATTGCCAGGAGAACCTGGAGAAGAAGGGAAACCTGGAATTCTGGGACCTCCAGGATTGCAAGGATTACCTGGATCCCAAGGCAGAAAAGGTAAACAGAATATACCGTGCCATTCTCGTGTTAATGGGACAGTACCAGACATAAATACTCTTTCAGCAGTGAAAATGGAAAAGGCCTAACTGTGACTGTGATTTGGACTCTGTGGTCCCTTAAACTGCTTAGACTTAGGCCAGTTCCCATTACCTTTGATAAGTAACAGAAGTGCTACTTTGGAAAATTGGGCTACAATCTAAAATGAGTAAGGAGGAAGGTAGAAACAGAGTCTGGCTTAGCTGATGTAACCAATAGCAGAGCTTTAGGAAAGAAAAAGGTGTTTGCAGTAATTCGGTTGTTGCACTTTCGCTTCAGTTATACTGTGTTCTACATTTTCACCATGGAGTGCCACTGTTACTCTGCAAACCCAGTGGGCTGCTATGACAGCTTTATTTTTCAAATTTGTTTTAACAAATTGTGATAACTTTAGTTGCGTTTTATTGTTGGTTTTCTTGTTTCTTGGCTGATTTTGGAGTATTTAGCATAGAAGTGTTTCCTCCAAATCCTGATTTACACTTCTTGCAATGATTGTTGTGTTTAGATTGAATGTCAGTCATCTATACAACTGGTCTTGTTGGAGAACATTATTAACTTTTACTGTGCTTAGAAATGAAATTGTAAGTTATTAATACTCCAAAAAGAAAGTTATCAGCTCTGTATCCTGTGTCTGTTATAGTGTGCCTCATAACCAGCTCCCAAACAGGAAGAAGATTAGTGACCCATATACAGAAACCACAGTAAAGTAACACTTGGGGCTATAAAAATGGTTACAGAGGACAATAGATCCACTTTTTCAAATTCAGCTTAAGGACAAATTGAGAAGGTTTCTTACAAATTACTGAAAATCCAAATGAAAAATGGAAACCATTTATGATTGCTTGCAGTAAATAAGCAGTGCTGATTTAAACTGTCATGACAGATTCCCTGCTGCTACATAATGTGCAAGAGAACATTCAGTGTTGCAAGCAATATTTGCTGTAACAGAGATCTGCAGTGGCAGGGATGTCTGGAAGGGGTCAAAAAAAGAAAAAAAAAGCATTCTTCTGCTGCAAACTTCTTCATAATTGATGGGCTCTTTCTTTCTTTCCATAAGACACTTTATGCAGAACTTATCCCAAGTCCTGCACAGGAACATGACATTAACACACATCCTACAGAGGGAAAAGTTCCGTCCCAAATGACAATTCATTAGAGACCGAGTTGGCTGCTAAGCTGAGCATTCTATGTATTGCCACCATAGCTGAAAAGAAGGCTAATACCTTTGAAACTACACCCAGTAATGAAAACTGACTGGTATTTGTATTCCAGTTCAACTGGATATATAGATCTTGGTGCTGTTTTCAACAAGTGCTGGTGCAAGCATTAGAAATGAAATGGATAATTCATAGCTAAGTACATGGCCTCGTTAGTCTAATTGGTTCTCAGTTGCATTAAAGGTCTTGTGCCTGAACTTTTACATTTTAAAGAACTTCTAGATTAAAAAAAAATAAGTTAAACATCATCTATTAAAAGCATAGCCCCATTTTCTTTATTACAGTTGTTTTACTAGTTAAGGGCTTAGCCTGGCAAGCCTTATTTGTGTGAGTAATCCTTGATGGAGCAAGTAATACTCAGACCATCATCAGGAGGACTTGTGTGAGTAGGAGCTGAATTGGGCTGTACAACACAGAAACAGTGGTTCATGCTCAGGTCAGCCAATTCAGCTGTACCTAGAAATATGGGACCATAACAATCCAAAAATTTAGAAGTACAAGTGCTGATATTATAATGGATTGTTGGGAAATGTGTCAGAAATTCCCTGGAAAGCAAGTAAAACCAAGCCATCAATCTTGCCAGAATGAGCCAAAGATCAAAAAAAGTTTTAAATGGTGACCTGGGGACCAAAATTAGTTAGGAGTTCTTAATAATTTTAAAATACCGCTGTTAAATTCCCCAAAAGCAACTCTTATATAAATTTTAAAATGGGAACATGTCCAAAGCACAAGAAGGCTACAGAAAGCAGGAATGAAAGTTAGAATGTCATGAAAAGTTAAAGAACAGTTAATTAAGGTCATAGAAGATATTACAGGTTGGATTACTAGTATCCCAAGTTATAAAGTAGATTACACAGAGAATATATTATCAATGTTTTGCAGGTTTTCAAAAAATTTTCTCGATTTAAAATTTTTCCAGACTGATGCTTGATACACACTGGATCTATTTTTTGCAATTCATCCTTTGTTAAATTTTAACTAAAATAATTCTACAGTTTCTGTGAACAAAGCTATATGATTATTATTTTTGGTGTGCCTGCTAGAGAACTCTAGGGCTTTTTTATTTTTTCATTCTCAGATGACCCATCTTTGAACTAGGGACACTTAAATTTGGCAGGTGAAGCAGTTGATGAAGGATATTTGTGTTGCTGTTCCTACAGCAATTTGTCCTTGCCAAATTTGACCAGTTTATAAACTTGAAAAACTATATCCATCCTTATGTGCTTAAGCAGAGCAACACATTCTCCCAAGATGCCTGCTCTGGATACATGGCAGATTGGTGAGCTGCAGGACATGCTGGGACTGAGCACAGACACTCAACAGAGAACCTACATCTTCTGTGCCACGAAGGAGCCAGAGGAAAGGACATACACAGATAATTCAGACTTGTGGGAGAAACCCACTGCAAGTGGATTGGGAATGCTGCAGGGCAGGGAGAGGAATGGATGGGGAAGGAAAGGAGGCAGAGATGAGCAGCAGAAGTGGAGCAGAGACAGAACAGGCACTGACAGTATCATTCAGCTCCTTGATGATCGGTGTCCCTCTCTGGAGCAAGAGACATGCCAAGTCTGTTCCTGTCTCTGAAACCTGTCACAAATGACCCATCAGTTTTGCAAGACCTGTTGCTGTTACCAGGTGACAGACTGCTGTCTGCACTGAGGAAGTGTTTGTTCTCACACTTGATAGTTTATCTATACAACCAAGGAACTAAAAAGCACTGATGACATGGAGATATTTTTTACTCTCAACTGCAGACAACAAACACAACCTTAGATTAGTTCAACTTTCTTAAAAATGGATTAAAAAATGCCATCTGTTGTTTTATTTATCGTGTTTTAGCGATTTTCAAAAAAACACAAGTTATAAAGCAAAAGTTTTGTCTGATTACCACAAACAGTCAGTGCTAGTAGTGAACATCACTAGTGACAGAGCTGCTCTATATGCTACTATGTGTCACCAGAGGTTTCAATTACAGATTTGTTGTCTTCAAAGATTTTGTGCTGTTCAGTTCAAAGAGCTTTTGTAATAGAGTGATGCAAAAAAGCATAGTTTTCTGTGTGAAATCTGCAGGACCAGAGAAAAGAAGCCAGTATAGCCTCTTTTTGCTGCAGCTGGGTAAATTGCACTTCTGTTTTGAACAGAATCTGTACACAAGTTCCAGTTTTACAGCGATCTTAGGCAGTGTCTGCATCCCCATCAGTGGCTATGAAGTGATAGCACACTGAACTTTGGAGTAACAACCACATATAGCAGTAGTAGTGCAGCCACAGACACAAGGCTCTCTATAGATTAGCCCATAATCTGCTAGCTGCAGGATGGAAGTACCTAATGGATTAAAAGTTGTGCTTTCTGATTGCTTTGATGTGAAACTGTATTATGAAAGCGAATTTTTAACTTTTCACATTTGCCTTTCCAAAAAGACTGCACTGCAATGTGATCTCATCTGCAGATGCCAGCAATCAAATTCAGCAAATACCCCATCTTGATCCAGTATGTGTTGTCAGATAAAAAATGGCTTGATTTTTAATTGTGACTGTAAAGGATTGTTGTCAGTCATACCTGTGTGACACCTCTCAGGTCTTCCTGGGCTGCCTGGACTGGATGGCTTGGATGGACTAAAAGGTCAAAAGGGTTCTGCAGGAGCTCCAGGTAAAGATGAGAAATAACTGGAACAGAAAATCTTCTACATGACTGAATGTGTAAGGAAAGTGCATATTATTTTGTTGTTTTCCTTGCCCAGAAGATATCATTAAGGCTCAGACCAAACTTTCAAACAGAATCTGAAGTATGCTTAATGGCACACCTGCAGTTATTTGTGGGAAAAACTTTCAAACTTCCATTACTCACATAGTTTTGTTGGAATGCTTCAAGGCTGTTTATAAAATTAAAAAGTTCAGTGCAGATGATTCAAAGGAGAGCCAAGTCTGTTTTTTTTAAATATGCAGAAGATAAAACTAACAAATTAAAAGGAGACTTGTGAAATCCCAGCTCCATTTACAGTCCATGGGAGTTGTGCCTCAAACTTAAGAGGAACGTGGATTTCACTCATGCTGATGTATTCACAACTTTCAAAAGGTGCTTTTGAAGCACTGTTAAAAAACAATGCTTATAATCTATCTAAAGATTCCATATATATGCTGATAGAAAACTAAATTTGAAACCATGCAATCAATTTACATTTCAAGTTACAATAATGACACCATATAAAATAACCCCTGAAGAAGAGCATTCAAGCAAAAAGATTACTTTCTTTGAAAGTGATGAATTAGGGCCAGACTCAACAAAACTCTATCCAGCTTCCAAAAGAGAACCAGAAAAACAGCACTAGGCAATCCTTGCAAGGAGGAACATCTGCAGCTGGTATTTCTGTTCTGCACATCTGTATTTGTACTCGCTGTAAGCTTTATGTACATAATTGTTTTCTTACAAAGGTCAGAGTGAGACAGGGCCCCCAGGATACTCAGGAGAAATTGGACCAAAAGGAGACAGAGGTGAACCTGGATGGCCTGGTATTTCTATTCCGGGCCCCCCTGGAGAAAGGGGATTCCCAGGATTTCCAGGTAAGAAAAGGTTTTTTCCGAAGTGCTGCTCTGCAGTGTTGAAATTAAGCTCATACTTAATATATTTTTCTAAAGGCTCCTACTCTGGTTAATATGAACATTATTTAGAAGATTCTTTCCCTAAAACCACTTCTGTTGTAATATGCTGATGTTTCCTGGGTAGAGATACAGAGACAGAGACTCCAGAGTTTCTGCTTCATGTTATAGGAAAGAATGAAAATAGAAAATTATGGACTTGAATACACTCAGAGAACTGCTAGGTAGGGTTGCCACTTGGGAAGAAATTCCTGAAGAAAATAGTGCAGAATATCTGGCAGTCCCAGAACTATAGTGAATCTATCAACTGTTCTGATGTAATTGCCAGATAGAACTGCTTCACAAGATTGCAGTGGTTATTTTAGAGCTTGGTGATATTGGAACAGCACAGAAATGGGAAAAAGCACGTGTTTGAGGAAGGGCCACTGAGAAAGTGAAGAGACTGCAGAGAGGGGGAGAAGGAGAAGGAATTGCTTTGGCTCCAGAACAGAAGGCCCAGGAGGAGTTTATTAATGTGTGTAAATACCTGATGGCATGGACCTGGAGACAGCTCCTTCATAGTGATATCCAGTGAGAGGACAAGAGGGAATGGGCACAAATTGACATACAGGACATTCTACTTAAATATAAGGAAAAATTTTGTTTTCCCTGTGAAGGGAATTGAACATGGGAACAAGTAACCTGGAGAAGTTATGAAATGTCTGTCATTGGAGATACTCAAACTCCAGCTGGACAGAGCTTGAGGCACCCTGCTCGAGCTGATCCTGCTTTGAGGGCAGGGTTAGTCTAGGAAGTTCCAGAGGCCCACTCAAGCCTCAGTAATTCTGTGATTAGAAGTGACATCAGCTTTACGCTGCCAGACCTTGCCATAGTCACACAACACATGGAAGAAAAATAGCAGAAGGTGAAATCTGGTGAGGTGAACTATTCTAAGATGAAGACACAATCATTTTTCTTTAGTTTGGTTACTAGTTTGTGAACTGGAGGAGTCAACAGAACTGTGCTGTTGAGGAAAAAGAGCAAGTTTAATTCTGAGATGTATTAACACTGTTTGACATTGCATAGTTGAGGTCTCTGATAGTTGTGACCAGCTTTGACAATAAGAGAAAAATCACCAGAAAGTAAATGGAAGGATAGGGTCAAAAGCAAGATTGAAGAAACTAGATTTGTTTTTTTGTAGAAAAGAGAAGGCAACAGAATGCAACTCACATGTTAACAAGCTGCAACTGTTCAAAAGTGTTTGCAGAGAATTCTGCCTGTCATAAGTTAGGGCATAAATGTTTTATTGTGGAAAAATCCAGATTAAAGATTAGGGAAAAAATGCATTTAAGGCTAGTAAATTCATCTTGCTCACTGAGGTTTTTAGGAATCAGCATAACTCCCTTTTGCTGGGAACAATCTGTGAATATTTATCCTGCCCCAGGCAGAATCACTTCACAGTCCCCACTCACTTTACATTATTACCATTTCTCCCCTTGCTGGAATTCAGGAAAATGTGGCTATCCATGGCAATGTGCCAACATGGGATGATGTATTCTTCAGGTTACATAATTTTTATGGAAAGAGTTAAAAATTTCAAAAGATAATTAATATTTTCACTTTGACAAGATGGCCTCATAAGCCTAGGAACTGGTATGTTTGGTATACAAGTGTGACCATACATTACCTGCATGACTTCTCATGTCAGCATTCTTTTACTTACTAACTTCTGTCTGTAATCTAAAAAGAAAAACTTCTGATTTTTTTTTTAATGTGATCCCTTAGGTAGAAGAGGACCTGTTGGACCCACTGGACCTATGGGAAGATCTCCTGATAGTGCCTCCCCTGGTCCTCCAGGTGATCAAGGATTACCTGGTTTAGATGGCATCAGAGGTATTAAAACGTAAAATATCAACTTTTATAATGTAAAAAATCCCTTTGACTACTAGGAATAACAGGGTTACTGACTGTGAAACAATGTATAGAAGTGCATAGAGAATAAAGAAACCCATCACTACTTCAGTGAACACACAGAGAAGTGAACACTAGGTAGATAACCAACCAAGGACAAAATGCAGATCTCCAGATTAAGCAACTCAGTAATAAAGCTATAAGATATAAATGTAGAGAAACAGTATTTCAATGAATGTACCAGTAACTTGCTGCCTCTTGTGCTTGCACAGAAGTTAAATAACTTTGGGAACTATTCCTGTCATTGTCTTCCTTGAACAAAGGCTAACACTAGTATTTCCAAAAATATGCAAGGGCTGTCCTACATCCTAGAGAAAAAAAAAAAAAAACCAAAAAACACTCTAGAGCAAAATAAAAATCCCCACCAGCAGAACGTGGCTATTTTTAGATGTCTGTACTTTGTGTATATATTAAGAATAAAGTTCTTTTCCATAGGTGATCCTGGGAATCCTGGTCCTCCTGGAGAGACTATCTTTGTGCGAGGAGATCCAGGTGACAGTGGCATTCGAGGGCCACCAGGTAATCCTGGGCCACGAGGACAGCAGGGAGCCAGAGGCCCTCCTGGGAGCCAGGGAAGAGAAGGCCCAAAGGGTATGGTCAGAGATGTTTTTAAGGTCTGTGTGCACTAATTCCCAGCCCCTGAGACTCAGCCTTGTGCCCGGGGGTGGCCAGTGGAGATGGAGCTGGGCAGAAGGGGGGGGAGGCTGGACATTCCACAGCTCATCCTGGTTACCTACAGACACAATGGCATTGGGGTAGAAGGTGAGAGTAGAGACAGATTCACATGTGCTGCCTCACAACAGCTTGTTGGAAGGCACTCTGCCACTCTGAGAATAAGGCAGTAAAACATTTCAGTTTTTACCCTCTTCAGGGGTCTTGAGAAACTGTGGAAAATGCAGATGAGGAGTTTGCCAGATAAGCAAACTGTGACCCCCTCTTCAGGGGTCTTGAGAAACTGTGGAAAATGCAGATGAGTTTGAACTAAGAGAGTCTCATGTCTGCCCCATATCAATAGCCTGGAGCTTTCAACAGATTCTTTAGTTTCAAAACAGAAATCTATATACTCTGCTTCTTTCACACACTGTAGAGAAATCCCAACTACACCAATAACTTCCAATCTCTACAAAAAGAAAAGTCATATAAGTCAGATGCAGATCAGAGAAAGAAGAAGAAACGTGTATTTCTTTGTGTGGCACAACAGAGTTGAGGATTCCCAAGCATCCAGACTGCATTTTATTTTGTTTGGTTTTATTTCCAGGTCCTATGGGGGTCCATGGCCCACAGGGTCCACCTGGTGCTTTAGGACAACCAGGAGACCAAGGTTTTCCAGGAAGGCCTGGTCCCAGAGGTCCCACAGGTACTTATGAACCTGTTGCTTAGTGTCACTCACCTGTAACTGTGATCCTTCAATTCATATATAATCATACTAATGTTAACTTGCATGCAAATAATTTAAACAATCTCAGAAAAAAAGACCCCTGCAGTTGCCAACTTGAGTGATTTCTCATTTGATTAAAAATTTCTGAACTATTTGTTTCTAATGTCACCTCATGTAAGTGATTTCAGTTCTCATTCCATTCTTTACTCTAATTTACATGCCTGAAACTTGCTTCCACCTGCACCTCAATGGCCACAATCTGCTTTCCATTTTTCAAATCCTTCAGGTTTCATAGGTAAGTTCATGACTTTTGATTATTGTTCTTTTCATGGGAGCTCCATTATATATAGAAACGTTCAGCTCTTATTAGAAGGTATCCTTGCTGTGGTTTCTAGGAAGAGTAGGTACTGCTAGCTACTGTCATGGGCTAGCCTTTTTAGCCTGCCTATTGAAGGTTTTGCAGAAACAAAATAGGCAAAATTTTCCATGTGCTAAGGTGTTTGCACTGAAGCTGGGTAGGTGCACTTCAGGCTACAACTCAAATCAGTTTGGGACACATAAAACTGAAGCTGTATACCAAATATGTGAAACGTAGAATCATTGAATTAAGTTGGAAAAGACCTTGAACATATCAAATCCCACCATTAACCCAGCACTGCCAAGGCCACCCCTACACCATGTCCCCAAGTGCCACATCTACACATCTTTTCAATGCCTCCAGGGATGGTGACAACACCACTTCCCTGGGCAGCCTGTTCCAGGGCTTGACAGCCCTTCCCATGAAGACATATTTCCTAATATCCAATATAATTCTCCCTTGATGAAACTTAAGGCCATTTCCTCTTGTTAATTGGGAGAAGAGACTCTCTACAAGCTCCTTTCAATTAACTGTAGTAGAGCAGTAAGGTCTCTCCTGATCCTCCTCCAGACTAAATACCCCCAGTTCCCTCAGCTACTCCTCACCAGATTTTGCTCCAGACCTTTCCCAGCTCCATTGCCTCTCTGGACACGCTCCAGCACCTCAATGTCTTTCTGGTATTGAGAAGCCCAAAATTAAATACAGGATTCAAGGTGAAGCCTCACCAGTGCTGAGCACAGGGGAATGGTGACTGCCTGGTCCTGCTGGCCACAGGCCAGGATGCCACTGGCCTTCTTTCTCACTTGGGCAAAGATCACAGACCAGCTAACATACACTTGCTAACACTGGCTTGCCACACTGTTCATACTGTGCTAAAAGACTAAGAGTAAAATTAAAACAGTAGGACTCAATAATTCAAGATTTTAAAATACTTAAAGTACACTCTTGAAAACCCAAATCAGGTACCATTTATGTTGACTTTTTGCATGGGAGCTATCAGCCAGTCTTGCAATTCACTTTCCCATTACACATTCCAGGTGACCCTGGTGAACCAGGGGAAGTGGATGATTCGTGCCCTACAATCCCAGGGCCTCCTGGGGAAGCAGGGCAAAGAGGAGAGGATGGCTCTGCAGGACTACCAGGGCCAATAGGCCACCCTGGACCCCAAGGTAAACTCATGTTTTGAAAGGTTGGATGTTCTTCTCAGCCATTTAGACAAGTTGAAAAAGGTCAGAGTGTCAGAGTTACTTCTCTGTGTTTTACTCTCTTTCTTCTCCTTAAACACTTACTAACAGTCTCCAGAAACACATAGTGGACTGGTTAATGCTGAGGATGATGGATAAATGTAGCTGAACCAGGCTGTTTGAGCCTGCCTGAACTACATTCTCATTTCCTAGGCCAGGCAGGGCAAAAGCACAAGACACTGTTGAGAAAAAAGTTCTTCAAGTAGTATTTTTCCTTTTTCCCCACCAAGTTATAAAAGCAATGCCTCAAACTATCCCTGTGGTTTAGACCTGTTTGAAGGATGTTTAAAATGTACATGCTTTAAAATCTAGCTATAATGAATTCCAAAGCTCTGGTAACCAAAGTCCTAAAAGGACACTGAACTCAGAGAAGCGGCTACAATGGAGGTCTTTATCTGTTAGAACATGAAAGAGTTACCACCAATGAAAAATGACCAAAGAGATCTTAAAAGGAAGTGATGAAAGACTAAAATGTTATTCTGACAGATGAAAAGAAAACAAGGGTGATGCTGGTACTGGTGATCCCAAAAGAGAGGCCACCTTCATAGAAACACAGCATGGGCTGTATTGCAGTGTCTTCAGTTTAGATGGTGGAATCCCTTGTGTTGTTTTAGGTATTTCCTATTTGGGAAACCAAAGTTTGTTGTGTTGGCTGCTCTGAGTCCAGAAAAAAACCCCCATGATTGTCTCCCAGGAGATTCCCTGCAGCAGTCATTCCCATCATGAAAGGAAATGATGCAGTTTTCAGTTAACTCTCTAGTTTTAGTTATCTTAGTTGATTTGCCAGCTAAAAGGTGTTTCTGGGGTTACACAGCTGTGTTTCCATTACATACATCATTAAGGGTTTCTGTAAAACCAGGTGATACAGTGATACACATATTTGCACTGTTTTTATGAAAGAAATAAAGAAATAGCAATGCTTTTTCCTTCATTAAGATGGGAGAATTCAATTTTTTCCTGGCTTGGAAGGCAAACAGTAAGTTTTACTGGCAAAAGCAATGGATTTTATTAAAAGCCCTTAATGTGCTTATGCTTTGGAATAATAACTCTGCAACCAACATAGAAAAGTTGGTTTGTTTTTTTTTTTTTTGACTGGTTCAGACTTTCTTAGTAAAAAGTAATAAGGGGAAGTTTGAATGCTGTGAGACAACCTTGAGTTACTCAGTCTGCAGGTTAAATAGCAAAGTCTGCAAGGAATGAAGCACCATTACTGAGAAACAACTGTGGTGGGTGCTAGAGAAACACCCTCATCTGAAAACTGGTTTTTATGAAAAGGGGAAAACCACTTCTAAGTGCAACAATACCTGATAAGTGTTACTTTGTTCAATTCAGATAATGTTTTCGGTAGCCAGTGAACAGGCCCATCATTATCTGCACCCTACATGACATGTATCATTTACTGTCACAGCCACACCTTCCCCCTAATGGATAAAGTGCTCGGACATGTGAGAAACACAAAAAGGTGAGGCCATCAGGAGCCTAAAAATGTCCAGTTCTGCAGTCTCTCCCTGTTCTCTAAGTACTCCAATACATCCCTTACTTCAAAAAGAGTTCACTGTGTGTACTAAGACTTTGCTGAATGGAGTTCTCAAAGCTGGCAGCTTGGCTTGCCTCAGGAGGAGTTACAGCTCATTCCATGGTGCAGATCCTGAATTCTGCACGAGGCTTGCATGATAATGATTGTGGGGAGTGCTTTGGTTTCAACTGTAAATCACACAAGATCTCTGAAGAGGATGGAAAACCTTATCAGGAGCTGCTGTTCCTAAGTCATTCCTCTGAGCTACTGCTGTGGTCACAGGGTGAATAAGTGGTGAAGAGAATTGCCTGCAGAAGCAGTTCTGCACCTCGCTGTCCTGTGTCCATTTTGCTGACTGGCCCTTTGTGTTTGGACAATGCAGAACCTTAAATACAGCCCTTTGAAGGAAAAGCATATACTTTGTATTTATCTAGGCATAAAAGGTGAAGAAGGATCATATGGCCTGCCAGGTCAAGATGGGTTACCTGGGGCACCTGGACCACCAGGTGACCAAGGAAGCCGAGGAGAGCAAGGATATGCTGGGCCACAAGGTAAGAACAGAGCATGACTTCAGGGGGGAGATGTGTGAGATGATGCACGGACTCAGTTTTTTCCTCTTCTCCCCCTGTTCCCACATGGATACAGCCACCTCTTGCCCCTTCTCAGTTCAAGCACTGACAGTGACATTTCTTCTCCCCCTGTTCCCACATGAATACAGCCACCTCTAGCCTGAGATTCCATGACACCTCTTGCCCCTTCTCAGTTCAAGCACTGACAGTGACATTTGTGAATGATTTCATAACAAGACCCGTTGGAAGAAAATTTATCTCAGCATCCATTACTAAACAGAAAGGCAATTAAGCACCCATGCTCAGACAGAATCTATCAATAGGCATGCATCTCTAAACCAGGGCTAATGGGGCAACTGTCTGGCAGTAATTAAAGTTGTATTTTACCTGTGACTGCTCTCTAATAAATTAAGGCTTTAATACCTATGTGAGCAAGAGGCATCGACTGTTACTGCAAGGATTCAAATTCAGTCCAAACGTTCTGTTCATCCTAATCAGTAAGTCAGGGAAATTGCCCACTTCAGTTCATTTCTTAATCCATACAGCACAAGACAGGTACAATAGAAAAGCCAAGTGCCAAGCATTCAGTAGCAATGTAGTTCATTTCTCTCCCAGAAGAAGGATAACAAAAGTCTACTTGTGTCTTTATTGCCCATGACAGCCTTGAAGTTGTATTTATATACAATTGGGAACTTATTGAACATTTACACACAGCAGGTGTGAACATTGTATTTTATCCTAGTAAATTTCTTTTACCTTTCTGCAAGGTCCACCTGGCCAGACTGGTGTCCCAGGACAACCAGGTCCCCAAATTAGATCTGCAAGTGGATTCTTGCTTGTCCTTCACAGTCAGTCAGACAGAGAACCACTCTGCCCACAGGGGATGCCGAAGTTATGGACTGGCTATAGTCTGCTGTACTTGGAAGGACAAGAGAAAGCCCATAATCAAGATCTTGGTATGTATTGTATATAATTGCTCTCCAGCTAAGGGATAATATGGTGTTATCTATACAAGGAAAGACAAGTCACATGGAACAAGCTATAAAACTGTCAGCTACTTATTTTCTACACTAATTTACACTGATGATAATGAACTTGGTTATGCTGCCCTCTTGTCAGCCATTTGAAATGGCTTTCTGCTGCTCTGCAATTGCATGCAAAAGTATTTCTAAGTAATTTTGACTTGAATCTGGAGAGATGAGGGGTTTATTTCACTTATCCCAGCTCATTTTAGGCTGTCTTTGAAGTCACTGGAAAGATTTTCCTAGGTCAGAAATGTTATTTGGCCACTCTGAAATAACTCCCTGGAGGTTCTGCTCCTTTTTTACTGTAGACACAGCTTGGGAAAGAGCTGGTTAAGTTGGGTAAGTACAGTTGGGCAGTATAAGTAAGCTTTACAAGTAAATTATGCATCATGTGTACAGCACAATCCTGTGCTTTTCAGAGTCAGAAGCTAATATTTTTTGGAAAAGCCAAAGCCAAGTTCCTTCCAGAGACAGCTCCTTTTGGTGCCTTGGGTCACTTATTCCCTGTCTTTTACAATTCTGACTAAAATTAGATGTCTAAATAAGCTGCCTGCCTTGAAGCCTGAGGAACTGATTGGTGGCAATTTGCACAGAAAAAGTTTCCTAAATTCTTGTTTACTTGTTATACAAGAGTTAGAGAAGTCTCTGAGGAGGAAAGATCAAGGACCTAATAAGCTGAACAAAAAAGAAGTGTTTAAAAGAGCAATAAAAAGAGCTATTTTTAGAATAGCAGTGGTGTTTTAGAATGTTTTCACTATTGTGTGTTTGGCATTTCCCAGGAGAGCCAGTTGCTAACAGAATGCCTCATAACAACAGTGAAAATAAGATTCAAAGAAAACGGAGTCCTTGTCTCCTGTGTGATTTTGCAGGCATTTTTCCTACTCAGGCTGCTCCAGATCCTTCACTAGGACTGGAATGGAATATTACCAGTGATAAACAAAACTGGCTTCTGTACAGAAATGTCACATGTCTTTAATGAAGGTGTTTGGGTTTGGAGGCATTACAGAAATACTTCGCACACCGAGTTGAAGGCAGAACTTTGTGCAATGATTATTGCTAACTCAAGAGGCCATCATGAAACTGTTCTAAATTCAGTTCTGGAAGAAGTTCACCACAGAAGTATGCACTGGTGACTTCTTGGTTCCCACTGATGTCTGCCTGATGAGAATTTTGCAGGATCGGCTCTGCAAAATCCTTCAATCCTTTTATTTCACTTTGGGAGTCTGTGAAGCCTTTCTGGAAGGCAGTAGAATAGCTGCTGAGATTTCAGCTTAATGGACTGCTAGCAACGGCTTGTCATACTTCACAAAAATGTTTCTATTTATCAGTATTTTCATTTGGTTTCTCACTGCTCCTAATGAGTTTGTAAATAGCTGATCTCCTTTTAAATCAGCCGTCACCCCTTGCCTCATTTATTTTTCAGTGTTGGCACTGCTAAGAAATTTGTTATCATAACTGTTTCTCATGGTGACAAACTACATCATGTTTAAATATCAGATTGATACAATTAAATATTACTGGTCAAAGGAAGATACTTACTGCTAATAGGTCTTTGTTTTTCATGTAGACATTCTGGTAAAGGGCTTGGGAGGTTTAACATCTGTGCATTACCTAAAATGCTAAAATGTGTAATTTTGTAGCAACATTGGCCAGAACACAATTTTCAACCGACCTAGGAAGTGAAATAATTGGCAGCACTTGCTGTTATTTTCAGGTCTGGCAGGGTCCTGCCTGCCCGTGTTTAGCACCATGCCGTTTGCCTACTGCAACATCAACCAGGTGTGTTACTATGCCAGCCGCAACGACAAGTCCTACTGGCTGTCCAGCGCCGCGCCGCTGCCCACGGCGCCGCTGTCCGAGGACGAGATCCAGCCCTACATCAGCAGGTGCGCCGTGTGCGAGGCCCCCGCGCAGGCCGTGGCCCTGCACAGCCAGGACCAGTCCATTCCCCCCTGCCCGCCCAACTGGAGGAGCCTTTGGATAGGATACTCGTTTTTGATGGTAAGAAAGTGGGAGCATGATTATATAGATGTGTTTCTTTCGTCCGGCTTTTGTATTCTAAAGGTTCAAGGATTTTTAGCTCTGAAAAGAAATTATTCAATGTCTAGCAAACATTAAAGAGGAAAATTCACAAGAAACGAGACACAGGTTAGTTCCAAATTGCAGAACCCGGCTGTAGCTACATATACTGTACTCAGAAACTTAAGATATGCATTCCTTGAAATTACAAAGGTTTTGCCTCCTTGTCTGTAATAAACAATGGGATTTTCATGTACAAATACACAATTTTCAGAATTAGAGCTACAGGTCATTTTAATGCCATCCTCAAGTTACATTTGCAGCAGTTTGGATAATGGCACCATTCTGAATCAACCCAGACTACTCCTTCCTTCAGTTTGATAAATACCTGAAAGTTAAGTGAGCTGGCTCTAGACTTTGAGATTAATTTATTACAGAGCAAATTAAAATTTTCTCCAGCAAGAGAATCTTACTCCCATATAAAATTACAAAAAACAGCACAGTTAAAAGCAAGTAGGGAAAAAGACAGATGAACATAATTTACCTATTTTTCATGCACAGTTACCAGGTTGTCCCTTTGTTCTTTCCAGCACACTGGATCTGGTGACCAGGGTGGTGGACAGTCCCTTATGTCACCCGGAAGCTGCCTGGAAGACTTCAGATCAGCACCATTCATCGAGTGCCAGGGCCAGCGGGGAACGTGTCAGTTCTTTGCTAATGAATACAGCTTCTGGCTGACCACCGTGATGCCTGAGCTGCAGTTTGCATCAGCCCCCGTGTCAGGAACTCTTAAAGAAGGACAAGAGCAGAGGAAAAAGATCAGTAGATGCCAGGTATGCCTGAAGCATGGCTAGGAAGCAAACCAAAAGCAGGCAGCTACAGAGAGGCTTGTGGGAGGATGAGCAAAGTGCTAAAGGTTTAAACAGCAGCTCGTGTTTGAATCTGTGTCAAGGTGTGCAGCAATGTTCTTTGCTGGAATGGAAAAATGAGACACAGATGATGAATTCCATCCCCTCCTGATCTGCTGAGCCTCATCCACCCATGTACACACATCCACAGGCACTAAAATCTTGTGTAAAATAATTAAGAAAAGATGAAATTCTGTCCCATTGGAGTTCACTGCTGTAAATTACAGGGAACAAGGTGAGCTTGGAGGATTTAGTCAAGCTGGGAAGACCAAGGACACCATACCTGTTGTGCAAGAGAATGGATTTCCTGTTAGAAATGGCATTTACAGCAGGAAGAATATGTGCATTTACATGGCATATTATAAATATTTATCCATATTGATAGACATGTGCAAACATATAAATATCAAAGCCCTGTAGCTGAATTTCCCAAGCTAAAGTAACTTTGCACTTGCTGGTTCTGAGGGAAGAGAAAAATGCAATTGTTAAAAAATAATCTAATAATAAAAACAATGAAGATCAAAGTCTTTTACCACTGCAGTACTGAACCAGACTCTGAAAGAACTGCTAATTGGGCTTTCATAATCAACAAAAAGCTGCAAATCCATTTAATGGGAGATTATGTAAGAAAATAAAATTAGCTGAGATAACAAATCCTTAAAAACTTGTATTTATATTTACAATTAATTTCTAAGAGCAGTTACATTAAGTTATTAAACTCTAATCCAAGTTTCTGAAGCAACAAAGCAATTTCTAATATTACTTGAAAAGAAACTGTGACATGGTGATAAAATGGGTGAATTTATCTGAGTGATGAATATAAGAAGTGTTAGGACAATAGATTGTGTTCATTCTCTGCTTCTTTGTTTGTAAATACACCACAAAAAAAAGAACCATCACCATTAAGATCCTTATGGAATGACAGCTCTGAACATCCTTTTTATTTTTTAAAGCACTAATTGTAAAAATGCTCATATCCTAAAGAACTAATCACCTTTTGAAAAAATGAAAATACATTTGTACTCTCTTCATTCATCTGTAAAACCAGAACTATTAAATGGTTCTATATCATGGGGAAACATCTGAAAACACAGATTGCAAGTGGAGAATCCATCATGTGCAGAAGGGCCACAAATGCCCCTTTTACCACTTAAATAAGCTACATTTTAGTAGAATGTAATCAAATGCTTTTTCCAGCACTTTTCCTTTCAATTTGTGTTCACTGAGGTGCCCCCAGCAAAAGCATTTTCAAGGAAACTGAATCCTCATCCAAGGGTCCTAATTCAAAGCAAACTCCCTCTGAAGCCATCACGAGTACAACAGGGTGATCAGCCAATTTAAAAGCTGGATACGCAAACTCAAAGAGCAGGAAAGACAGACATTCCACACTCAGCCAGAGGAAAACAAAACAGTCAGAGGATAAGTCCAGTCGAGTGTAAATACATCTGACTGTGCAACTTCCTCCTGCCACAACCAACCAAACCTCTCCGATGTGCTGTGCTTACATGGTGGTCAACTGACTCTGCCCTTTCACCTGGGCAAGGGCCAGGAGCCCTCCTGGGGCATGTGCCATTCCCACCTGTGCCAGGGAACATTTCCCTCTGGTGCTGTGCCCGCTGGGACAGGGCACACCTCGGGTCACTGCTGGGTGATCCTGACTGCATCTGCCAGATCTGACACTGGAACAGGGGCCAATCCCTGCCACTGACCTGTATGCAGGAATTCCATCCCCTCCTGATTCAGGCTCATCCTACAAGCAGGGCAGAGCAGCTCTGCAGTCTGACATAAACGCCAAAGTCTTGGCTCTGTGAGGTGCTGAGCAGCTCAGGAGCTTCCTGTGGGAAGAAAGCAGTGGGTGGAGAGGAGCACCAGGGCTGAGGCCACCCGTTCTCCAAGGTGTGCAAGCTGTGATTCCAAAGAGGTCTCAGCTAAAGCCCCACGGGACTGGGAGCTGCAGCTGCTGCTCACAGTCACAGGAACAAACACCCAGTGGCTCAGGTGATGGCCCCATTTCCTGAGTGGATTTAGCTGATTCCACACTGAGGTCTATTTACGAGCCTCACCTGACAGTGCTCACCAGCTCCTGTCACTCATCTGCAGCCTCTTTACAGGTGAGAAACTCTGGAGAGGAGCTGTGGCTTTCCTGGGAAGCAAAGTGGGGCTTTTGGTATAAACTGCACTGAGGTAAACAACAATCAAAATCTTATATACCGTGTTACTGCAAACTGGGTCATAGGGACAAGGTGAAAACAAGGGAGTAAAAAGGGTTTTTGGAATTGCATCTGTGTTCACCTAACTTGAGCAAATGCACCAAAAAATCTTTAAAACATCAGCAAAAATCCTCACCAATGATTTAAATAGGCTATTTCACAACATTTGACCATGTTGCTCTTTTGTTTGCTTTAAAAACATCACACAGATTCCCCCCAAATCTGTGTATCATTTTGATGCAGAGTTTTTGCAACTGTGCCAGTTCCATTTTACTATGGTCTGTAAGAACATATATAGGAAATGTATTTTTAAGCTACTACTGATAGCTCAGATATTTCATAAGTGTGCAAATTCCTGTTCCATGCTCAGCTAGCTCCATAAGGCATTTGTCAGAAATATTGTACTAATTCAAAATTAAATTGCAGATAAATTGCTTAATATTACACAGCAAGTAAAACAGATCAAAGTAAAAAGCAGCAGATGCTTTAACTCTGCAATAATTTGTCCAGTGACTAAAAGCAGAAAAATAATTGGTAAATTATTCATAGGGAACCTATTTATGAAATTAAGTGTGAAAAGGCATAGCTGAAATTGCTATGAGTAAAAACACCCCTAAAAACAATGGCTTTGTTCTAGCCCTTGAAGTCCAAATTACCCTTACTATGGCATTACAGAGTCTGGATCTTGTGCAGGCCCAGTCAAGAAGTGAATTTTATCCCCAACAGCAGGCAGGATATTAAGAGCAACATGAAAATTATGCTGGCTGCACTTGGAGGTCACTGAAATTGAAGCCATTTGGGGTGAACTGCCCTGGAGTTAAATTCCGATCTAGTAATTTCTAATGAAATTTGCTTGCCTATCACCCTGGCAAACCATGGCCAGCACACAGGGAAGTCCTGGTTCTAACTCAAGGCAAAACCTCAGGGCAGGTGACAGATTCTTGTCCCTCACATCCCTGTGCATCAGGATTTCTAGAGGATAACAGGTGGAAGGAAAACACTGCATGGCCTGAAACCTGATCTTCTCACAAGAAATGTGGCCATTTTTGCTTCATTTGATGTTTTTCATTACAAGGAAAGAGATGCACAAGCTGAAAACATCTCTTGAATGTCATCTTTTGGTGTATACAGAGCTTGTCAAAAGGGAGAAACTAAAGCAAAACTTAAGTTTAGTGTCCACAATCCACATGCATAGAACAGGTATCAGAATGAGAGGACAGCAAACAGCTGCAGACAGAGGTGGTGCTTGGCTGGGGCCTGTGAGCTGACACAGCCTCCTACAGAAGCAGTGCAGGGGCCATGGCCAGGCCTTGCTGCCTCAGGCTCCTGCTTCTCCTGTGCTGAGAGCTGTCAGGGTGGGGAGCTGGCCCTGGCTGGCAGCCACACATGTGCTTCACCCCCCAGCAGGACAGGAAAGAAAACAGAAGGACAAAGAACATGAAAATTCATTGGTTGGCATATAGACGAAGAAATCACTTACCAAGTACTGTTGGGGGCTAAACAGACTCAGCTCAGGGAATTCAATTTATTATTTTGGGGAAAAAATTGACAAACCTTAACATACCTTTCCTCCAAGTCTCCCAGTGCCAACTCTGCTGCCTTGTTACCACAGCAAATGCCAGTTAGTCCCTTCAGTGAGGCAGGGGGCAGCAGAAGCTTCTTGGGACAGGTGTTATTGCAGGTACAAAGTGGCTTTTCTGTGCTGCACCTTCCTTCTCACTCTCTTCCTGTGCTCTGACATTGTTCCTCTGTAGGCTGCAGCCCTTTGGTGGCAGTACCTGCACTGGCATGGGTGCTTCTCAGAATCACATTATTATGTGCAACAAGTTTAAGCAAAACTGGTCCAGGGATTCTTCCAGGGAAAACTCTTCACCAAAAAAACCTCTTTCCTACTTTGGCTGGTTCATGAGCACCACAGGAAAACAAAAGTAGTATCACAACAGCCAAACCCCAGAATTCCTACACTCCATACATTTTTTGCCTGTATTTAAGGCAATTTAAGCAAAGCTTTTATCCATTAACCCAGGCAGCTCACTTGTTTGGAAAGGATCCCCCGAAAGCTTTAAAACACACTCTGGAGCAGACTGAATGTGCTCTGCACCACACCTGCTCTGGGCACACAGGGCCAGCCTACAGGGACTGTGCCAGCCCTCCAGCACAGTGTGTGGGGCCACACCAGCAGCCCTCAGCAATGCTCTGACCTGTACCTTCAGCCAGATCCAGGACACAAACCACAACCATGTGAGTTTGTTTCTTATTCCACATGGCCACCTCACACTGACATCCCAGACTGACTCCCAGCCCTTCCAGGCCTTACAAGCAATCCTTAAGTAACTTGTAACTCCACTCAGTGGCCATCCACAGACAAATGCTGCACAGATGAGGACTTCTGTTCTAAGGCTTGACTTGCATTAGAACTGAGCAAGACAGAAAACAACCATCCAAGGCCATGGGGAGGAGCTGTAATGGGGAACAATTGTTTGCAAGAAAAAGGATCTCCTCAAAGCCAGCTGTGAGAAACAGCGGTCAAGCAAGGACAGAGCCCATCAGTCTTCAAAAACAATAAAAAAATTCAGTCAGCTCTGGTAAGAACTTTCCAGCAGGTGAAGCAATTGCTTCATCAAACTGGGGATCTATTTCATGACTGGATCTGATTTCAGAAATCAGCATTTTAAACTGACCAAACAACAAGAACAGCTGCTGAAATTCTGTCCACCTGAACCATCTGGAAAACTAGCCAGGTGGAGAAAAATCCCCATCAGCACTCCAACAGATGCTGCTCCATATTCATATTTAACAGCTCTCCCCTTTCCTAGTCACTTCATCCAGATGTTCCAGAAGGTACTGGAAGTTCAATTAGAGGTGACATTTCATAAGTGCAAAGTAAAAACAACTCCATATTTATCATTCTAGAGTGAACCTGTCCAACAAAGACAGTTCGTCCATGAATGGCAGCTCACCCACCTCACAGCACAGCTCACCTTGTGCTTAACCACACACTGCCCCACTGCTTCACAAAAGAGGACAGGCTTGAGCTTCGTGGGATTTGAAATTCCACATATTTAAATGTTTTCCACAGATTCACTGAATTAGAAATGCAGAACATGTGAGACAAAATCCCAACCAAGTCCTAATGGAAGCCCCACAGTAAGGTACCATCCTACAGACTCTGTTGCGTCCCTGCGTGTTACTCGTGGTTTATAGCAAGATTTGGAGTGAAGCACTCAAGTCCCAGACTGACATCAGGTTCAGCTTGGCAAAACAAAGTTTCAGTACACAGGAAAACAAGAACTTCTCCAGAATTTAGTCTTCCATGCACATGACAAACACCACTCTGAAGGGCTGCTTTCACTGAAGTGGAGAATAAACCTTCTCATGGGCAGAAATCAATTAAATCCTTATGGGAAGTAAAACAATTAAAAATGTCTACTCTGAGGCAGTTGTAGCTGTAGTCTGCTTGACTCTGCACATCTGCATTTTCAAAACTACAAAACAAATTATTATTTTAGAATGCTGTAATTCTATTGTGCTTAAACATTTTAGATGTATGTAAGAAAGTGAAATAGATGCAATAAATGGTACCAGATGTTACAGAAGTTTTGGCCACAGACAGGTTGTATCTCTGCATAAATGCTGTCACAACAACCTTCTCAGCTGCAGAACTTCGTACCTAAATACTTTATAATTTTTAAGTCAGCAAAGAGGTCATTTCATACTCACTAATATTGTATGGATTTAGGGGCTGTTTTTTCAATTGTTGCATGGTTAAGGAAAGAACACAGGGGTTCACAGAAGTGACTGAACACCAATCTCTCTTAAATGATCCCTGGAAAGAATGGTTTGGTGAAGGGCCTAATCCAACATTCTACACGAAGGCAAGCACATTTACTGCTGACCTGCCCTGAAGGGGCACTTGTTTAACCTGCTCCAAAGAGACAGAAGAAGGAAATTCTGGAATACCTCTAGCTTATTTGGAAAGTTCACTATCCACATGTTTAGAAATCTTTTGCTTGCACTCCTTTTGCTGCTAATTAGTGCAATTTCTGCTGGTAAACAGACAAGAGAGCCGAGCTTACTGCTGTTCTCATGCAGCAGAAGAATGCTGTCATACATATCCTTGATCTGCTCTTTCACTAACCCAGTTGCTTTACCCATTCCAGCAGATCATATAAACAAAAGTGCTCAAACCATATTAGAGTAGTGTGAAAAACTGTCTGAACTTCTCCAGTTTGCCCAGCTCCTGGAAGAATAAATGGATATCAGAATTTATTGTATGGCTTTTTAGAAAGCTTGACATTCCTTCAGAAGCAGTTCCTACGGCTGAAAGCTCAGAAATGTTAATATTTTCTTGCCTTCTGAAATCTGGTAACAAGTAAGAAATAAGCAATTTCTTTTATATAGGGAACAATGAGAAGCTTATAATAAACTCATGCAATGATTCTGTCCTTCATGTCTGCACACCCCAGAAGCCACAGCACAAATACCAGGATCTGCTCACCAGCTGTTGAGTGGAAGCACGATCCACATTCAGTGCTGAACCAAAAGGGGAACAATTCCCCAGCCATGGAATCAGAGGGGAAAATGACAGCAATTCCCATTCCCATCCTCTGCCAGCAGCAGGGAGGGCAGCTGGACCCAAACTCCTTCCCAAGCTGTTCACTCCCCCATGCTGGGCCATCTCCACGCTCACACCTCTGGAGAGAAGCAGCAGCTTCAAAGGTTCAGCAGGTCTCTGTTATTATAAAACAGCATATATACACTTGGCACATAGGGGTACCATAATTAAACAGAGCAAGGGATGGCCAGAAAGGTACTTCAGTCCTGCAGGCAAAAAAAAAAATGACAAAACTGCTGGCCTAACATGGCCAGTCCCTTCACTATCTCCTACTACACACTATGTGCCTGTATAAATACTCTTTTCTTGGTATTTTAAGGGGCATTTTTTTCTCTTTAGGAGAAGTGGTGCTGCCAGGGAAATCAGCACACAAAACCACAGAATTTGCCTGTGCTTAGAGACAAGATGGAAGAGGCAAAAGAATTTTAAAAGCTAAACACAGTTCTTTCATTACATCTTAATTCTGGGCTGTGAGAGACCCTTATTTATCAACAGTAATATATTAGGTCATTCAACCATTAAATTTCAAGAATGTGCCCACTAACAAGTCTGCTGATTAGGATTAATTAGGGAATGGAATTTCTTACATGGTACCTGATCAGAGAGTTTAGAGGAAGTACAAACAACTCATAAGAAATCACAGCTCCTACAACAAAGGAATCAAACTGCAGATGCTGAAATATTCTATACAAAGCTATGTTTGCTCCAAGAGCCCTTGAGGCAGTCAGGCAGTGACCAGGGCCAGCACCCACCTGGGTAACTGCCCTTAATTTTTGTCCCTGAAGAGATCAAGTACAACAGCACACTGGGGATTCATCTGCCACATCTTCCCTCACCAGTGCTCTGAAAACTAATTGATGGGGGCTTTAATGACAAAAATCCTGCTGAGGACTCACAGAATAGATTGGGTTGGACAGGGCCTTTACAGGCCATCCAGTCCAACCCACCTGCAATGAGCAGGTGTTAATAAATCTTCCAAATACTGGATGTAGCAGAACTTTTCAATAATCTAACTCAAAGCTTCCCCTAAATAAAAAAGAAACAAAGTCAGTCCCAATACAATCAGTCTAGCCCCTTGGTATCACAAGTCTTCATTTCTAACAACATAGCAGCAGCTCTCATTTAAATATGCACATTATTAATTACGATAATTAAAACCAAATAGCTTTGAGTGTTAAAAAAATATTTATTTCAATTCTGTATACAAAAAACAAATGTCAAAACAACTGAACATTTATTAGTACTGACATTTTTGTGAATATTTAATGGCATGTATGTCTAAACTCACTTTACAAAACCAAGTGCTTACAGAATTGTAATCAGGTTTTTGATTTACCTTAAGTATCCTTTTTTACCTGACCAGCAGCCCATCCTGTGCTTTTAAATAAGAAAAATATCAGAGTTTAGCACACACAGTATATTACACTGCAACTTTTGACCAGAGCATTAAAGGATTTCTGAGGAACCAATGGTACATCCTTCTCATTTACATCCAATTATTACCTGCTGAGAAAAATATACAGGTTTTTGAGACTTATCTTCAATGAACATAAAAAAGTTGGCCTTCTATAAAAGTGTCTGCTGTTTTATTCTATGGCTATTGCATATATACAAAACCAAACAAGCCCAAGAACACACCAGAAATCAGCATTCTGCCTGTACCTGGAGTGACATTGCAGTTGTGCCTGTTGTGTCCCAAAACCCCGAGCCCAAAGCCCTGCATCCTGATATTGTGCTTTTCCCAGCAAACAAGAGCTTCCCCTACATACAATAGCTGCACACAGAAAGAGCAGGTACTATTTATTTAAAGAACACAGTAAAAAATTTCCTTTCAGGGTATTTTTCTGTATGAAATATGCAGCATTGTTTTTTATATTCAAAAAATAACCTCATAGAAAAGTAGACTTCATAAAGCACAGGTTGGTGAAACCCTTCAACTGCTTATCCTAATCCTCTACTCCATCAGTGCTGATGAGGAGATTCCAACAGGTCTGTGTCAAAAGCCAATAACCAAATTATTCTTCTGCAATCACACCTCTCTGCAATAGTTTTAGAGGAACATCCCCAAGTTCTTTCATTCTGAGGATAAAATGCCTGGACAAGGAGTGATTTTCAGGGCAATACTGGAACCAAAGCCCTCGAGGTTCATCAGTTAACATGAAGAGGCAGCAGTGCCACAGGCAGGACAGCCTTGTGTGGAGGGTGTGCCCAGAGGGACAACTGAGCTCTCAGGACTCCTCTGGTTGAGTAAGAAAATTCTCAAAAATGAAGACTTCAAGGTAGCTGGTGTTTAGGTATGATCTCCACAAGTCTACAAACTCTCAGGTCTCAGACTGGTCTTCAAACAAGATAAATATTGAGAAATAGCGGAATTTGTAAAGCTGCATGAACAGCATATACAAAATAAAATTTCCAAGCTTCTTAGAAAGGGAAATAGATGCTTTAAAAAAAGTATATTACTAAACAAATATATGCTTTGTATGGCATAGCCACATATCTTTACAAAAAACTCCTAACAAATTATTTCAGCTCTGTAAAGGGCAGCAATTTTTGATTTAGAACATAAATATTAAGAAAAGCTTTAGGAAAACATAAGTAGTAACAACTCAGTTTTATCTCATCCAAGCTCTATATAATATGGTGTGAGGAAGACTGCAACACTGAAGTTTGTATTAAATAATTCCTTGGTAAGGACAACAGGGGAAGGATAGCTGCAACTATTTGACTGCTCAAGAGCTTAAGCCTAGATTCACATGACCCAGCCCCTGTCATCAAAGCAATCTTTTCAAGTGTCATTTCACATGGCAATCCCAAAAAATGAGCTGGTCATCTCAGATAACTGAGAAAGGTTTGTAGGGAAAAATTGCATAGCTTTAAAGTTACATAGAAAATGTAACATTTCAGTTGCAATGAAGGAAGAAAACCTGTTGTCTGAGAACATCAACAGTCAAGAAGCCAAGGAATTCTTAAAGCTATACAAAATAATTTAAGGGAAAAAAGACAGTTTGGAAAAACCATCAGCCTTCTTCCATTTAAGGTGCATTAAGATGGAGACAGCCGAAGATCACATTTTGATTCTTATCTCACATTTCTTATTCAAGTTCCAACTTTGAGTCTGAACTCACAAAATCCTATGCAGTTTTGCAACAAGGAGTAAAAATAATGGAAAAAGATTATAAATTATTCTGGAAATTACAGATTACAAATAAATCTGTACATATTTTGGTAAGTCTGAATAGCACTTTACATCAACACCTGCCAACTTCATCATCTGTCAAACCTACGAAGCCTTCGCCTTCTCATGTCCTCTTCTGAGTTCTCAGGTGGGAACCAAAACCCATAAGGTCGCTGCCCATAACTGCGTGTTCCTCCACCAAAATCTACAAGACACAATGAAAAACAACTGTTATTTTGGTCTGTAATAGGAGAAAAATGCACATATATCCTGCAAGCCAAAGCATCACAACACAAAGGAGACAGGGAATTGAATGTTTTCAATTCTGATGGTTTTAGGGCAATTACAACATCCAGAAACTGCTCTTAAAGACAGTCAAATAAAAAGAAAAACCCAAACCAGAAAACTACCTCAAACAATAAAGCTACCACCACCCAAAAAACCACCCCAATCCAACAACAAAACCAAACCAAACAATGAACCACAACAAAAAGAACATCTAACAAGTATTAACCCGTTAAGAATAACAAGTATTAACAAGTATTCACATTTTTCACAATCCCTACTTTACACAGTAAACTCCAGAATGTTAAACTATTTCAGTGTCCTCAGCAGTTGCTTCTGGTAAAAGCAGCTTTTGTGTTTGCTTTTAGTACCGAGTCCAACATGTGCAGACCAACAGCAGATGCACACACAGCTCCCACCCCCAGCTGGCAGCAGTTCCACAAGGGAAGGACACGTGGCAGCCCAACCATTCCAAGTGTAAGCAAAATAATCTGAGCAGCAAGAGCACAGCCAGCCCCACAGCTCTGGGCCTGGCACCCCGAGGAGCCAGGACTGGCCCTTCCAGCAGCTCTCCAGAATTCACCAGCAAAGGAACAACACAAGGCTCGGGTACACACACCAGCTCGGCTGAGGGGCTCTGGGAAACAAAATCAGTCTGCCTTCTGAGCAGAATTACAGTGTTAAGGACATCCAAATTTGCTTTAACGGTAATAAAACCTTTGTAACATTCAGCATTTCTTAAGCTTTCACCTGCCCCACATAGGGTTAAAACTGCATTGTAATGCTGTAGTTTAATAATAGATTTTTACATCATAATTAAACTACTTGCATTTTTTAAAAAATTATTTCCAGTAGTGAAATTGCCAACTAAATACCACAGTTTCTTATAAAAACATTTATTTTTAACAGCATCCCAGGTTAATTTTTATTTAAGAAAACAGATACGCCTTACACAGTTAAGACACGCCTTTGCATAGTCCCCATAAAATATGCTCAACACTTCAAATATACATGTGCTTTAATAATCACTAGTAATAGAATGAAGTGTTATACAAAAGATGAAAAATGCTCTTGTACATATTGACCCAAAAATAGAAGGCTAGACAATATGTTTTGACAAATTGTCTTCTTTAGGTCGAAGAAAAAAATCTTTTTTTACATCAAACAATATGGTGAAGAGCAAAGTCTGGATGTTTTTGTATCTGCATGTAGATATTTAAATTATCCTGTTACCTAAAATAGTTCCCTGACACCTTTTTTCTTTTAATTACTGCAGAAATATTAATGAAATAACACCTTCATCTTATCAAAATATTTATAAGCCACAGTGTTCAGGAATGGTAATTACGCCAGTGCTACTACTGAAACACCACCTGACATCTGTGCAAGAAACCAACACAGGCTTTTCAACTCATCAGCAAAAACAAATTAAAGACTAATGGTATCTAAGACTGCATTCAAATGACATGGAAAACTGCAACACTGGATGATAGACAAAACCAAAGGATAAATTACAACAAACTTAAAACAAAACATTAACCCTTCCATGGCATATTTTACGAATTTATTGTGAACTAGAACCACGTTCTGTGAATACAAAAGACTGAGACTCCCATCCCTATCCTGTCACTCTGTGTAGGAGTTTCTTTTGTTACTTAAGTTCACAATTAAAGCACTTGGCAGCAAAAGAAAATTACTGTAACTGCAACAGATGTAACTACACCTGTATTAATGCAATGCCACAGAAGCGTTACATCAAACATTCTCACTTGATTTTTCCTCTTCTCTGAAGTTATGACCTTATTTTTAGGTTAGATAATAGGATTTGCAAGACAGTTTCTGTAAAAATCAAGAGGAATATACCAAGCTACCAAACTGTTAAAGTCTCTCTAGTAGAAATATGCAATTAGGTCTGATAAGAGGAGTGTAGCAAAAAAAATAGCAGAGGTATCACAAAGCAGTATGTCTGTGTCTCTTTTCCATGCCAGCTCTAGTTGTGTTAAAGAAGAATCTAGAGCACTTCAGTTCAACAGCTTACCATTTTCAGTATCACCATCTGTCCTGGCACTACTGAACGTGGTATTCATACAAAAACCAAACTATACAAACACTGAAATACCCATACAAAGAACAGACACTTCTCATTTCTACAAAAACTCTTTAATTCTGGAGAGGCTTGGCTGTAGAAGATAATCACAGACAGCAGCAATTTCTTTTGAACCCAGCAAGGACCACACAGCTAACCAAAACAGAGCTCTGATCTGCATATTTGATCAAATGTCATAACAGCTTCCAATACTTGCTTGGATTTCATTTATATCAGTTTTATATAAATTATCTCTTCCATAAATAGTATAGCTCTGCTAACTATATTATAACAACAGAATACAATTAAAGTTTACTAACCAGCACTTGGGTGTGCTACAGATCACATAGAGTGTAATACATTGAACACCTAACTTCCCTTGCTTTTTAATGCAAAAATGCCAATGTTTAAAGGGTTCTATTTAAGAAAATAGGAGTTATCTTAGTTTATAAACATCCAAATATTTATTTTTTTCCATAGAATCACTGACATTGGAAAAGACCTTTGAGATCATTGAGTCCAACCCATGACACAACACCCCTTGTCAGGCAGACTCTGGCACTGAGTGCCACATCCAGCCTTTTCTTAAACATCTCCAGGGACAGGGACTCCATAACCTCCCTGGACAGCTCATTCATTTTTGATGCATTTGGAGGTAGAAGCAGCAAACTGGAAGGCAGCAAGAAGCCAGAGCCAAAAGCCCAGTGTTGCTTTACCCATTTCATCTCTTCCAGCCAATGAGTAGTCAAGTCTTTAGGTCTAATCAAACTTACTTATGATTTACTGAGCTGTACGGAGAATTTTAAGGAAAGACACTGTAGGCATTTTTCCTCCTTTTACACTTAAGCAGGACTAGAAGTCTTCCAGAAAGAGCTGAGACACAAAAAACATAGCAACCTTTTCACTGTTTTGTTTCACTATAAGTCAGACAGAAACTACAAATGAATAAAAAATATAAAATGGCAAAACTGCTTTTATTCTTTCCTGTCCTTCCCTCTGCAAAATGCAGACATGCTATACAGTCTGAGAGCTTTGGCTTTTAGTACTTATCACTGCCCCATTTTTTTCTACTCAGCTCCAAGTAGACCACATTCATTAGTCTTTGCTATTGTTTCTAACACAGCCCTTTCAGTTTCTGTCAGTGTATGAAAAGAATTTTGTCATGCTATGAAGCAAACTATTTTTCTGGTGCTGATGTCAATATATCTCATCTACAGACTTGAACATAAACTGGTGAAGAAGAGTGATGGAAGTAACTACTGTTTCTGTGCTATGCTTTGGAACAGCTGACAAATGAAAAATCAAATTAGCAGGGAAGTAGCTGAGGGTAATGAGTTTAGAAGGAAAGTAACATACAATGAATCCAGACACAGCTGGATTGTTACGAGAGCTAGCCAGAACAATCTTGAACAGTCTCTGTCTCTCTCTTGTTTTTAAAAGAAGATGGTAAAATTGAGAAATACACAAAACCACTACCTCCCCAAAAGTCTGATAATTTGTTTTGGTTAGGAGAGATCTTTAATCCCTTCATACTTAAGGATTTTTATATTTATTTTAATCATGCTTCAAAATCTCATTTTTCCTGTATCAGTATCACCAAAATAAACTCTTTTTGAAGTAACAAATTGTTAAAAGCAAACTGGTAATATTTTTAGAAAGCATCAATCACCGCCTCATAAGACAAAATTCCACACTCAGATCATCCATTTGCTACAAATAATCAATGCTACAATGCAGAAGTAAGAGGACAGAGACCATCGCTGGACTTGATGCTCTTCTGCAAAGAATGAAGGGGATTAGTTTTACAGCTACCATTTGGCTGGATACTGAAAATACTCCAGGAGAGATGGCATAAAATAATCTCACTGCATTTCCCAACCATTTAATAATTCTCCAGATGTTAATTCATCTAAAACAAGGCTAAACTCATTATTAACTAAAAATGGTTGATACACTATGTCTTTCTTTCCCAAGTATTGAAAGGAATATACTAACCAACTCAAAAAACCCTACACAGACATGTCAGTTCCTAGGCTAAGACAAACTGACAGCTATTCCTCTCCTGAGTAGTAAGAAAGCTATGAATAACTTCAGTTAGAAGAATTTCAAGTGGGCTGTGTATTTATCATAATGTAGTAGAAGTATTTTGTTGAGCTGCAAATAACAAGGTATGCTTTTCCTTAGAAAATGACTAATTTATTCAGTCAGGCATTAAAAAAAAAAGTTCAGAATATAATTTTTTAAATGGTCCCAATGAAAAAAAAAAGTAAACTATATAAATAATCTATAGAATCAATCTAATGATAAACCAAAGTTAAAGTAGTAAATTATGGGTAAATCTAAAACTAGGAATATTCACTGACCTTAGTTTACCAGTAAAAATTCCCAGACTAAGTTTGTTAACATTTGCAAGAATCTTACAACATAAAAAAACCACTTTGCTTTCCCGTTACTGCATTTCTGCTTGCGTAACAAAGACCCACAGCAACAAAGGAACTCTGAACAATATCCCTTTCCCAGTGCCAAGCCTGAGACACCCAGATGGATGGAGGGAGATACCAAAGCACACTGGAGCCACTCCCCAGCAGCTCCCAGTTTCTCCAAGGGTAAGGGATCCTTTTGTGCAGCCCACACACAGCTCTTGCTAATGATGCTCACAGCTGGGAAGCAGAAGTGCTGTTCTCCAGCAAGGTGACCTTGCCAAACCCTCTGTGAAAGGAACAACTTTTGTTCCTCTATGAACAAGTTACTGAGGGGAAAAAATATTTCCAGAGACCACTGAAGTCAGATAAAAGACTCCCATTTGTATCACTGGGTCTTGGATCAACACCAAGAGGTCTCCACCTCCATATGCAAACCACGCTTTCTAAATGGGTGTAATGTGTATATGAATGCAAACCATCTCTAGTGACATCCAAGATTTAACACTTTTTAGCACTTTCCTCCTATTTTAATTGTCTTCAGCAGTTGAAACAATTGCAAGAAGGAAACCATCCAAAAGAATTGGCAGTACCTGCCAATACGTATTTGCATATTTAGGAACTCCCAGAAAAAAAAACACTCAACATTCTGTATACATTTCAGCAAGAAAATCTGAATATATTTTTATCTCAAAATCCATTCTAGCAACAGCAAGAATGCATGTCACCAGCTATGTCACTGTCAACTTATTGCCTAAAGAGCCAAGGAAGCCAATCCTTTAGGCAGCATTTCAAAAATCCCTGCTTTGCAGAACTGGTCTTTACCCCACAGTATTTCAGAGGTGCTAACTGGTCGTGGTACTGGTTTGAAAGGGAAACCCATGGTGAAAGGCTCAGTGGTTCATTTAACTCTTTTGGCGAACTTTGATCACCGTTGTAAAGAGAATTGGGAGTTTTTTGGTTCTAATTTTCAGCAAACCTCTTATCCTCCATCAACCAATGTATTTATGAAGAGACAGATGGAACAGAATTCATTAAATATTTCTAAAATAATTCTGACTATGCTTCTTGTTGCAATGGTCTCCTTCTTACACTGGTACCAAAACTTACTGTGTGGAAATGATAAAAATTCACTGATTCATTTTCTCAAAATTTTGCTTAAGAAAGTGCTGCTAATCAGATGACAGAACACAGCTGCAGTTTAAGAACAGTATTTAAAACAGGAAGTCTGCTCAATGGGTTTTCCAAGAGGTGTGTTGGGTACCATAGTATGAATTCCAAAAACAAAAACTGAAAAGGAAATCCATCACAAAAGCTGCATCTAATTTTCAAAGCCTAAATCCTAGCATATGATTTAATGAAATGTATTTTAATCTGAAACAATGCACTGCATATTTGAGCACATAATCTGCTTTAAGGTATTTCTACAGAAAACCACCATATTCAAGTGCAATGACTGGAATTTCTGTAATTGCTGAAAGAACAGATAACACTGGAAATAAAACATACAGCATTTCTCCAGTTTCCTCACATAAATTCCATTCTTATATTACAATCTTCCATGGGCTGGCAAATTTCAAGGACTCCAATAAAACATCCTGTCTCAGTAGCAACAAACAGAAGAGGGAACCCTTCCAGGGAACAGGTCAGCCAGACACCCAGGTATTTCCTAACCGCTCCAAATGACTCTGGCTAACCAATACCTGGCCATCGAAAAGCTTTTGGGTGCAGAGGTATTTATTGGTTTAGTTTTAAATCAAAAGCAATGAAATGCATAGACAGTTCATGACAAAATATAAGAGGAATGTCTATACCTGATACTTGTAGGTATTTCTCTTCAATCACAAACTATAAAGAGTTTCACCTCCATTTTTAAAAAGCTTAGTCTTTTGTGGAGAAACACCAGCTTGCAAAGGATTCTTAACATTATTCACATTGAAAGTCAGACACTTAGAAGTTCAACTCATAAAACATCCCAACACCCACCACAACAAAAATCCAAACCCACATCCCACACTGATCAAGATATTTCTTCTGAGCAGAACAAGCAGCACACAATAGATCAGAGACTTGGTTATACAGGGGTTACATTAAGGGTGGCTGATGATACCAGCATTAAACAAAAATGTCAGCCATATATTTGAACTTCACAGTAAAAGGATGTAAATATCAAAGGCTATGAGTTTTTAAAAACCAAAATTATTTTCCTAAGGAAAAATTATTGCAGTTTGAAACCAATATGAAATCATGAGAATAACAACAAAAATTCAAAAAACGCTTAAATCAAACTAAACAAATAAACTCTGGAGAGAAAACCAATCAATTCTGTTAAAATAGTTTCTTGTTTGAAGCAACAACAGAACTACAACTGAGAATGGAAAAAATATAAGCAGCAATTCCTTTCAGCAAAGAGACCTAAATCACTAAAATAGTTCGGTAGTCTTAAAATTGATACCTCCACAGAACTCAAACAAGCATAGCAATTTATTTTCTTGCATTAGACACTAATTACTATTATTCTAGAAATTTTCAAGACATTGCATAAAAATAAATCTGCAGTTCAGGAATGCCTGAATGTGGAATAAACAGAAATGCTGTATCTTTAGGGTGGGTTTAGGTAACCCATATATGAGTTTAGAGAACAGTATCTACTGAGCTTAAATTCAATGCATGTCTTAATAGAAATTAGCTTTCAGTTGTGGACAACAGCTGATACCAGGAAATTCTGTATTATGTCATTAACTCTTTCATTAGCTTAGCAGGATGCTATCACATCAATTTATAGGAATGGATCAACATTCTACATCCAAAATGGTACATTTTGTAGCCTAGAAGCTATAATAAATGTACTTGTCCAAATAAAGATGAAAGAGATATTATAAATCAATTGAAATTATTGAAGTACTCTGTTGTCCAAGTTACAGAGCAGCTGTGATGGTTTAAATGTCATAGTTGGGGAAAAAATTAAAAAGAGAGTCCTAAATTGATTGTGGTATCTGCTGCTATATTACAACCTATTTCAAATTATTTTATGTAATTTTTTGTCATGTTAAGTACCTGTTTCATCATCCATGTAATTGCAAAAATCTCTGAATGTTCATGCTTTAGGGAGAACGTATCATGTTCAAAGGCTAGTGCTCATTCAAGCTAATTATTTTTCAAACTAACTGACAGAGAAGAATATCCTAATTGCCTATTAGCACAGTAAATTTCATCTCATCCTTTGTGTCCCTGAAACAGGTGTGATCAGTGACATGCTCTGTATCATGTTCTTTGTGAATAAGACATCTGCCTATGGGCAAATTGAACCTTTACTCAGCTTGTTTAAGGAAGTACTTTAAGAGCTCAAATCTTAGGCCTCACTTGTCCAAACCAAAGTGTTCCAGCAGGCAGGAGAAAGGTGCAAAATACAGCAAGATCCCTACATACCTGATCACACCAAATTCTACTGGGAACAATACCTTTTCCTGCTTCACTTGCCTGTGAGGCTTAGAAACAGTAACCAGCACTGAAACCAGGCACTACCAGAGTGTTAAGAAATGCTGCATTTGGCAGGGAAGTTTAAAGTGAAACCTGGTTTGCCACAGCAACCTATTAGTGAGGTACTATTGAAATTCATTCTTGTCTTTTATCAAAGGACATTCTCCAAAAAAACATATTCCCTCTTATAGCACAAAACTTACCTTTGTTCAAAAACACAAGCAGATAAAAAAATACATCTTACCTAGAGTGTTGGAAATTATTTCAGGCTACAAATGAAAGTTGCAGATGTTTCACAGTGATACATGTAAGCTTTTAAAGTGCATACTACCTACTTATTTATTTTATAATCTCATCACTGTTGTTAATATTCTGTTTCCTTGATAGTTTCAAAAAACTTCACAAAAATAGCTCATTCTTTCAAGTAACATCTCAAAATGCTTAGTATTAAAAGCTTTGAAGGATTTCTTTCTCAAACTCAATGTTAAAAATTATGCAAAATATCATCTTAAAGAGACAGTAAAATAGACAATATCCCTTACAATGAAGCTCATTTTATATCCATTCCTTCCCAAAATTACAAGATATGTCCAAAAAATAAGTCACGAGGAATACATCTTGTTTTCCCTCCTAAGTCTCTTTCAGCATGAATTATAACTTAAGAGATAAAAATGCAATAAAATTCCTACCTCTTTCACTAAGACTGTTTAGCACTGCCCTTTCAAGCTGTTCTTCTTCAGTGAGCCCACCTGTATAATCAAAGTAGCTCCTTGGAGTTCTGTATTGATAATCTGGATAATAGCCATAATATTCTGTAAAATGAACCAAAAAATAAAATAAATTGCTGCTACCCAGCAAGTGTGAAATCAGATATTGTCTTCTTGCTATCTTTCTTCCACAAAGTGTTTTAATTCGGGAAAGAAAAAATTAGTAGGGTTCAATTACTTATACAATATAGGCCATGAATTAACTTCTAATTTACAAAACCACAGCATTGTAACAAGAGGAAAAAAAAAAACAACCAAACCCAGAAAAAGCATGGACCAAATATCTCAATTTTTTATAACTGTTCAAAGTAAGTGTCACAGAATTGCTATTATCTAAGAAGTTTCACGCAGAAGCTGAAAGACAGTTTTCATCATCTCCTTTTAACATTTAGTTGTCAGCATTTGGACACCTTACTGCTATCACCAGAACACAAATCAGGTATTGTTCAGGCTTTTTCTCCCCACCTCTCTTCCCCTTTCCCCCAGGGCCCATAAAACAATGTCATCATAAATTCCAGTCATCTTTGGACCTAGAGAAGTCACAGGAAAAGATTCCTGCAGTGCTGTACACAGCTCATGTTGTGCTCTGGCACAGCTAAACCTGCCCTGCACAAAGCCAGCACAGCACAGATCTCATCAGTGTCCCACTCACTGCTGACAAACCTTTCTGGCCTTTGCTCAGCTGGCCAAAACTAAGCACAGGCCATCACCCACCCAAACACATGGGATTCAAAAGGAAAAAATTACTTGGCTAGAGAATTGAGCAAGACTCTTTTCCTGCTAACAACACAATCTGATCTTGCCTGAGCACAGAAAACCTAAGCTAAGAAAAATTATGAAAAAAAAAATCACACTTTTCAACTGAAGAAAATTATGGAGAAAAGTTCAATTTTTCTATTCCATTTCTGTATTTTCAAAACACAAATCTTTTGTGATGTGTTCATTTCCAGAGAGCTGAACAAGGGATTTTGAAGAACCGAAGTACAGAAAGGTTGCCAGTTTCTTCCAACTGAAAGAAAATTATGCAAAGGTTTTTCAAAATTATGGAAGAGGAAATATTTTTGTGTTAAACAAATACAGCAGGCCATTTCCTTTTTCTTCAGATTATTAGCATCAATGATAGTCTTGTGTTTTCTCATTGGTTCTATCAATTCCAGGTGAAACTTGTGAAGTTTCTGTGATTAATAACAAATAGAGATGACTAAGTGAGGATGAATAAATAATTTCTATTTAATAACTATTTTGCTGAAGAAAAATATCTCAAGCTCTAGAACCTTTAGACAAATAAAACCAGCAATACTCTGTCTTGAAAGTTATACAGGAAAAGCAGGATAAACTGAACACAGTAACTGTACGAAGTTCTACACATAATTATTCCTCTGTATTTTCAAATATCCCTACACTGACTTTATATACACATGTGCACATACACAATATACACACACATTCTGTCTTTTTCCAATTCTTTCTTGTCTTGAAACACAGCTGACATTGGAAGATTTTTCCTACACCTGCAGTGAAATCTGACTGAGGTACAGCACTTAGCTGTTATGTCTGTACACTCCCCTCATTCTCCTCTGCTTTATGTTAATCCGAATGAACATTTTCTCAGCTACAAATTTATTTTCTGGAGGCTTCAAAACTACATGCATGAAGAGTGTAAAAATCCTGCTACTAAAGGCATGAAATAATCTGATGAAAGCAAAAGGATGCCATATTTTAGGTTTGTTCTATTGCTGTAGTTTTTTCTATGTTTTATGTTTCACACTGCCAGCAAGTTGTAAGTGCTCAGAAAGCTGTAATCTTTTATTTTAAAATGAGACACAGTTTGGTAACGTTGACATGTTCAAGATGTTCCTATTAATCAAAATAAATGTCCTAATACTTTATTCATGAACTGCACTTAGAGAAAACCTAATTCAGCTACTAAATACTAAATGTGCTAAAATTACACTTAAAATCTTTTTTCTTTCAAATCTGTTTCATTGTGCTGTTTCATAAAATCTATTTTTTCTGACCATAGCTTCATCTATTTTTCTACTTAAATTGGTATTTAAAGGCACATAGTAATAAATCAGCAATGTCAGAAAGTGAAAAACCAATCAAGATATGCATCATTAGCCTATGACACTAGAGATGGTTTTCTTCATTCACAGATGGCCAAATTTATTCCATATATCACACACCAAGCAAAAGGTTAAATCTTCCATTGAGACTTCTGCAAATAGGATGAAAGACAATTACAAAGTATATGAACAGGGAATGAACATAACAAATATATATTTTCATAACTGCAGTTGTAAATCACTTTAGACAAATGAATTTAGTACAAAGAAAAAATTAAATGGTTATATCTAAAGGGAAATTTGGAAGACAGGATAATTCAGGTTAACTCTCTCCATCTCCCCTTTATCCAAAGGAACTCAAAGTAACAGCCTTTGGGGACTACCCAAAACATGCAAAAAAAGCCCAGACTTCCTTGTTGTCAGCATACTACAGCTTTTTTTTCCCCTCCCCATCGTGGCAGATCTATTACATGAAATTTCTTCCATTTTCCCTACTTGAAAAGAGCTGGAAAAGCAAACAGAAAAGGCTGTTAAGAATCTCTCTGCTGCTCATCTACTGATGAGCATGCTGGTCTCATACACCCACCCAAGCTCCCAGCAGCTGGTGCTTGTACAGGGGCTGTAACAGATCACAGAGTTTAAATGTCAAGTACAAATTCTTATCTTCATCAGCTATTAAAGGACTTTTTCCAATATAAATCTTTCGAGTTTCCATCCACCCTGCTGTTCTGGGATACTGGAGGAGGGTTCAGTGTCTGTGAGCAGCTGGGCTGGGCAGCAGCTGTACCTGGATGAGCACCCTCACCTGGGCTGGGACTGCCAGCCATGGGAACAGGTCACTCGTGCTCGCTGCCCACGCTGCGTTCACCTCTCATTTCGCTTCACATGAAATTGAAGTGAATTGGTTTTTTTTTCTTGACTAATTGTTTTATTTCTTGACTGGCCTTTAGATCAAATGTTTTGTGACCTGAGAGTATATGAGAGTAATGAAAATCCTGGGTAAATATACTTTTAAGTTGGAACAATCCCTGTTGCTGAAGAAAGCAGGCTAAAATCTTTTGTTTAGGAATTACAAAACAGATGTTTCAAAAATACTTAAGGGCCCAGAATCCTGCTTGTGGGAACTATTTAATGTAATAATAAAATTGGAGATAGATCATGGAAGACAAAGTCCATCAGGGAGAATAAAAGTAGCTATAAACTTGGCTCAAAGGAAGCACATCTCAATTATAAAAGACTACACAAAATAAAAACCCCTGCCTGACAAAACATCAGAGAACAGTAAGACTGATCAAATGTGTGAAATAGTTTCCTTATAAGCAACCGGACAGACTCCAACTTTCTGAACGAAGGGAAAAGATAGCCATTGCTAGTACAGGACTGAAGTCTAAAAAACCACTAAGGAAGGAAGTACATAAAGAATGAAGGTTTAATCTCCCTCCCCAAAAAATTAATGAGCATCGAGCATCAAATGAAATTAGCAGTTTTAGACCAAACCAAAAAATGACAGATTCTAAAGCAGGAAACAAACTGTGAGTCTTTTCTGATGATGTAGGTGTTAAAAGTGTTCATGTCGATTCAAAGAGCTTTTGACAAATTGATGGAAGAAGGATCTACCACAGGCTATTAAAGACAAAATCCTCCCATAAAACTTTCTGCTGAGAACATCTTTAAGCCACAAGCCACTGCACACTGGCAGATATTTGAGAGAGTTATCACTACGCATTTATCCTGTTCTTCCAGCAGATGTCTAGGAAAGAGCATAAATCCCTGCAGGAGGTAAGAGATGCCAGGATATGCATCCCTTAGCTCAGATCCAACACCCAGAGCCCTTCTCCCAGCCTCTCCTGGCCCTCACAGACAAGGACTCCACCTATTATTTCTGTACACTCCACAGGCAATGATTCAATGCTCTGCAGGAGAGGTGAATCAAATGAGCTCTGCTCAGTGTGCCAGCATTCCAACCATCCATCTATAAACTGCAGATGGCCTCAATTCAGTCTGCTGAGAAGGGGCTTTCTGCACGTAAATGACTTCATTTACAGAGAGGGTTCAAAGGAAGAAGATCCTTGTTAGAAGGGAAAAACCACCCTAGAATGGAACAGATAAATTTGCCAGATGAGGGCATATTTACCAAGGTCCAAAAGGCTGCTTTCAGTAGACACAATTTCCCCACTGCTACACCTTGTGCAAAAGGGATGGCATTTCCCTGAGGTAGCATTTCAGGAAGTCATGACCTTAATTTGAGGCTTAAGCCTCTTGTACAAAATCCATCCACACACTTGCCTGAAGAGGAAAGGTGAGACATGCCCTTAGAAGTAATATAAGTTTAGCAAGTATACGTGTGCAGAATATTTTGTATACTCTGTATGTTTCCATTTACCTAGCTCTCCTATAGGTTTTCTAATCATTAGCAGAAATTGTTTTTAAAGCTGGAATAAGTTTTTGGTTTAAGTGGACAAGAGTACTTACCTGAATAGTAGTCTCTTGGCCTGTCAGGCTCAGTGAAGAAAGAAATGCCAGCTAAATAAAAGAATAATGTATATACTGTTAGAATAATCATACTTTCTTTACAGAATACAAAATTCAAATTTAAAGTACCCTTTTTTTAAGAGTTTGTTTCAAAAGATACAGGCAGGAAATCAGTCATGGGTATCTGTGGATTGTTTTGGCATCAATGAGAGAATATACTGTTGCAAGCTTGTATGTTCCAGATTTTATAGCAGAGTGCCACGTTCAAGCAACAGATCCATGCAGACTAGAAAAAAAGCAAACCAATCTATAATGTTCTCCCAGAACACATAATGAACAATTTCTCCACTGAGAATATTTATTGTTAACAATGTTTAATGCATAAAAAACTGAGGACTGGAGCAACACTGCATTATTATTCCTGCTTTGCTACACAGGAGAAAAAAAATGCCTGTGTGCTCAACACTGCTTCCTGCAGCTGTCAGTCACACAGAACCTGCACAGCAGCCAGGGCAGGTTTCACTAACAATACTGTGGGGTTATCACTGAATCCCAGAGAAATTCATTGGAAGGGACCTCAGAAGATGCCCAGTCCAACTCCAACCAGAGCAGGGTTAGTGAGGAGATCAGAGCAGGTTACCCAGGCAGGGCTGCATCTTGCCAAGTCCAAGGCTGGAGCCCCTGAAGCTGCCCTGGCAGCTGAGCTGATGCCTGCCTGCTCCACAGTGATCGGGTCGTTCCCCCGTGGCACAGCACCACGCAGGGCCAACCTTTAACTAACGGGACACCTGACGTCTGATCCTCAGCCAGGCAGGAAAGCTGATGCTTGGCTGTCCTTTTTCCCTTCCAGCTTGAACACACATGACCTACAGACCATCCCCACACTGTGGTCAAAGCCCCAGTGAGAGCATACACTTTTGAACAATTAATTCCCCACTCTACAAACACCATATCCGTGTTCAATTTGATGGAACAGTCATGAATAAACACTCAACCTATCAAGAAGTCAGACAAAAAAAAAAGCCAAATATTCTGCCAACCAACCCCAGCACAGCTGCTGTGTCAGGGCTTAAGACTTCCAATTAAAACACTGATATTTATGGGAGTGTTCATTTAAAAGTCTGAGGGACTGTTTTTAAAACAAGTGTTTAGGCTAAAGATGTCTAAAGCTATAATCTTTTTTAGAAAATAATTATTACTGCAATATGAAATGCTGTAATAACACGTTGGAAAGCTCCAGAAATCCAGCAACCATTTCTTAAGCATCCCACCACCTTTTTCAAACCAAAGACTTCCATTAGATTCAATATAACAGTAGATATAATCAATATAACAGTAGATATAATCAATATAACAGTAGATATTAAGATGGAAACATTTGGTTCTGACATATGTTTATGGCTTCACCACACTTCACTTGAAGTGACGTTTTCATTGAAAGATTATACTCTAAATAAATACTTAAAAAGAAGAGTAAATGGTATTCCTCTAAGTAAAAATATCTGAAAGTCACATTCTTAATTGTTCTTACCCAAATTTAAGAAACAAATTGATTTTTTCTTCTGCACCCACTTGAATAAAATGAGCACATCTTTAATTGTCTAAAAACTTGCTGGAATGGGCTGAATTTCTATATGCAAGGCTTACTGAATTTTAAAAACAGAAGTATTTCTTATGCAGATTTTGTAATTCAACAAAATTATATACCTGCACAGGCTTGCATGATCTTTTTCAGAGGTCCCATAGTGTACATCAATCCAACAAGAATCCCTGACAGATGCCCAGCAAAAGAAGTCCTACAAAATAAAAAAAAATCTTGTGAGTAATGGAAAGGGAGACTTTTTTTGGTAGGGATACAAAAGGGAGAGTGTAGAATTTGTTGTAAAGATAAAATCTCTGAGACTTCCCAGATGAAGTCCCTGAGAGAGACCAAGCACAGAGACATTACCTGTCTGCAAGGTTATAATGCCTAGCCTTGTTTCTTTGTAACTACCTTAAAATTGGGAGTTACACAGTTACAGTAAAGCATTTAATAAATACCCTGAAAAAGCTAATTGGAGAGATAATTTCAGTTCCTGCAGAATATGATTCCCTAAAAGTATTTAAAGACTTACCAAAGGAGTAAACTGGATTTAAGCTTTAGAAAAGTAACTTACACTGTAATATCAGGGTAGATCTTACCAAAACCATGCACATTTCTGAGTGAAAGCACAAACACAATACTTTCTACTGCACTATCCATGCAATCCTACAATTAGTCTGAAAGAAGCATGAATTCAGATCCACTGCAATCGTTGTAATATGCTGCCTTCAAAATGAAAAGAACAATTGAAATGCTGAGATCCAAATTCTTTTCTATGCATACCAGCAATTTCTTTAAAAAATATCATTACCATTTGTATACAGAAGGAAAAGGCTCTGGAGCCTTTTGAGAAATCAAACCAGAAGCACATGTTTACAGTAAATAAGGAGATTTGCTCCAGTTTTTTACATGACTATGGAGTACTCTATAAATTCAAAAATCAATTTTCAGCATTCAAGTTCAGAGTTAAATTCTTTCGTGTTTAAACACAGATTAGGAGAAAATCTTCTGAATTCAAGCAAGTGCAAACACTAGTTGAGAAATTTTCACCTCTATTACAAAGTTACAGAAGTCAATACACTAAACATTAAAATTTCCTTGTATGTGCAATTAGAAATAACTCATTTATACTCAAAAAATTTAAATAATATGAGCTACAAGGAGCTTTTTTTTCCTTTATAAAGTAGAAATGAAACCTCCATTTAATATACCAAGTGTCACGTTGGCATCAATTTTTATGCTCAGGTCAGTGACCTGCAGGAGTTACACAGATGATGGCACAAGCGTTCAAGCCAAGGCAACTTCCAGGCACCAGTGGTAAAAGGAGACAGGAAAGTGCACGTGTCACTAGAGGGAGGTAAAGATCAAATCTCAATTCCCTCTTTTGCCACCTACTTAACCTCAAACTCATATCCTGCCATGAAGAGCTGAAGTTCTCTCTCCTTGGTAACCAACAACTATCTAGAGAGTAATACATAAATGCTGATGTGAAAATTTATAGATAAAAGGTAGTTACCAAAATAAAGTACCTACAAGGAACTAATTTTCCAAACAGATTTTCGGGAACAGATTTTCCAAATGCATGAAAAATGCATGCCTGACTTGGGAAACGTCTGACCTCAGAAAATTAAAAATACTTAGAAATCAGCTACTCTAGAAATCACCAACATGATATTGGTTCACCTAAGACTTAAGATACCTGCTCAATTCTGCAAGAGGGACAGATTAAACAGAAAGTAACTTTTCACATGTCTGTTCTTCCATTAAACAAATAATCCCAAAGACTGCTAAGCAAAGCCTACATCTCAATATCCTTTATGGAAGGTGAAGATTAGAAGGATACTGAATGCACTTGAAAATTTTTCCAAAACAAAAACGTTAATGAAAAAAAAAAATAATAGGATGTCAGTAAATTCCTAAATCCTCTCCCAGCACACAAAGGCAGGTCCAAATTTACTGCATAAGCTTTCTAACTACCTAACAGAATTCTGCCCCAGTTACTGACCTCTTATCTATGCAAAACTAAATTATGCAATTTGGTTTATAAAAGGAATGAGTCAACCATAGACTTGAAATATTATAACCTGCCCTGAGCACACAGATGAGCATGTAAGAGCAATGCTGTGAGAGATACAATTGCTATGGTTCATTGCAAGGCAGTAGGCAGTTACTAATTAAACATGTTGTGTTCTAGAATATGAATTTCTGGAGATCACTATTTGTTTTCTGTAGTCCCTACTATAATTCAAGTGCTGTGAAACTGCCCTCTGTAGAGGTCACTGTAGAGGTTTAAATGAGGCAGCAATCTAAACTCCCATGAAATTATGAAATGGTTTTTTTATATTATTTCTGGACTTCCTATCCACTCTCTACCCAAAGACATTTGTACAGTAAAGTAACTGAAAAAGAACAGCACACAATGACTGAACTCATGTTTTTCCTCTACCATAAACAGTATGATATGGTTTCACTTCATACATAATGCCCTTCCACTAGTCTTTAATTAAAAACAGTATTGTTAAACATATCACCAAATAAAACCTATGCTCAGCTAAAACAACAGTTTATGTTTTTCAGAAAATGTTTTTAAAGCACTGAAAGCTTTACTTTTATATTTGTAGCAATGCCATGCAGCTCACAAACAAAATTGCACTTGGGCAGAGCACTCTTCTGTCTTTAATCCTCACTGCAGTCAATTGAGCAGCCAGGCATAAAGCTATAAAACCAGTGCTTAACCTAAGCAATATCTGAATTCTCCTTCTGCACTAGGAAATGTTCCATCAGCTATATCACAGTATCTGACAAGGAATATCTCAGTATTGCTGAGCTCTTTTTTTTTATCTTTCTGAAAAGGGGGGAATTGTACATAAACTGTGATTTGATGGTTCATAGGTTTTGTGTCTGTACTTTGCATATATTCAAGCAATGTGATTCACAGTTACAAAATATCACATAGGAAAATTATTCATTTGGAAACAGGACTACAAAAATCAACTGCCAAAGAAGAGCAAGGTTCTCCCAGAGGTAGGGGCAGACGAAGTGTGCTGGCACCGAGCAGCACTGCAGGACAGTGACACTGATAGTGACAAAACTGGCAGAATATGGATGATAGTCTGATCATAAATCAGAGGAGTGACTAAGCCAGAGTGGACAGAAATGGCAAGCAAACAGTGGAATGCTGCTCAGCTAATGAGGCACTTGGAACTCTGGTAGAACAGTTTAGTTACCTCGTTGAAAAGGCACACCCCTTTTCCTTGTCCATCAACTTTTGTCATCTTCCCTCAAATACACCTTCTAGGAACAGTATTTCAGGTTTTTCATTTGAGATGTACTCAAAATAGAGGGTATTAAAGAAAAAGCAGACTGCAGGCCCAACATTGTGCTGGGATACCAGCTAACACTACTCACACTTCATGAGACATTTCAAACTACTCCAGATAGCCCAAATCTCTTCTCCTTTCTTTGAAATATTAAATGCACTTACCCTGGGGAGATTAAATGAATAGCCACCAGCTCCACCCAACAAGCATATTTACTGGATATGGGCAACCCAAAGACATTGCTCACTCTTCCTGGGTTATAATGGTTGTTCAGAACTTTCAAAGCAAACAAGACTCCTGCAAAAAGAAGAAATCACATGAAGAGAGAAATACTTGTGCACAAATAATAAAGAAATACAAGCAATTTGAAGTACCATGCAGTTTCAAAGCACTAAGAAGCATACAGCTGCATGCCAGAACAGTTCTGTTCTTTCAGTGATACTTTTCAGTGACTCAAAAAAAAGATACAAAAATTGCATACTTGTAAAACAGCCAAATCTAAGCTGCTTTTTAATGTGCCTGCTCACTGTAGCTATTCAGGTATTCAAAACAAATACAAACATAATTTTAAATGGGAGTTCTAGTTGAAATAATTGATACAATTAGTGAACTCAAAAAAAGTTCTGTGACTTGAGAAAAGCCACTTCTGAAAACAAACCAAACAAATACAAGTAAAGCTCAACAGTAGGTTCAAATTCTGAATTAATAGAAAATCATCTTACACATACTCCAGAATCACTTGTTTCTGAAAAAAAAAGTAGATAAATCACCTTTAATCACAGTAAATAATATTAATTTCTAACTGATTGCAACTATTTTATCATGCAACTGCCAGTCATATGGTGGAATGAATTCAGAGAACTTATTGGAAGTGTTTATGAAAAAGTCTCTCTCAAGAGAAAGCTCACAGTGGTCTGACCAACTTTCTTAAAGGCTGAAAAAGAGGGCTTGCCTTCTAAGGCTAGGTTCAAATGACAGAAAGGAAATCTCCTACTTATCTAGAAATGCAGGGCTACTTTTCTACTTGACTGCACATTTTTTACAGAGAAGGAGTTTATTGACTTGATCTGTTAAAGGAGGGGACAAGACCATTACTGGAAGGAAGATGACCAAAATCAGGTGTTTGTATGTTGCTAGCAGAAGCAAATCTAGAGGAGTCTCTCAAAAGACAGGCACGAGTCATTTTAAACTGTTAGGCTTTTCTAGAAGCCGCCCAAGGAACATTATTGAAATGCTCACATGACATTTGGAAATTAAGAGTTCAAACTTCAATTAACCAGCAGTATTAAACAGAAAACACATTCTACCAGGATGATGATGTTTTCATGCTCTTGGGTAAAGTCCCTGCTGGTCACAAGAACGTGAACTGAATTACTTCATGCTCATGCCCATAGTACATGCTTTAAATTTAAAAATAGGATAAACACACTGGTGTGACAATCATACATATATACAGATGTACATTTATCCTCTTTCTGCAATTAACCATTAATTAATTGTTATACAGCAGCTAGAAATATGAATTTTACATATGTAAATTGGACCAACACTGTATCTTACCTGAAAAACCTACGCCACAATTCATTTCAAAGGAAGGATCATCCAGAATTACCACAAGCAAGAGTTCCAGCACCATGTAAACTACTCCAATCAGTACTGAAAATACTGCAATTATGTAGGCAAACCATATGCTCTTCAGCTTTCTTTCCAGCATTATGCCCTTCCAAAGCATGGAAATCATGTTATAATACAAATGCCAATCATCTGCATGGTGGAAAGGAGCAAGCAGCAAACGCTGCCAGTTCTTTCTGTGGACAGCTTCATTTACACTGAGACACACTTCAGACAGTGGCCTCAAAGGATTCAGAAAGAGAAAAATATTCAGCACAAGAACCCCAAGGGTAACAGCAGGAATGTTCTGGAGTCCAACTTGAGAAATTTGATAAAGCAGCAAAAGCAGTCCAGCACTGACTCCTCTTTGCCTTCGTTCCATAGTTACTTCTTACTCAAAGAAATGTGTGGATTATTCCAATTTCCAGTCCTTTGTTCACTTTCAAAACCATACAAGTTTTGGAAATTCTAAAACAAAAAAGATATCTTGTTATATACATATTGCAGTGTTTTGAAGCTCATTGCTGTTTTTATGAGTTTTTAAACACAAAAAAATTCATCAAGGTAATCAGCTGAGACCTCTTATATATCAGAACAAAAATTCAAGGAATTTTTGAGGAAAAAAATCAGAATGTGTAAACTGACACAAAACACAAATAAAAGAGATTTATACAGGTAATCCAGACAAACATTGAGAGAAAAAGCAGTCTTCAACCTCTGTTTCACATCCTTTGACAGGCTGTACTTAACCCACTAAAATACTTGGGTATTCTGGACATGTTTTCAGTAATTCTGATTCAGTCAGAATAATTAAGATTTCAGGAAGGAAAACAGTTTAAAAATTTGTTGTGTTTTTTTTATCCTGAAAATGACTGCAGTAGACATGTAAACGTATCTGCTACATTACAATGAAAGTGACTACGTTTTTCCCACCTTATTATCTTGGAAATGCTACATAATGCCTGAGCCTTGTCCAAAACAGAGTGAAAAGAACAGAAACATGCTTTATACCAGGTGTCTTGAACATGTAACTTCCCACACTGGTGCCTTCTAAAACCAGTGTCTAATGACCACAATTTAACTGCAGAGAGCACAGCTGTAGCCCTCACAAAGCTCAAATGAACCAACTTGTTAAACTGCAAATTGGCCATTGCAGATAATTACATTGTTAGGCTTTGACTTTAAAGTCAACATTACAAAAAATATACAAAAAACCCAAAGTTTAATCAATGTCATTCTCTTTTTCCACACTAGCTCTGACATCAGGTACACCAACATCCCCCAAGTCAACAGTCTTCTGCCCAGACCTCTGGCTTTTCTTGCACCACATGCAGAGTTACATCTTTTTCATCACAAAAATCGACACAAAAACTGTTAGGATTTAAAAGTGAACATCCTTTAAATACTTAAAAGTTATGAGGAAACATCAAAACCTTGCCATACTGTGTTGTTCAAATTCTCAGTCTTGTGTTTTATAGTTCCCATCTCTGCTTCTGATACCCTTAAATTCCCAATTTAAGTACTTTCAACACCCATGCACCTAAGAAAAGAAACCCTCATGCAGGAACACATCACAGAACAGAACTGGGAATGCTTTCCATCATGATTACAGCAGTGCTAGTTATCACAAACCATTCCCATTCCTGGGAGCACCCAAAAATGTCAGCCAAAACACATTGTGTGTTTGAGTCAAAGGGAAAAAGATCCCAGAAAGAGAACAGTAGTTATTTGAGAGCCTCCTTAATGCAACTCCCTGAAAACATATAGAGCTTTCAGCTGTTTGAACATTCCTCCTCAGCCTCTACTCTGTTTATTAAGTCTAATGAGGCTTGGAACAACGAAGCACTTTTTTCCTTTTTCTTTTTTTTTTGGAAAACATGCCACCTACTTGAAAATGTACAAATTTCCAGAACAGACTTGAAACAGACCTTTGTCTTGCACCCAGGCTGCCACGTGTCTGCATTTTTGTCACCTACTCAAGATAAATGTCTGAACTAAATATTCTTGGAATTTGCTTGTTTTGTAGTAAGCAAGTAAAGGCATTTAAACTTATTTTTACTGTAACAAACCCCCTCACTCACTTGGCAGCCATAAAATATTAGGTCTTCCCATTACTAAAAAAATCATGTAATAAATATTTTAGTAAATATCGGTAAAAATGAAATGTTCTATTGTCTTTTCCTATAGCTGTAATTTGAATTTAGAGGAAAAGAATCTCCCTGTGCCCTTGCTCCCCCTAAAACAGATATAACTACCCTGAATTTTTGATTTATGTTTATGCAAAACCAAGTACACTCCAGAAAAAAAAAATAAAAAAATTGTGCATTCAGCCTACATGTTCAGATTAGAGCTAGACCAATGTCAAAACCACTTGAAACACGAAGGGTGAGTATCAGAGCCCAAGCACAAAGCATTCCACAACAAAGCCAAGCCTCATCAGGCCCACACCACTTGTCTGTGCACATACAGTCTCGGGATACAAAGGCTCGTCCAGGTAAAGCAGAAAGAGTGCTTTTAGGGCAAAAGAGGGCAAAGGAAGCAGGAGCCAACTGTAAACGCTTTTACTGCGGCCCTCAAACTTTGAAAAGAGGTGGGGAAAATGCCTAATAGAAGAAACAACCAATGCAAGGAAAAACAAACTGAAAAATGGAAGCAATTAATCTTCCTGTTTATATTTTGTAAGTATGCAAGGAGAAGGTCAGCCACAAGCTGTCAGCTACAATAAGCTTTGAAATGTCCAGTCAACTGCACAGCTCATAGCAAAAACAAGATTGTGACTTAATTATAAAATTAATCACTTCATAAAGAACAACTTCTGGATTCATCAGATTTGCCTTTAAAGGGCTTTCCTTCACAGAGGAATACTGAATGGTGAACTCAAAAGACACAGCATTTCAGAATTTGGTAAGAGAAGTCACACATCCGTAATAAAAATGTTTTAAAACAATTCTCCCTTACTGAGACAATTCAAAGTTAAATATCAACGTTCAGTGACTTCATAAATGGCTATATCACAGTCTTTTTTTGTTATGCAACATTTTAAATTTTGAAATTTTCTGTGAGAATAAAGAAGTTCTTTTACCTCTTATATCTGCTTCAGCATGAAAACTGAAAATCTTTTAGAGATTTTTAATCCTCTTAGGTACCACTAAGAGAGGAAGTCCTTAAAAAAATAAGCTTTTAAACTAAAAACTTCACCTTAAAACTGAAAATTGTGTTCTGAAGGGGGTAACAATTACTGTTCACAATAAAATATACCCATGTTAAACAATACATGCCAAGAATCATTTTAGCCTTACCCCAAAATAAATGAGACAGCTTTCACGGGAAAGAACCCAAGGGACTAGGTCAAATCTCTCTCATAACAGACAGTAATTAGTAACTGCCTTTCAAAACACCAGGATACATCTACACTAATTGAACTTGGAGAAGTGAATTAGTCATAAATATTTAATATCACTGTACTTGTAAAGGTAAGAGGATGCCACAGCTTAAAATAAAAATACATCAAAACAACAGTGAACTACAGATTAGGCCACAGCTGAGTTTTAACTTCACAGATGTTTAACTCAGGTTCAGGGATTTGGGGTTTGTTGGGTTTTTTCCCCCCACTCGATTGCAATTGTTACAATGTACAATGTTAAAACTGGGTAATCATACTAGAAAAGCACCCCCTTTATCTGAAGAATTTTTTAATATTATGAAAAATTGAACCATCAAAGATTGCCTGACTCCACTACAGAAGTGCGAAACACAACAGCTCTCACAATTTTGGCATTCCTTGGTAGTTTCGAGGGAAAATTTGCCTGCAGTGTGTAACAGAAAGGAAGAACAGGAAACACACTTTCTGAAGAAACCCATTTTAAATAATACTGGTTAAATAAACAATTCAGAAACATATGCTTTCTAGTATTAGCGTTATACTACTGTTGTCAACACCTCCCATCTGTCAATAAAATCCAGTTCCACGAAGAACATCACTGGGCTATTTCAGGAAATCAAACCAGCTCAGCTATTGTTAATTACATTTTACAGACACCTGAATTGCTCAAACTCGGTGTTTAACAACTGTAAGAAGGCTTACCAAATGTAGACAAGATATACTTGCCACTGCTTCTTCTTTGATACAGCCGCAAGTTATTTGCAGTTTTGGGGGACAAGTTTTTTTTGTTTTGTAGTATTAACAAAGAAAGGGATACAGTTGTGGCGAGTTATTGATTTCTTTAAGGAGCTGTTTATAGAATTTATAAAGAATGCCACTGGTGAAAACGGGGCAAACGCAAGCAGCAAGGAGCACACTCGTGCAGGTGTGGCTGCGGATAAGCCCCGCGGGCTCCCGGCTCCTCCCGCGCACCGAGCGCGCTCCCACAAGCGAGTCCACCGGCACGACGCTGGGCGTGTGTATAAAGATAAAGGCTGTGAAACAGTGAAATATCGGCGGCTCGACTTCTCAGGCCGCTTCACCTCAGTAATTCACACCACCACTCCTTGCAGCGGCCGAGGGAAACCGCCTAGAGAGCGCAGCTTGAGGTCAGCCTACCCAGCGCAGACCCCGCTTGTCGGGGCTTGCACCGGGCACCCCCCTCAGCCGGGCGGCGCTCGCCCGTGTGGGCCGCGCCCCTCACGGCCAGGGGTGCGCTCTCCGCCGGGAGGCGGCGGCAAAGGCAAGACAGGAAGAGCGCAGGAGAGTAGAATAGGAGAGCACGGCAGGAGGAGCCGCGCAGGGACGGGGAGGAGGTGGCGACGGCGGCTCCAGCATCCCCCCGCCCCTGCACTCACGTTCTCCGGCGGCGGCAGCACCCGGAACCTCGCGCCGCCCCGCGTGACCCGCGGCCGCCACTCCGCGGCGAGGGGCGCGGCCCCGGCCCCGCCCGGGGAACGCACTGCGCCTGCGCCGGGGCCGCCGCGCCGCCAGGGGCGCTGTGCGCGGGCGGGCTGAGGGCGGGGGCGGGAAAGCTGAGGCGGTGTCTAGGGGTGGCTGTTGGTCGCTGGCGCTGCCCACTATTAAAATACATAATCCGGTTTCCTTTGAGAGCATTTTACTGCACATGCTAAACAGTAACTAGTTCTGTAAGTTTAATACTTCGAGGACTTTTTTTTTTTTCCCCCAGCGTTAAAAGCAATTAGATGAAGACATTGCAGAATCACAGAATCAACGAAGTTGGAAAAGACCTCTGAGATCATCAAATCCAACCTACGACTAAATACTGCCACATTAAACAGACCATGGCACTCATGTCACTCTAGTCTTTTCTTAAACACCTCCAGAGGCAGCGACTCTGCCTGGGCAGCCCATTCCACTGTCTAATCACCCTTTCTGTGAAGAATTTAATCCTAATGTCTAACCTAAACCTCCCCTGGTGCAGCTAAAGACTGCATTAGTTTCACTTTTGTAAAGTGCTAGTCACTGGTGTCACTGTATTATTCCCCAGATTTGACACAGATATCCAGACTGTGAGATTTGTTATTAATATCCAGTAGGGAATACACTGGGCAAATTTTAAAAGCCTGAAATAATAAGTTCTCATATAAATGTTGGCGAGTTGATGGTGCAAATATGTGACTAGAAATGAATCATACAAAACTCATAGCCAAAGCTACATGTAAACGGCTTGATTTTGCTGTCATTTATGTGGCACTCAGGTTTCATAGAACATTTTGGCAACTCATACAAGTGTGTCATACAATTTATAAGAAAATTGCATTCTGCCCTTCCAAAAACAGCACACAGCTCAGCAGACTGGCAGGCATGAAAGCGGCTGAATTCCTAGAAACAGGGTGGAGATCAAGTTAAATGAGCAGGCTTTGCCAAAACAAGCAACTTCAGCATAGTCCTCGCTTCCAAGAACGAACAGAAGCCAAAAGAGGCGGGCAAGGCTCAGTGTGTGCCACCATTTAGACACATTACCTTAAGCTCCTTACTTTTGGCACATTTAGATCTGTTACCTCAATTAATGCTAATCATAATAATTCATAGAAATCACAGGATGTGGGAGTTAAAAGTGCCTGAACTGATAGATTTTTTTATCATACACCACGTTTTCTACAATTGGCACCATTTCCTGTAACAGCATATTCCATTTTTAGGCAACAATAACTTCAGTCCATAATTCTTAAAGATGCCATATTTCTTGCCTCAATACAGGCCCAGATCTTATTACTGGATGTGCAAGTCCTGAGATTGTGGTTCCTTTCTGGGACCTAGAAGATTGTAGTTCCCTTTGTGGGTCAATCTGAGCAATTGTATATTACTGTTTTCTTTTTTCAGATCCTTAATGATATACCAGGGATAACAAAAGTCACAGAAACAATGGGAGGCTAAGGAAATGAATAATGTGTTCTAATGCTATAATTAATGGGCCACATATGTAGCTAGGTTTTAAAAAAAACCCACCATTGTTCTTATACTCTTTACCCAAGTGTGGGACTTTATACTCATTAAGATCCTGAAAGCTGGCATTTTTTTCCCTTGTTCTACACAAATTTTACTAATATCCCGCCAGATCTTCTGGTTTAGTTTATACTTACATAAGTAGCTGGTTAGAAGGAAAAAAAAACACCTTCTGCTCTCTTTCTTTAATCTCACACCACCATTCACCTCATGGATTTCTTTTAATTTTTGGCTGAATGTTAATTTTTCTTACCAATAAAATTGAATGAAATGAGAAATACTGTTCACATATTACAACTTTTTTTTTTTTTACAAATTCAGAATTTGATATTCTTACAAGGTTTATCAAATATAGTGCCATACAAGCTGTAACTCAGCATTCCTCAACATGAATAATGTTATTGAGTAAGAATAACTGTAGGGCTGACATATAAAAGGTTGGTTGAATTTAAGACAATATCCCTTTCCATTTAAGCAACTCTTAACAGTATAGGTTCTGTTTCCTGGTTATGTCTGGCCTGATTAGGAAGAGAATTCAACTCTTGGAAGGAAAATAAAGAAGAAAAAACCAAAAGCATCATTTTCATAACGCGTGTACTCCTGGTACAGCAGTGACGCATACGGTCAGCACTGCTTACGCCTTACTGCTAACTATATAATCCATGTAAATATTTATCATACAGCTATTATCAGTGTAAACATACAGCTTAGTCATATGTTGACCCATAAGGAAAAAGTGACATTGAGATCTTTGCTTAATAGCAGAAAGTTTAAACATGTTTTAGAAGCAATAGAGCAGATCTCAGAATACTCAGTTTTTTTGAGGGTTAGGCGGAGGCTTTTCAACATGCAACAATTGCAAAGGAACATCCTGCTATGAATGCATGGATGCAAATTAAAGCCATATCTGAAGGTTATTTTTCTAATTAATGCTGGAAATCTGATAGCAGCACATTTGAAACACTGTTTATGTTAATCTTGAAGGAACTAGTTAGGACTAGCCTGCAAATGTAAGAAGAATGCCGGAGTGTAGTTATGGTAAAGGAACTGTGGCTTTCCCAGACTGTCAGTACGTGACAGTGTTTACAAAAAGCAGAAGAAGAGAAAAGCGGTAACCCAGAATTTGATACACTGAATATTATGAGTCTGTCAGAAAATTAACAAAATACAGATGATCAAAGGATCAGTTTAAACATGTTATTAGTTTATATACACTGCTACCATTCTGGTTTTGAAAACAACATAATGCCTTGGAAACTGTGGAGACAAGCCCTTCTGAGAGAGAGAGATGGAAATAAGATCTGATAGTGAATGTTTTGTATGAATTCAGGGCTTACTCTTCCAGAGTCTTTGATCTGACATTAACTTTGCTTTTAGTATGTAGTCCACCTTTATTAACTTTTTCTTTGCTGGCAGGTTACTTATTCTTGTTCAGCTGCTAGCATCACTAACACAGTAACTTTATAATACACTGTGGAAAAATGGAGGGAAAAAAATAGAGATGCTTTCTCTCCAACTTACAGAGATAAAACAGAATATATCCTAGAGGTTCTTGCTTTGTTCATATAGACTCCCAGAAGACATAGATGAACCAGTTGGAAACTAAAGGAGTGTCTTGGTCTTAATGTGGGCTGGAAGAAACGGACCAACATCGAAAAGCTTTCCCAACACTTACAGTCTGGTCAGATGATCAGCCATCTCCTGCTTATCCAAATACTTCCATGCTGCAGTGAAACACTTCAGTTAAGCCAAACCATTTTAAAAAAGCTCAAAAGCCTGATCTGCTGTATGTAACCAGAAGAGAAGGGAGCAAACCAAAAGGTAGTGTTAAGGAAATGAATGTGTGAACTATGCCAAGAAGATGGTATGAGGCAATCCTTCTGTGCAACTGAAGAGCTTTCTAAAAATGGTGTCAAAAACAAAGAGAATAGCATGTGACATCACTGACAACAACAAACTATAATGTAAAAAGTTATTTGGTATGAAGTAACAAAAGAGTAACCTGCTGTCATCTAAAACCGATTTCAAAAGCTGCATATGCAAACATTTATCTTCCTTTTCCTTGACCACAGGAACAACAGTCAAGAAGTTGTTACTTGTAATAATACTGTAGGCAGAAAATATTCTGTTGAATACAGTTGTTTGGGTTTTTCTCAGTGGCAGCATAATTTACATCTCATCATTCACAGTTTATAAAAATCATGAAGTTAAAGTATATTCTGCTGCTGGCAGGGAATTTTTCTTAATACTCTAGCTGTGAAAATTTAGTGATTATTTCCCATTTCTATAAAGCATTCACATAATGTTTTCTGTTACGGAAACATGGGTTTTGATCCAGTTTTTTATGAAATTTGAACTACTTTATAACAAGGAGGTGTCAGTAGTCTGGTGACATTTGTGTGTGCTCCATTGGCCTGCAGGATGCCAGGACAGTGGAAGCAACAGCCTTCCCAGGGGAGATGAAATGTCAGTTTGCTGTTCTCCCAGGTTCCCAGCTCTCAAAGTTGGGCTAATCCAGAGGCAATACCAGAGGGCTTTATCTGGCACTCCTTGTAAAGAAGGATTTGTCAAAGATAGTACAGTAATTTCATCAGAAATTACATTTAAGCCCCTTCTTGGAAGTCTTTTCTTGCTCTGTATTTTCTTCTGCATATATGAGTAGAGTTCATGCTCTGCGTGTCTTTTTGTCTTTTATGCTAACCTTGGTCCTACATCGTAAGTGCTCACTAGCCTGACTCCTGTTCCCTGCTGAGAGGCTGAGAGGCAGAGGCAGGGGTGAGGAAGCATTTGGAAGAGGGGCTGATACCAGCAGAAGACCACTTCAAAAATTTTACTTCACAATTTGGTCTTTTTATTTCTATTCAAAGAGGGAAGCTTTATTTCCCTTGGAAGGTTGAATCCTGAAGTTGTGAGGACACAGAGTATGCCATAATATTAATAATATCCATAACATTGAAATGGGCATTATTACTTGTTTGGGGTTTTTGTTTGTTTGTTTTGTTGGTTTCAACTTCCCAAAGCTGTCTTTAACATATTTTTATTTAACAAAACTAAGCCTAATGAAAGCATCTGTCACAACTCAGAGTACATTGATCTGCCTTAATTAGGCTTTAATAGTCCTTGACCAGCCTCATCTGGGTGGGCCCAGAGCCCCAGTTAAGATCAGCCTGAGGTCACAAGTCCTTTCCTAAGCAGGCCTGGACCAGGGTTGGTCTTTAGCTGCCTCCCAGCCTTGCCCTGGCCTTTTGGTTGAGGTTCTGTCTCCAAACAGCTCTATCCAGGTGCAATGCTTGCTTTTGACTTCCTGCCCTTGTCTTTGCCCTGCCTTGTCCTTGTGGGCTGCCTTGTGTTTT